GTATTTCCACCAACCTCCTGAAAACATTCTGGTCAGTGTCACCAGTGACTGCCATTTTGCTATACCTAATGGTTCTTTTTCAAATAGAGCTTATGAGAGAGCTACTCCTTCTGTCATTCTTGATTATTTGACCCTGCTCTATTTTTTAATAATTAGTGTTTGCCATTCTCTTAGTGAGAAGTGAAAATATTTAACAAACTCTGTACATAAACAAATATTTTCTTTGCAAAAAGAAAACAAAGTAATGATTTTAAGTACATAAAACATTTTTGTAACATTGTTTTCTCTGTAACATTTATTTTAATGCCTGTTATTCCATCTCTGCAAGCAGATTGTAAAGTTCCATGAGAGCAGGGATTTTATTCCGTAACTTCTATAGTGTTCTCTCTAATACCTCACATTTGTGGGTGCACAATACTATTTTTCTAAAGGCTGTGGGAATTTCTACTTCATTTTGTAATTTTGCTTTTTCTCTCTCTTTCTCTCTCTTTTTGAAACAAGGTCTAACCATGTAGATCATACTGGCCTTGAACTCACTGTGTAGCCCAGGCTGGACTTAAACTCTTGATTCTCTTACGTCAGCCTCTTGAGTACTGGGATTATAAGCATGAACCACCATGGCCAGCTTTTGCTTATCTCTACTCAATTCTTAGCACATATCTAGAAAGTCAGATTTTAAAGCTAAATGTTGGATGGAATTGAACAGTACCTAAGAGGAAGGCAGCACTGTGGAGTATCTGGTACTGGGTATACCCGAATTCACTCATTGATGGTTAGGTGATGAATATTCAAATTATCTGGGTCCAGGTTCCCAGCCAGGGAGGTTGAGCCACTATTTCTAGTGATTGGAGAGTGGCTGCTGTTACAACGCTGGGGTGCAACTGGTTTTCCTGTATCTTTGACTGACCTTGCCTTATTTATTCTGTCCAGGTGAGTCACTGGGAATAACAGTAAGGATGAGTGAGGGATGGGAGCAGGTACCATGTAGCGTTATAACTCCTTCCGGATACTTCTGCCACTAAATATGCTGTGTGTTGTAAATGTTGGCTCACCCAGGAGAAGTTACTTCTTTGCATTTGATGCATAATTTTCCATTTTGTTTCTCATTTACTCCTGTATTAGGAGATTTTTTTATTTGCTTTGTTTTATTGTTGTATTAGTTTGGAACTACACCATTCTTCACCTCCTTTGTAGTGTTTTGTGGTAGCTCTGTGCATGGGAAGAAAGGGGCTATAGAAAACTTATAAGGTAAGATTCAGGCTTGCCAAGCAAGTAACCTCAAAAATAGGTTTTAGCTATCTCCCAATGAGATAGGATTGCTCACAGGATTGTGACTTCTCCCCTCTGTCCCCTCCCCCACCACGCCTGGGTTACACTGAAACTCTTTTAACATCAGAGTGAGCAATTTGGACTTCTTTCCTCTGTGTGGGTCTCCAAGGACGAAAACCCACTGGAAACCGATTTCCAAATGGTTTCACTATTTAGTAAGGAGCTCTGTATGGTCTTCCCTATGAGCGAGCACCTCAAGTTATCTACACACAGAAAAGACCAGAAGGGGTGCAGAAAAGATGGGGGGTTGTCTGCTGATTGAGACAGATGCATTATCAGCATGGACGGGGACAAGAAAACTGTTCATTGTTCATTCCCGGTGTTGAGCTGCTGACGTCTGGCCATTGTGGTATCCTCTCTGATGACTTGAGCTGTTGTTTGTCGGGGTAACAAACAGCTTCAGGAAACTTTTGCTCATGTCAGGGATGCTGATTTTGTTTTTTGAGTTTTATGGATGGAGAACACAGAGCCCTGTCCAGCATGTTTATCCCAGATCCCTCACAGCTATCATAGTCACCTAAAATGCAGTAGCCACAGTCTAAACCCAGATAAATTTTCCTCCTGACAGGTAGCTTATCTATGAAAGAGCTGTGTTTTTGAAGATTTTGTTTTTCTCTGCTTGCTGCTGCTTTTGAAAGGCTAGATAGCACACCGAATGCGGGAGCTATGTGGTACACGGAAAGGGGGAGGGAATTGCTTGTCAGCCACAACTGGCCTTTTGCATCTCTTGAAGGCAGAATTAATAAACAGAATTGTGGGACCCATGTGCAAGAGCTTTTGCAAAGCAGACCCTCTCAGTAAAGAAAAGATAGCAATAACCTTAAGCCCTCACTCCTTTTGGACTATTTCACATAAAATAAAGTTCAGAAAAAATTTAATATTTGAATCAGCTACCTAAAAATGCCTCCCATGTTTCTAAGGTTTGATCTTACTATTTTTGGTGGTACTGGGGTTTGAACTCATGGCCTCATGTTTGCTAGGCAGGTGCTCTGCCACTTGGGCCATTCTGTCAGCCATTTCTTGGATGGGTTTTTTCAAGATAGACTCTTTTGAACTATTTGCCTGGGCTGGCTTTGAACCACAATCCTCCTGATCTTTGCCTCCGGGGGTAGCTAGGATTATAGATCTGAGCCACTGGTGCCTGGATGGGGTGTGGCTTAAGTGGTAGAGTGATCAAACCCCAGTAGTGAAAAAAAAAAAAAATAGAAGCTCTCAGAAAGGACAGCTTGTATCTCCTGGCAGTGTGCCCTGGTGTTTTTCTTTGTCTTCCTTCATTCTCTCAGGCAAAAGTTGAACATATTCTGCAGTCTCTTTACAGTGTTTTAGTACACTGTTTTTCAGAACCAGTACACTGGTATGTGTGTGGAGGAACACATGGAGTGACCTGATGCTGAATCTTGGGTATTTTGTTCCTAGACTTTTTTTAACCTTTTTTGTTTAAGGGCTTCTGACAACATTGTGGCACATCAACTTCTTTAGAAAGATGGAAAAGTTTGTGTGTTCTGCTAACTCTTGGGCCCAGGTGATGAGGCACAATGGTGTCAATCAGCCCAGGAGTACCCTTCTTTCCTTTTTCTCCCCAAAAGGCAAGTTGAGAACATGCAAATTGGCATCCAAGCAGGCTCCCACTTTCTCTGATTCTCCTTGGTTTATAGCAGGGATGTCCCTTACTTGTTAGCAGGCACACGTATGGCTGGGTCAAGACACCTGCTTCATGGGGAGACCTTATTCAGTGTTCCTACCACTGATTCAGACCACGTGCCCCTTCTATTCTTCACCCAGGGCACCAGTGTCAACTTCTGTGGCTACACACTTCTCATAAAATGTTTGAAGTCTGTGTTTATCATTCTCTTTAGTGAGTTTCTGGCAGCCAGTGGCTGGGAAGGAGACATTCAGCTTCATCTTGAAGAGCCTTCAAATCAGTATATGATTCACTATACCTAACCTTGGCAACCTGGATGCTTCAGGACACTTAATGGACTAGTTTTGAACTTATGGAAATGAGAAGATTGAAGCTTCTTTCTTTATTTTACAAAAAAATGAGAAAATATGCCTGAGAGTCCATATTTTTTAAAGTGTGAGTTAACATGGAACAAGGTTAATATAGTTTTATCACAGAATTTTGTGCATAGCTTCTGCTTGAAAAGACTTTGCCCATGTAAAGAATTAGCTGGCGTATTTTCATATACTTGTAAAACCTCAGATAGGATTCTTCTATGCAAATTTAGCTTCAAAGTGGAACAGTGTTATCTGTCTTTGAAATCTTAACTAAAACATGCCTTTTTCTTGATTGAAGACAATGTGAAACTCACTAGGAAAACAATCTTCAATGAAAAAGATAAAGCAAAGAAGATATCATACTTGTGGGAAGGAGGATATAAAAAGCAGATATTCAAAATATTTTAAAAGCTTTTTATCTAAGATGCTCACCTGGGATAACTCAATAGCAATACTGAACATTTCTTGAGCACAGGGAGTAATGCCTTGGTTCCTGTTCTTAGTGCTGGGGATTCTAAAATGAGCAAAACAGGATCCCTGATCTCAGGGGTTTCATTATGTCATGAGGGAAACATAAACAAGGAACAGAACAAAGCTTACAGTTAGGAGTCACGAGGAATCCAAGTTCCAAGTCTGAGGAACCATAGAGGATGGCAGACAGCATGTGATTCCTGCAAGGAACATTCTGATTTTCTGCTGTGACCTAGAAAACCAGGATTAAGCATCTGCTTAATAACAGTGAGGTGATCATCTGTATATAACGTAGCAACAGTACAGTCACATCTTCCGGTTCTTCCAACTTTGTTTTTGTGTCTACACTGAACACACACAAACAGTTTTTTTCTTGTCATTATTCCCTTATGTAGTGTTTGCATTGTATTAGGTACTATAAATAATCTAGAGATGATTTAAAGTACAATGGGAGGACGTGTGTAGATTATATGCAAATTCTGCACCATTTTATATAAGGGGCTTGGGCATCTTTGGATTTTGGTATGCACAGGTGGTCCTGGAACCAATGCCCTGTGGATACTGAGGGGTGATCGTAATTTGTGCTTGGGGAACAGCTATGCTTTTCAAAGTGCTTTACTAGACATTGTCTTTTTAGGCCCATCTACCCTGTGCAGTAGGTTATTCAAATATGAGGAAAGGAAGTGGTGACACAGAATAAGCAGGCTGAGTGAGTGTAAATAGCTACTGAGTGGCACTCCCGGGTCCAGAACAAGGTCTCCTGACCTCTCTTTGTCCAATTCTCCAATGAAAAGAAGTAGCTCTTCATTTCCCAGAACACGTATGGTGGTACATGAGTTTCCTGAGATGTGATTTGTATTATGTAAAAGAAAGTTCCATTCTGAACTCTTAAATTCTTTCTAATTCTTTAGCTTTCAGCTCAGGAGTCATCTCTGCAGGTGAGACATCCCAGGGCTCCAAAATCTCCCTCCTGTGGTGTCTCATAGTTCGCTTAAACCAGTTTGTCATTTGTGCCATTATTTGACTAATGTCTCTCTCCCTTATCTAGTTGTAATTTCCAAAAGGCCAGAGACCATGGCTTTTTTGTCTACCAGTATGTATTTGTTCAGCATTTGGTGCCCGGCATGTAGTAGTCACTCAAGAAATGTTTGCTGAAGGACTGTCTTAAAGTTTGCTTACTCTTTCCATTCTTTTAAAAACAGAATATCCCACATGTGAGCAGCTTACTTGTGCCAACGGAGCCTGCTATAACACGAGTCAGAAGTGTGATCAGAACGTTGACTGCAGGGACTCCTCTGATGAAGCCAACTGCAGTAAGTCGTGTGCACGAGAAGTGCTGGGGTACGTGGAAACCGGCTTCCACTGACTCGAGACAGCCAGTTGTACGCACCTCCTCTGAAGCCCGCGTTCAGTGAATTCATGTTAGTACTTTGAAATCAGCCACTGGTGGGAGTATTTACACCAAGGAAATCGACAAATACTGCAATGGAGAATCCATGGTTACACATTTACCCGTGCCCCATGGTCTAACAGGAGTCACCTTTTAAAATTGAGGTAGAATCTCCTATGTGGTTAACGGCTACAGTGAAATTAAAGTGCTGTTTTATCTTTCCCTTCTTAACCTTGCGTCCTAGCTGGACAGTGCACGCACAACGAGTTTCAGTGTGGCAATGGAGACTGTATCCTCGTGCCTATGTCTGTGATCATGACCTCGACTGTGATGATGGCAGTGATGAACGTAATTGCAGTACGGTGATTTCCTTATGTTGGGTCATGGTTAGGGGTATTTTAAAAAAATTATTATTTTGTTTCCTACCAACATACCATTTTCTTTTTTTCAAAGAAAAGAATCATTATGTTTGATGGCAGATGAGGCCAAAAGATCATGTAGGGGCCATGGCCCCAGCCATCAGTTTTGTTGAACCTGGGCATCTTTACCCTCCATGGAGCTTTATAAGGTTGAAGAGTTGTATTCTTTCCTTCAGCTACAGAGAGACAGGGTGTATTGTATCGTAGGACTCTCACATTACCCATACCTCAGGAGTGGGTGTGATAACCTTGAGAGTGAGAGAGAACTTGAAAGGAGAAGGGTTCCCTAGGAGCAGTGATTCTAACTCTTCTCTTTACTGTCAAATTCCTGGAGGGTGAGGAAAGTGTCAGTGGTGCCGGTGCCTCAACTTCTTCCTTCTTAACCCTGTTGTTACTTCTCTGCTTTGCCCTCAGTGTGAATTTCCTGCCCCCCTCCACATAGTGGCCACCTCTCCACTCATTTTTTTTGACTATTTTGAAGTTAGAAGTTAGTAATTTACTAATTAGTAAAATACTTCCAACTACTTAGTCAGAAGCATTTGTGGTCCTTTATTTACTACAATGAATGATTTTTCTCTACCCCTGTTTTGATTGGTTGTACCTGTGTCTTATGGGATTGTTAAACATTTTCAGCATCACCCTAATTTTCTGAGCGGTCTCTGATCCCTTTCAGGAACCTGGACTTATTCAGTGCTTGTGTTAAAGAGAGTATGACATCATTGTATGGGTGGCTTAGAATCATTTGGTCGTGGTTAGCAGTTACCGTGCTCGTGGTACAATGAGAGAATGTTGGACCTTGGCACATCTAGCATCTTGATTAGTCTGCATTCTCTGTTCTGTGTCCATCTCTTCCTTACCATTTTGTTTTTAATGCTGAGAAACAGAGACTGGCAAGTGAACTCATTCCTGGACCCAAAGCTGCCTGTATCTTTTCCTTCTCTGTTTCTTTCTCTTTCTCCTTTTTGTCAAAATACTTAAGGAATTAGATGGATACAGACACTACAGTGTCTAGGAGCTCAGTGCGGGCTTAAAGGAGCGCTTTGATTTTTTCCTAGCAATCATGTCTTTGAGTCTTTGTTGCTCTCTTTCAGATTATCAGACCTGCGGTGGCCACCAGTTCACTTGCCCCAACGGCCAGTGCATTCATCAGAACTGGGTTTGTGATGGAGAGGATGACTGTCAAGACTATGGGGATGAAGATGGATGTGGTAAGGCAGGGAGGATGTCCTACCCAAACATATTTGTCCTTGTTAGAAATTCTCTGTGAGACAAACCAGCCTCAGGGTTGGCTGGGGTTTAGGGAGTCATTTAGGGACTTAGTGGATGGGTTAGAAAGAGGTGACTCCATTAGTGTTTCCTAAAAACCACTAAGCTCAAATATAGCCCTCTCCTTCCCATCATTAAGGATAAGTAGGTAGGACAGTCTCTCCTTTATCCTACTCTGACCTTGTCACTTAAGACTACCTATTTTACCTATGCAAAAGTGGTAGGCTGGGGGAGGGGAGAAATAGGATTAAATGTGATTTGTCAATGACTTTGAACTGTGCTGAGAGTTCAGTTTTGTTTGTTTTGTTTTTTGTAAATTCTGATTTCCTAAAGAGTCATGACATCCAGTGCTGAAGGAGAGGCCACACTGGAACATATTGGATGGGACTAGGGACTGGTAGGTGCAGTACAGGGGAGTGTTTAAAGGTTGTTTGAGAGGAAACTGCCATGAAATTCACTTCTTCACCCTGCCTCTGTCAGCAGTGCTTCTAACAGTTCTGAAGTTACAGTGAGTTGCCTCCACTGTTCTAGTCCAAGATATTATAAGGGTGATGCTTGTCAGGAAAGATCCACTGATTTTATGGTTTTTGTGTTCCAGGAAGAGGTCTTCCTATATTTTGAGTTCTGGTTTTCCCTCTATTGTCAACATTTCACTAAATAAGCAAAACAAATCAAACAACAAAAACCCAAACTCAGGAATTTTGATGGCTTTGGTTTTATAATTCATGATTAAATAACCAAATCCTCTCTTGGGGGTTGTGAATCTAGTTTGTTAATACTTCAGGCCCATATCTGCTTCTTTCTCCTACAGCTTGCCTGGGGACTGCCTCCTCCACAAAGAGTGGAATTTAAATAGCTCCATTTTGTCACTTTAGAATTTCAGTAAAAGGCTAAGGATGGAGTTAGAAAGTACGAGTTTTTTATAGAATCTAGGTCATTTGTGAATTTCTGTTGTCTATCTGGCTGTGTTCTCTCCTAACCACAGAATAATAAGAGCTGATTCCTCTCTTTCTCCTATAGAAAGCAACCATCATCGTCAAACATGTTACCCGAGAGAATGGGCTTGCCCAGGGTCTGGACGATGCATCTCCATTTACCAAGTTTGTGATGGAGTTTTAGATTGTCCAGGAGGAGAAGATGAAAACAGCACCTCTAGCGGAAGATACTGCGGTGAGTGTGGAAATTCATCCGGGGAGCTCTTAGAAACGTATCTTTGTTTCTAGAACACATTTGCAAATACAGAGTGTATCAGCTGGCATTTATACAGCAAAATTCTCCAAGACTTAGTGGCTTAAATGACAAACATGTATTACTTCTCACAGTTCTGAGGGCTGGCTAGGTAGTTCTTCCGGCTGATACCAGTTCTCTCACATGTCAGGATGTTTTGATAAAAGCTTGGCCTCACTCAGTCTTGTTTTCATGACGGTGGAAAGATCACATCCTCATGTGCAAGTGTTTTTAAGCCTCTTCTTATGTCCTGTTTGCTAATGTCTTATCGACCAGAGCATGTCACTTGGTTAAGGCCAAAAGGGACTGAAGAAGTAGATTCCATCTCTTGATAAGAGGACCTTGAAACATGGTGTCTTTTCCCCAACAGGGTGTTTTGTTTTTATAACAATTTTTAATGACCCTACAGGTGTTTATGAGATTTTATAATAATTATTGATATTATTACTACTTTTTTTGTGGTACTGGGGATCAAACCTAGGGACTCACACATGCTAGGCAAGTATTCTACCACTGAGCTGGACCCCTATCCCTATCCTGGAGATTTTATTTCTTGTCTTGTACTAATGAACAAAGGTCTTATCTGGCTATAACCGCCCCCCTCCCCACATTCTTCTGATTCCTAGGTCATGTACTTTGAGTTATTTTCTTATGGTAAAAGTGAATTGGCCACACACAGTGTTGTTTGCTGATTTCTTATGTGATCATAGTCATTTGTGAGGAAAACTGCCTGGAAGTAGTTTTTTTTTTTTTTTCTTTTTGGTGACTGTAGAATAGTCCTCTCACTGTCAACTCATCAACTTGGTGACAGTGATGGTCCTGGAGGAATCCAATTTATGACCTTGATTTAGGCAATTGTGTTCTCTGTAACTACATCAGTGGTTGTCCAGAAGTGACCCAAGGATTTTTCTCCTGAAAAAACTTATGATATTTAAATATGCTGAGATTTCTATGGTAACCTGTTTCACTTGGAAGCGCTGTTGTAAAAGCTTAAAAGTTAATAAGAGCTATGTAGTCATTGCTCAAAGGTTTAAAAATTTAAATTAACAAAAAGAAAAAAAGAACACCTGAAATCCTGCCACTTGGAGCTAGCCCCAGGGTTAAGATTGTTAGGGTATATTTTCAGTCAGCCACTTGGAAGTTCTTAACTCTTCTACAAAGACACAATGGTCATAAGACCTGATTTTTCCATAAATAGCACTCATAGTGATTTATAATTGCACACAACAGTAGTTAATAATGTTAAAAAAGGAGTTTAAAATATGGATTAAGTTTTTATTGTATAATATTGCAGTTGTTTTGATTGGTGACATAGTTTCCTGTTCTGCTACTTACTTACTCAGCCTGTACTTATGGAAAAGAATTTATTAGGTAAACCACTCTTGCCTAGAGACTACTCACTAAGTGAAGTTCCCCTTCCACCCCTGTCTGTTTAGGTGTGAGTATGTGCTCTGCCTTAAACTGTGAGTACCAATGCCACAAGACACCAGATGGAGGAGCGTGTTTCTGTCCCACAACTTATATCATCAACCACAACGACAGCCGTACCTGTGTTGGTAAGTAGCAGGTGGGAGTTCCTGGTCTTTCAGCACGGTGTCCTGAGGGGCTCCATGATCTCTGATATCAAGGAGTTTGACTTAGGTTAGGAATGGTGATGTAGAGCAGCACAATTCTCACAGAAAACCTGGGAAGTAGGAAGCTTTACCTCTGAGAAGCATTTGTGGGGTATACAATGCTAAAGAGTGGTTTTGTGATGAGGGAGTTGACCACCTACTGGACCTGTCCATTACCTCACCATAGGAGTCATCCTTTTGTGTTTCCTGCTGAGGTGTTTGGAAGCATGGCCATGCTGCTTATTAAATACTGAAATACTTCCCTCCATGTGATGGGTAGAGAGCTGCTGCCTTGAGCCCTTCAGGTGTTCCTCCTCCTGCTCTCCTGGCCTCTTCAGGATGCACAGATGTCCTCAGAATCCAGCAACTAAAGAGTTGTTAAGTGATAGAGTGGAGGACCACCAGGTCCCTGTTCTGGTGACTGCAGTGGTGGTCCAGTGCCAGTTCTGGGCTGATTGTTAATTCCACTGCTTTTTGCCCGTTTGGAGGTAACATTCAAGAAAAAAAAGCAAATTCTTTATCATGATGCTTTCAGCTAGTGGCTGCCCTTGAACTAGACACCAAGTCACCAAATATTTCCTCACATCTCTCCTATTTGAATTGCAAATGATTTCTTCCAGTGGGAGGTTTTTGATTCTTATTGCAGCTTTATCCTGCTGTGACTCAGATGGAGTCGGTGTTGGAAGAATTAGACATGGCCAAGTAGCATCGGCTTCTTAGAATTTCAACGAGTTTCTAATGCTCTCATTTCTTTTTCCTTCTTTCTGATTTTTGTTGTTTTGTTTTGAGATGAGGTCTTGCTATGCAGGCTAAGAACTTGTGCTCCTCTTGGCTTAGCATGGGCCACCACTCCCAGCTCTTCTTTCTGATTTTACTTTATTTTTTTGCAGTGCTGGGGATTGCACCAGCCATGCCCCGTTTGCCTTATGTTTCAGACAGGTCTTGTTTTGGGAACAGGCTTCTGGGAGGCAATTGAAACTATTAAAATTCGGTTTGATATTTATGGATCTCCAAAACACAGATGATTCAGAATTTTCCCAGGATTTATGTTCTTTTGATATTCCTTAGACATTTGAGATTCTTTAGAGATTTCTGGATATCAGAACAAACATGACATGCATAAGAAATACTTGGAAAATTTCTAAAATTTTCATATAATTTGGCAAAGAATATTGAATTTGGATAAATCTAATGAAGTTATTCAGTCTTGACTCTCAACATAATTATATTTTATTAAATATGATTAATCTTAATAACTACTCTTAATCAAAAAGTCTTTTTATTTTTTTGGTAGAACTGGAGTATGAACTTAGGGCTTTGTGCTTGCTAAGCAGGCTCTCTACCTCTGAGCAACACCTTCAGTCCATTTTGCTGTGGTTATTTTGGAGATGGGATCTTGTGAACAATTTGCCTAGGCTGGCCTCAAACCTCAATCCTCCTGGTCTTGGCTTCCCAAGTAACTAGGATTCCAGGTGTGAGCCACCTGTGCCAAGCCAGAAAGGCTTTTTGATGTCGGAAATAAACTCCAGTTTAAAAATTTAACTTGGAAGTCCTTAAAGTCTGTTCTTCAGTGTTACTGGGAAGTATTGTAATGGGGTTCACTACTATAGTAGTTCAAGAAAAACTGGATTTTTTTTATTCAGTAAAGTAATCCAATTGATATTGTCCTTGTGACTTCTAAATAGGCAATTTTAGGCTTTTAATAGCAGGATCATGTCCAAAGTTTGCCCGTGATCTAATTGCTTACTTAAGAAACTGCATTTGTCCTGGTGTATTAAGATTCGGTAGTTTTTCTGTGTTAGCCACAGAGATCTTGGAGACTCAGAGAGAGCACCAAATTATTTAAGAAAGCCTCCAAATTTCTGATCACTTTCAGATGTAAATAAAATACTATAATCTGACCCTGACCTTATGTGAGATTTTTTGTGTTTTTTATTACCACTGCCATTGCCCTGGGAATGTGTTCGAGTTGGAAAAATTTTTCACATGCATGTCCTCTGAAGCCCTAGCCATGCTTTCTAATACCCTTATGTGGCAGCATCGCTTTTTCCTTGGAGTGATGCTCATCTGTGGAGGTGAGGCTGCCCTTTGTCTTTGGCAGATGTCAAGCTTCTCTGTCCCCTTTTACTGTCACCCAGCTGCCATTTCGACTTTCAGTCTTGTAGTTTGCTAGACATTTCTTCTTTCTCTTTGTAGAAAAGGGATTCCAATAGAAATACCAGAAGCCACACTCTCTGTATTACATCAGCTTTTCTGTCTTTTTCCTTTCTCAGCCCCCAAAGAAGAACTGGGGCGGGGCTGTCTTTCAGTAGAAACTTGATAGGCCATGGAGTCTTTTCAGTAAATTGATTTGTCCTTATAGAATCTCCTACTTCCAGCTTGGATGCTCCCAATTTGTTCTCAATCTTTTTTCCCCACTGTAGAACTTAGACAGCCTTTTTCTGTCATTCCAGTATGTAAGCCTGTGATGAACATTGGCTTGTATTTCCAAGTGTCTAGAGCTTAAATGTCACAGGTTTGGGCTACTAAGATTGTTTGCAGTCCCTTATGAAATGAAAAGCTGACATAACAAGGTCATTATGTTATAAAATTTCACGTGACCTACTAATGAATGTAACACAGAAAATTGCAACCTTTTGCTGTGCAGATGGTCATAGTGGACAGCACACTGGAAGCAGTGTGAGTTAACACTGGGCACTCGCTGTAGCTTCCACCATAGATATCTTCCAGTCTTCTGCATGTCTTCCTGGGACTTTACAGACAGCTTCATTTGGAGATATGCTCAGAAGTCTACATTTGAGGGCCTTTATGAACCCGAGGCCCCGTGCCACCTGCAGAAACCTTTTCTGTTACCTTCCCTGTCTTAAAGAATTTGTGATGAGTTTTGAAGCATATTTGTTTTAGAGAATACTATTTCTCTCTTTGTAAAGAGACTATTGTAAATACATGACATTACGAAAGTAGTTATACTGGCTTAAGCCAAACTGAAATTTAATGGGCTTTGTTGTTTTGGTTTGCTTGCTCAAGCATTTCAATCCAACAAATATTCCGTATGACTGTCACCCTCTGCATGGCTGTCACCCTCCTCGTGGCTGTCATCCTCTGCATGGCTGACTCATTACAGAAGCTTCAGGTGTTGGAAGCCTATGTAGCATTTGTCACCTTAGACATGGCCCCTTCGTGAATATCTCAGTGATACTCAAGAGTAAAGTTGAGTCATCTTGACCTGAGATCTGGTGTCTTCCTGCAATTTTTCTGCCCCTGGTAGTCTGGACTGGCAGTGGAACTTCTGTGGCTGTTTCTGATTGGCAGGACTTGCTGTTTGTTGACAGAATGGTGTCTTGGTGCAGTTTTAGGGCGGGGGGGGGTCATTCAGCACAAGGGGCTTCACACAGCCAGATTGGTCAGAGATGTACCCAGATTAGATGGATTTTTCTCCCTTCTTTGGTTATAGACCTTGGCCAGAAAGATCTGCTGCCTGGAGGGAAAGGGAAACTTGGAGCCATTAGCTCGATCCCAGTACCTTCCCAGACTTTTCTAACAGGGAGTCAAGGGATGGTGGGCCACCCAGCAGATGTGGTAGAACTCAGTTCACAACCCTGACATTTGCTTCCAATGAAATCAGATCTGAGGAAGCAGAGAATTCTAGACCTGAGGCTGCAGTGGTTTCAGAAATAATAATCTCAAGAATTTTCTAAAGCCAAATGGCACGGGAGCCCTGTTGGCATAGGTTGTGGAAGTGTGGAAGTCATTCTCCCAGGAAAGAGAGCAGGGCAAAGGATGATGGGGAATGGTCACAGTCTTGGAGAATCAAAGATACTTGGCACCATTTTACCAAGGATAGGGAAGTTTGTGCACCCCTTCCCCTGTTGTTTATGTCTACTATATTGAGACTGTTTTTGCACAGTGGAAATGGGACTTTTGTGACCAGGAGCAGCACTTATGTAAGGAAACTTACATAAGTTTGTTGTTACTTCAACAAACTCTTACAAAGTGAATGAGTAATAAGTTAATGAATAAGTAGAAGATATTTTCATGTGTTAAAAATAATTTTCATTTTGGTTATGGCTTTTTGATATTAAAGGAGGGACAGTTAGGTAAACAGAACTTTCTAGACACTTTATTGCAGCCACAAATCATGTCTTCCTGAGGGGTTGGCAGGCCTTACTTTATTGTGAAATGTTCCTGCCTAATGGAAATTTCTGCATAATGCAAATATTCCTATATCTCCAATCTGTTATTTGGTAACTATTGTGACTATTAGGGACTTAAAATGTGGCATGTATGACTGAGAAACTGAATTATTAATTTAATTTTAATTAATCTAAATGTAAATTTAGATAGCCATAGGGGGCAAATGGCTACCATTAGAAAAACATGGGTTTAAAAGGAAACATTTATACCAAAATTCATATATCTCGTAAAACAACATGAATAAATGAAATACAGTGTGACAGGGCTGTGAATTCAAACAGGGCTGGGAATCACCTGCAAAGTTATCATACACGTTGGTTTAAATGATCTTGGGTTTTCCCTTGCTGAAGATGACGGTTCTGAGTTCTATTTTTTCTGGTGGGCCTGGAAGCAGACCTGCCTTTGTGGGGGTGCTCTTTTGGACAGGGGTGTAAGCACATTTCTGGACATGTTGTCTAGGACTTTTGTCTGAGGGTCTCAAGAAATGATAATGAACCTGATTAAGACTGTGTTTTTCTCATATGGCAGATTTTGATGATTGCCAGATATGGGGAATTTGTGACCAGAAGTGTGAGAATCGATTTGGCCATCACCTGTGCCACTGTGAGGAAGGTTATATCTTGGAGCGTGGGCAACATTGCAGAGCTAATGACTCCTGTGAGTAAATTGTGGACACTTGTATTTCTGAACATTTAACTTCTGACATCTTCCCTGCAGAGCTGATGATAAAGAAATATCGGCGTTCATGCCAGTGGCATCTTTTTATCATCTCAGATTGGGGTGGACCAACATTAATTTTATACTTTGGTTATTAAGGACAATTTGTGTATTAATAGTGACCAATATAAAAGCATTGGTTTCTTTATTGGTCTCAGTTATCATATCACCCACCACATTTGGATTGTGGAATAAGTTTGATGGCTATGGTCGACTGACTTGGACACTTAGCTTTCAGTTAATTTACCCACCACAGTGTAGGTAGATAGCTCTCTATAGAAGTGATTTTTAGCATCGTTCATGAAAAATTTAGGGGTGTTCAAAATGGAAATGCTAAAACTGGATTAAGATTTTTGTGAATGCCTTCCTTCTGGGCATTTTGTTAGAATCAGCTTAAGAGTATTGCAGTACTCCAAAGCATTTTTGTCACCAGGGATTGCTGGGTCTCAGTTTTAACTCCTTTTCTTGTGCTGGGAATAGAACTTGGGTCCTTGTGCAGGCTAGGCAAGTGCTCTACCACTTAACTCCCTTTTCCATCTGGTATTTACACTTGATTTTGAAGTGCTTTTGGTGCCTTCTGAACTGTACTGCTCATATGATCCACAAATGGCCCTCTTTTTAGTTGCTGTTGCATAGAAATGCCTGATTTCTGTGTCCTAACTTTTAGGTGCCAATGATTTTAACAATTAAATTTATTTATTTATGAGAGGGTAATATACTCATGTTTAAAAACTTTATTAGAGAATGTGTAGTAAAGTGTCTCTTTCCATCCCTGCTCCTTTCTCACAAGTGTCCACTTCCCTCTCACGTGGGTAATTGCTGTTTCTATATTTCAGTTCTAGAGAAATTTTCTTTTTTTGGTGGGATTGGGGTTTGTGCTTGCAAAGCTGACACTTTACCACTTGAGCCATACCTCCAATCTGTTTTGCTCTGGTTCTTTTGGAGTTGGGGTCTTGTGAACTATTTGCCTGGGTTGGCCTCAAACTGTGATCCTCCTGATTTCATCCTCCTCCATAGCTAAGATTAGAGGTGTGAACCACCAGTGCCTGGCAATTCTAGAGATTTTTTAAAAAAATGCACAAATAAGAATGAAATTATATTTAACCCTATTTTTACATATATGCTAGTAAACTATGCACACAGCCTGGATCTTGCTAATGTCATTTAACATATTTTCGAGAGCTTTGTGTATCAGCACATAGAGCTGTTTCTCAGCTGTTTTTTCACAGTGGCTTGAGGTTCTGTCTGCACACATACCTTATTTAGCTAGTCCCCTACTCATGGGCTCTTCAGTCACTTCTTCCCTTTAGCGATTGCAAGTAAGACTGTCCATAATAACTTATTCATCTATCTTGCCTACTTGTGAGTATATAGACAGCATGGATTTGGATCCACCATTGCCATGCTTTTTATGCAGTGATTCCCTGGTACTCTTTGAAACATGTTCTTTGTCTCACACAATCTAAAGGTGCACTTGGAGATAAAGTGCCCATGTCATCAAGGATTCTTGGGAATACCTGCTGTGCAATCGTCAGTGTCATTGAAACTGCATTGGACTAGCAGTCAGGACACTTGAATTCTTGCCTGACTCAGTATAAACTTACTGAGATTTTTGGATACTTCATTAAGCATCTCTGTGCCTCAGTTTACCCAACTGTTGAATGGATAGAATGATTGCTGTCTTTCTGCCTCAGAGGTTTAGTTTAGAATCAAATAAGATAACAGGAGAAAACATTTGGAAAAGCAGAAAACATATCTGTTGTACGTTCCTTCACCAGCCTTGCTCACCTGAGGGAGTGGTAATGTTTTTCTCCACATTTAGTTCAAGAGGCTTCCATTATTTTCTCCAACGGTCGGGATTTGCTAATTGGTGATATTCATGGGAGGAGCTTCCGGATTCTAGTAGAGTCTAAAAACCGTGGCACGGCCGTGGGTGTGGATTTTCACTATCACCAGCGCAGAGTGTTTTGGACCGACCCAGTGCAGGATAAGGTAAATAGAAAATTTCGGGCCTATAGCTTGGTTGCTAAATAGAACCTCAAACTCCCAGTGTTGATAGCTTTTCATTTTTTGGGGGGAGCAGAGGGGAAGGTTCCTTTGTTTCCTAACAAAAAAGGCCCTTGAGCTATTTTATGTTAATCAGCACCTTTTCCACGCTATACTATTACATGTGACTATTAAACAAAGCCTGCTATTATATGGATTAGCCTGGAGCAACTTTTAATTTTATTCGAAAATGAGTCCAAAAGCCTAATTAAAAGAAATAGTAGACATTCTTTCAAAACTAGATAGATATTTGGTAGTAATTTTTGAAACTTGATCATTTAAAATGTAAAAATGACTCTGCTTTTCTGGATGATAAAAATCAGATTTTTACCTGTATCTTCTAAATGGAGCAGTAATTGAGGATTGGGTAAGAAATATTGACAGTATTTTGACTAATGGCCAACATTTCATTACACTGTCTTATTTGGAAAGTGTGATTGATTTGATTTCAACTTTGGTCATGTAATGCAGCTTTTAAACATAAATTTTAGAGACTCCTAAAGAGTTGTGGAATTTATTTATATCCTGTTCCTTTTCCTTTAATATGTAATTGATTAAACATTAATAAACTCTAATCTACCTAAATACTAACTGGCATAAAATTTCTAAAAATTGGGACTTTGTATTACTTGCAGTTCTGATTTGATTACACTTAAAATTTAAAATAAAACCACTGCTGCTACCCTCACCAAAAAAATCCACACTTTAATTAAACTTTTGATAACTACCAAGAAGGTCCGGATAACGAATTCCTACAAGATAGATGCACTGAATGGAAACAGTGCCTGCACTCATGCTTACCAAGTATAATGATACTGGCTTTTCTTTCAGGTTTTTTCAGTTGACATTAATGGTTTAAATATCCAAGAAGTTCTCAATGTTTCTGTGGAAGCCCCAGAGAATCTGGCTGTGGACTGGGTTAATAATAAGCTTTACCTGGTGGAGACCAAGGTCAGCCGCATAGACATGGTTAACTTGGATGGAAGCCAAAGGGTCACACTTATTACTGAAAACCTGGGGAATCCTAGGGGATTGCTGTGGACCCCACTGTGGGGTAAGTGATGCAAAAGCCAACCAACTGCTGCACGTTAGGATTTTGTCTCTCCCGTCAACATCAAATACCCACTGGATTAACTAGTGGTTAATTCTCATCTCTTCCATGCTCTGTACTAAGAACTCATGTTTATTTTGTTTCTGTTCATGGAGTTGACTAAATATAATGCTGTTGAGGAGATGTAACACAAACACACCTACTGGGGTACTAAGCATACTCGATGCATCAGGGAGTGAATTCTGTTCTTAGGTTTTGTTCTGATTCAATCTAATCAAATCATTACAACCAAACATTACTCCATTTCACTGTTATTAAGATGACTGCTCTAATGTGAGTTAGCTGAACAGCTTTTTCAAGAAGGGGAAAGGTGCCTTCTGGTTACAGACGAATATTGGGAGAGGGGTGCTCATATCTCATTATAGGTTGTTCCGTGTGAATCAGCCCTACAGACAGATCCTGCTGTCTTTGCTTCAGGATTCAATGCTACTTGTCCTGATCTACACACTTGAGAAGAGTTTTAGGGGCTTAGTTTTTTAGAATTTCGCAGCTGGGTCTTGGGACTTTTAGGTGAACTTTAGGCTGCTTAAATTTTGGTGACTGGTGATTATTTATTTCACCATTATATCAGCTGACCTTCCTTGAAAATGATGGGGAAAAAAAAAAAGAAAAAAAATGAAGGAATGTTCCGTGGGCTCTGTCATAGAGTAGAGGACTAAGGAAGACAATAGTTTGATGGCTTTTTAAAAAATAGAGAAGTAAAAGACAGAACCAGGAAACAGAGGAGAAAGTTATGGGGAATATAAATTTTTACTCTGTTATGTTAGCATATTTAGTAGTTGCTATTTGGAGTCCCTGATTCTCCTGGTCTGGTTTTTAAAGCGCTAATTTCCACTGTTGACACCTCCCTTGCTAGTCAATGGGAAGACGCATTCATCCAAACACACTATCTAAAAACTTTTCCAGGTAAACTTCTAAAACAGCAGACTCTTCCCTTTGCCTTGTCTTTTGTAGCTACTTGTTTTTCTCAGATTGGGCAAGCCTTTCCGGGGACCCCAAGGTGGAAAGGGCTTTCATGGACGGCAGCAACCGCAAAGACCTGGTCAAGACCAAGGTGGGATGGCCGGCAGGGATCACTCTGGATATGGTCTCCAAGCGTGTGTATTGGGTCGACAGTCGCTTTGACTACGTTGAAACTGTAACTTATGATGGAATTCAAAGGTAAGCATTTTTTATGGCTTCATAAATTTGGAGGAAAGTATATAAAAATTATGGAGAGGCATAGCAAAGTGCCAAATTAAAATATCACTCTGTTGGTTGACAAGATGGCTTAAGTGACTGTTGCATTGACATTTGCATCAAGTGACCTGCTCTGAGTTTTGTTAACTCTTCTTGTGTTCCATAATAACTCCCATAAAATATTACCTATATGATAAGCATGCACCAGCAGGCCCATTGTTCTTTTCCATTTGAGTTGGTCTTGAGAACTTTTTGTCAGGATTGGCCTGGAACCACAATCCTTCTCTTCTTCTTCTTTTTTTTTTTTCTTTTAGAAATCCTTCCAATCTCAGCCTCCTGTTTAACTTAGAATGACAGGTGCAGACCATAGCGCCCAGCTATTGATTGAGATGGAGTCTCATGAACTTTTTGCCCTGCTGGCCTCGAACCAAGATCCTCCCCATCTCAGTCTCCCAAGTAGCTAGGCTTACAGGTGTGAGCCACCAGTACCTGGCTGCATTTTAATTTTCTACTTGACATTATCTGGCGAGAATTAATTGGATTTTACTTTGCTCATATATTTCAAATTTCAAGAAGAAATTCTTTTAGTCTAGTTTTTTTTGGTTTTGTTTTTTTGGTACTGGGCATTTAAATCAGGGCCTCATGCAAGCCACCCTTGTTCACTACTGATCTCCAGCCTGGGAGAAATTTTCACATTATAATTTTACCTGGTATACTCTAAAGATAAGTAAAAGCAGTATTTGAATATCAAATATGGCATGCTTTTTTCTTCATCTTCTTAAGCTGAGTGGATTCTATCTATAAATTAAATCATAAGCTATTTGTGATTCTCTCCTTTTGGTATGCTCAAAATTTGGGTAAAAGATATTCTTCAAATTTTGACCAAGAAGAGTTACTCTGTGTGGATTCAGTAAAATAAACTTAATTTTTTCAAATTTCTTGATTTCATTATTTTATCAATGAAAGGTGTATTCTAGTTTTGTTTTCTATTGTATCTCTATTTTGTAAGGGTGATACCACAGTTTGCTACTGGATTACATGTTCTAGAACCATCTCTGCCTTGGGTTGAATGAAGTGATTGGGAATTAATATTATCACTCCCTATCACTAAAGCTAGTTGCCATGTCGAGAGATAATTTAGAGAAAAAATATTAGTCAATCTGACAAATCATATAAAACAATTGAGAAATTGACCAATTTTTTTCTCTTTCAATGAGGTGTTTCAGTATTATACTGTACAGTGTCCATATTTTTTGCTAAGGTTAAAGTAAGACATAAAGAAACATCAACAGAGTTTCAGAAAGATTTGAGTGGTGTGCTGGCTGTGAAGAAATATCAAAGAAATATGACCGCTCACGAGTACGCTGCAATCGTAAAGTCCTTCCTCATGCTTTGCCAGCAGGTGGCATTAAGCGTTCTGGAGTTCACCAACTGAAAAAGAAAGCTATTCTCTCTTCTCAGAGTACCATGGCATTCATTGTTGAGTGTTTCAAAGTGTGGATTAACTCGTCACCTTAGCTTTCTTTGTTTTCTCTCTTTATTGGGTTCTCCAGCTGCACTATTTACCTGGGCCAGCCTTGGACTCTGATCCTCCTACCTGTGCCTCTTGTGTAGCTGGGATTATAGTTGTGTGCTGTCATGCCTAGTCTACTTCAAGTCTTCTTAGAGCCCTATTGTGCTTTTTAGTTTTAAGAGGCTGCTAGGATATTTTCCTTGAGGACTTTTTATTGTGCCAAAAAAAGAAAATAAGACTTTGTCCCTATGAACCATTGTCTACCTCATTTTATTTCTGTGTTCAGCTGAACCGTTGCTATATGGTGTCGAGGCCAGTTGATTTCTTCCCTTGGCTGAATTTTGCTTCTATTGCCTTCCCGTTTAAGAAGCTGTAGGGCCTGTGCTTCTGCTGGAGAAGTATGTCCATTGACAGTTTCTCAAGTACAGGCATAAACAGTAGCACTTTGCTTCCACTGGGGTGTTTGCTGGGGGTTATGGTTGTCCTGCTCCCTACTTGTGGAGAGGTGGTCAGCAGTGTAGTAGAAAATGGTTCGGGTGTCTTCCACCCCACTTCAAGTTTTGTTATGCTCATCCACCTATGGAATTCAAGTGTTATTTCACATCTTAGACTTTTATATGTGAGACAAACTTACAGGAATGAAGAGCAAACAAAAAACAGTAATTTCTCCCCCAAATCTAAAAACAAGATAGGATGAATTTAAGCCTCAACCGTCTTTTCCAAGAAACAGCATGGAAAGCCTATCTGATGGAGATGGAATTTCACATGCACCTTAGGATGTTTCTTTTCTGTATATTCTATATTATAATAAGAAATGATTTTGCTTTTTAGAAATTTAACTGAACTGATTATCCTTTTAGAAAAATATAGCAAAAACCAAAAAATTGCATATATGCTTTGTAACAGGAAGACAGTGATATATGGAGGCTCCCGAGTTCCTCATCCTTTTGGAATAAGCTTGTTTGAGGAACACGTATTCTTTACTGATTGGACAAAGATGGCTGTGATAAAGGCAAACAAATTCATGGAGACCAACCCCCAAGTGTACCACCAGTCGTCCCTGAGGCCCTATGGAGTGACTGTTTACCATGCTCTCAGGCAGCCCTATGGTAAGCCTCCAACCTTGATAACCCTGACGGGATAGAAAGGTTTTCTCAAAACTATGGAAGTTCGTAAGATTTGGGTATCTCAAATACATGAAGGGTTATCTATAGGCATTCAAAGAAATTGATGTGTTTTAGAGTGAAAATACCATATTTCAATAGATGTTTCTTGGGCCTGCAGAGTGCCAGGTCCTGGTTAGATGCTGGGATCTAGCAGCAGACAAACCAAACCCAAATACTGGTTTCCACTCTGCTGTGAGCAATTACCTATTTCATACCTCTACTGTTATTTCGGAGGAAACCGAAGTCGACAGAGGAAAATGACATGTGTAAGTGTTCATTTTAGGTAGTGTTGGTATTGTTTTTTCTCTCTCTGTTGAATATATATGGGTCTCTCATTGGCTAACTGGGTTTGGTGTCTCTGACTGGTCAGATACTGTGTTAGTCTTTTGTTATTTTACAGTAAGTTGTGTTTGTGTTTTAAGGTTTTAAATTGAATTTTGGCAATGTCTGGACTGTATGAGGCTTTGTATATTATGGGTCAAAGAAAAAGAATATAGTAAATGAGGTTATGTTGGTAGAAAGCTTAAAATTGGGGATTGTAATTAAGAGAAAGACATCTCTGCTTTAAAAATCTTACATTAAGTAATGAGTCTATTCAAATGGAGAAAGACTAAATTAGATTAGGTTGATTAAAAAGAAACCCAGCCACTAGAACTGATATATTCAGATAGAGAACCTTCAGTGTCATCATCCTGGGAAAAAATATACTTATCTGAAAATGTTCTGGAAGTTTCCATTTGAAGCAGTTTTCAGACTCAAGTTTAGGAGCAACTAATTTCCCATCTGCCTTTACCTAGTTTGATCGTCAGGCTTTTTCCATTATTTGGCTCAGGATATTCTCTGGTGTTTCCCAAAATCAGTCCTCCGGAGAAAGGAAGGAGAATTTTAATGAGTAAGTAACGAGGTCCTGAGGTCCAATTCCAGTCCCACCACAAAAAAAAAAAAAAAAAAAAAAACCAACAACAAAGAAAACAAAGTCAAAGACTCAAGAGGATTTTGAAAGCTTTATCTGGGGCAGCCTTGTGAACATGAGCATCCAGAGGTCACTACGTTGAGGGTGGCTTTGCAAGCATAAACTGGTTTATTGACAGACATGTAAGGTTTTGGAGTCAGATCTGGATTTGAATCCTCATTTAGCACTAGCCACTGAATAATTCTAGGCAAGTTGTTGAAGCTTTTGGAGCCTTTTGGGATAACAGTACTTAGAGTTACTGGTTGCACATTCTCTTGCTTTCCAAATAAACTCCCAGTGAGTAATAATTGTATTATCTATCTTATGAATGGTAAAAAAATAGCACTGAAGATTTATTTTTTAAATTTGGGGGCAGTTATTTCTAATCACAGAAACTGGCAGATGGAGTCTTAACGTAATTATTGTGGAAAAAGAATCCCATAGGTACCAGCTATGGATGTGGTGTTTTTTGCCACCACTAGTTTGAGAGTGGTGGGGGAGAGTGGCAGTGCTGTGGGAGGGTTAGGTGGCCAGATGGGGGTGCCTGCAGTGGCAGCTGGAGGTTGCCACCCCGTTGTGTTTCCCCTGCAGGCACAAAGTGCTCCACAAGTCTTGGATAATTCTACCCGTTGCCCTTTCTCTTCCAGCTAGCAATCCTTGCGCAGTTAACAATGGGGGCTGTGAGCAGGTGTGCGTCCTGAGTCACCGAACAGATAACGATGGTCTAGGCTACCGGTGCAAGTGCCTATTCGGCTTCGAGCTGGACCCTGACGAGCGCCGCTGTGTTGGTAAGACTCCGCCATGGGCAGCTCAGGGCGCAGGTGCCTCTACCCTGACCAGCTGTGGGTGGCGTCTTCACTGTGAGCAGGCCACAGGCCATCTTGTAGGCGCCACTTTCTCTATGCACAGAACTGTGCTTGTCCTTTGGGGTTGCCCTTCAATTCCATATGTAGGGTTTTCTTTGCCCCTTTTATTTCCTTTTATTTATTTATTAAATTTTTTTTTCTTTTTTCTTTTTGTTGTCTCCTTTTATTAACTGTGGTCTTCAAATTCCATATGATTGAATTTTGCTATTTTTTATTTCCGCTTTTTTTTTTTTTTTTTTCCCAGTGCTGGGGATGCAACCAAAGTCTTACACATGCTAGGCAAGTGCTCTACCGCTGAGCGACATCCCCAGCCCTGGACTCATTGTTTATATAAATAGGTGCTATTGTTTATATAAATCAACCCCAAGGATAAATTTCTCAGGAAGAAGTAAGATTCTAGTACCTTCATGTTGCCTGGCTTTCTCTTTCCACCCTTTGTTTCCAGCTGCTTTCCACAAATGCCTTTGCTATGTTTATGTCAGAATTATATTTCACAATTAGAAAGCGTACTTTATGAACCTATAAGGGATTTCTCGGGAACTTGGGGAGGGCGAGGGCCGGCCACGGCTGACTGTGCTGTGTCACTCTTCCCACAGTTGTGAAGAACTTCCTGATCTTTTCGTCCCAATCGGCTGTACGTGGGATCCCATTCACCCGCTCCACCCAGGAAGATGTCATGGTTCCTGTGACAGGCAGCCCTTCTTTTTTTCTTGGGATTGATTTTGATGCCCGGGAGAGCACTATCTTTTTTTCAGATACATCGAAAGATATCATTTATAAACAAAAGATCGATGGCACAGGTGAGAGTGTGTGTGTTTTCTGGAGTTCATTCAGTATAATTTTGTACCCACTCCTGAGGCGGCATCTTCACTAAGCTGCACAAATGCTTTTGATTGGGAAAGAAATATATTGGGTTTTAAACATGAACCAAATTAAAACCGGCACATTTCCTTTATCTTCAAAATAAGTTATAAATGACTATATTTTATAATGACAAATACTAATATGAGAGGAACAGCAGTGTCTAAACCCTTCACACAGTGATTAACTAGAAACTGTTGTTTCTAGTCAAGCAACCACATTGGTCCAATGGGGTGTCATCACTTTGGGGATGCTGGGCTATCTTCAAGCCATTGTTTGGGCTTGGACTAATAATAATTTCTTTAAAAGAAATGAATTTTATGTAATATGGGTTTACTATACATTTTGAATTTATTGGAATTCTGTTAAAATCTTCGTAAGCATCAAAGACAAATTGTAGTCAGTCACACGTTACTGTTGGATACCTTACGTGGATGATGGCGTGATCTGTTAAGTCTATTTGTACCCACGAATGGGCTGAAACCTGCAATTTGAAAAAACATCGGTATGTGTACTGAGGTATCAATGTAACTAGTCACTAAGAGGACCAGTGCAGGCGTTTGACTGCATGGTTTTGAACTTGACTTTCCACGTTTTCTAGCCATGTAACCTTGGGCAAATTACTTAATTTCTTCATGCCTCAGTTTCCTAATCTGTAAAATAGGAGTAATAATATAGGTGCCATACAGTTCATAAGGCTGTTGAGAGAATTTTAGACTGGTGCATGTAAACTGCCTAGAATTAACGCCTGGAAAAGATGAAATACTTAGTCAATGCTAGCTATCATGAAGCTGTTATCAGTGAAAACTGTATGGCCCCATTTTCCCAGGCTCTCAAGCCAGACCGGCACTCCAGGGTCCTCGCCTGTCACCCTTATAGTGCTTTCTTCTGCTTTCTGACCCCATCTCTCTAAATGCTGCATTTGTGTAGATTATTGTTTCTTGATTTCTCATCTGACTTATTTACTTTCTTGTGGTAGATGAGGATTTGACTCTTACATTGTTTTCTTCCAGTCCCCTCCCCCAACTTTTTGTAATTTTTGATAAATTAAAACTAGATGCTTATAGTATTGATATAATCTAAATATAAATAGAGTCACTGCTAAACCAAGTAGACTGCTATGATGACACTTCTTGAACAATTTTGACTTTTTTCTGGACTTGACCGTTGTCCTGTCTCCGTTTGCTTAGTTCTCTACAGGACTGTCATACATGTTCGCCAGTGGAACTCTCAAATGCCTCTTCAAGGCAGCAAGCAGTGCTCCATCATTTTTTCCCTTTTGGAGGCCTCTGTTCCATTTCTGTGGGCCTCATTTCTCCCTGGGGCACAGCTGTCTCTGACTTTCCCTTGTCCCTGTCCTGTGTTAGATCTCCTTGTTTGGGGAAGGCCATTCATTTCTCTTTCTACATTTATTTCCTCATGTTGCTGGAACACAATTATATAACAGCTTCCTATGAAGATGAGTTGGGTGGCATACATTTTGAATCTTTGAATCTGAAAGTATTTTATTTTGTTCTCCATCTTTGTAGGGTTTTAGGTTGCAGGTAAATTATACCTCAGAAATTTGAAGACATCTCTCCAATGTCTTCTAGTACCCAGTGTTGAGAGTCCAGTACCACTTCTAGTTTTGGTTATTATTGTTGTTCTGTTTTTATTTCTTTCTAGAAGCTTTTTTTACCCCTCCAACCTTGAGATTATGCCTTCTTTTCTGGAAAAGTTTTGTTTCTCTGTTCTATTTCCCTCCCCCACCTTTCTGTAATTTTTTGTTTTTGATGGTACTGGAGTTTGAACTCAAGGCCTCACGCACTTCTTAGGCAGACACTCTACCACTTGAGCTACTCTGCCAGCCCTTTTTTTGTGTGTGTTGGGTATTTTTGAGATAGGGTCTTGCAAACTGTTTGATTGGGCTGGCCTTGAATTGCAGTCCTTCTGATTTTTGCCTCCCAAGTAACTAGAATTACAGCTGTGTGCCACCTGTGCCTGGCATAAAGTTTACTTTTTGTTTGGCATGAACCTTCTTTGACCTCTCTCTCACTCCCCAAGTTAGGAAGAAAAACATTCAGTAAATACCTTATTAAAAACCTCCCCAGCTGAGTGAGGTGGCTCACACCTATAATCCCAGCTACTTGGGAAGCAGACACCAGGAGGATGATGGTTTGAGGTCAGCCAACTCAGGCAAAAAGTTACTGAGACCCCCAATCTCAATAAACAAGCTGGGTATGGTGGCGAACATTTGCAATCCTAGCTACATAGGCGGCATGGGTAGGAGGTTATGCCTCCTCTTCTCTCACCACCTCAAATTCCTTGAGGGCAGTGCTTACACTTATTTCTAAATGCTTCACTTTCCTGTGACTCAGTTTCCTCATCTACAAAATAGGCACCGTAATAATGCATACTTGACTGAGTGGTCGTGAGGATGAAGGAATCTCTGTAAAGTCCTTCTTTCTACCAGTTCCAAGCCATAGTAGGTGCTCAATTAATATATAAGTTTTTATTATTAGCAATATTATGTTACCTAAATGTCTAATATGTTGCCTAGTACATAGACAACTTTCTTTTTACAATTAAATGAAAAAAAATGAATGGAAAAAAAAGCACTAGGATTTCTTTTTTTTACTACTGCAAAAGAAAAAGGTGATTGCTTATTTGGACTGACATTTTCTCTAGTAGAGAAGAAAGAAAGTGAAAAAGAGAGGGAAGGGCATAGCCGTTTCCCAGCCAGGAAAGTGGGCTTTTTCTCCCGTAGCCAGTTCTGACTTCCTTTCTGGCATCTTTGCTGGTCTTTTCCAGTCTTGGCAGCATTGTGTCTGTGAAAGTGTTGAAAGTCTCTTCAGACGGTTAGGCAGTCACACCTCTGGGCTCCCCCCTGCTTGTACCTGGCGGTGTCAGCCTGTCCGGGTGTTGTAGGTGAACTCAGGTATCTCTTCTTCAGATGTTCTGCAATGAGAAATTTTTCCTGGAAGGTTGAAGGGAGTAAATTCAGGCCACATCACTCCTGGCTCTGTTTATCAGTTTCATATCTATTCTTTGAGATCCAAGCTTTGGGGAATGGATAGATTATAGGCTTATCTCATGCTATTTCTTAGTGGTTAATTTTTTTTAAATTTAAGAATTCTACAAGTGTTTATGAACTGACACAAAATTGAAATATGCAGTAAGTAATAGGAATCTTCATGTCTTATATAATATACTTAGTTTAATTTAAGCCATATCTATATCTCCACTTACAGGAAGAGAAATTCTCACAGCTAACAGGGTGGAAAATGTTGAAAGTTTGTCTTTTGACTGGATTTCAAAGAATCTGTACTGGACAGACACCTCTCACAAGAGTGTCACTGTCATGAGGCTGGTTGATAAATCTAGACGAGAAATAATCAAGAATTTAGACAACCCACGGTCAGTTGTGGTCCATCCTTCTGCTGGGTAAGTGAGTCCATGTTTTCCTAAGAGCTTGGTATGTACGCCTTTAACAGTCATGGAAAGTGGGCCCATTACAAGGCTGAATCATCTAACTTGACATCACCTTAGGCTTTGTTCCTTTAGCATAAGCTTAAGTAATCACTTTATCTTCTTCAAAAAGCATTCTTGTAAAGTTTCAGCTTTCCTGGTCTTCTTTGATGCATGGTTTTCCCACAGTTGCAGAGGACCAAAGAATGTGCTTCAGTGTGGTAGGGAAGGAGGAAGATGTAGCAGAATTATCGAGAAAGGCTTACGTTCTTGCTCTGCCTTTCTGTAGTGGTGGGACGATTCGCAAAGCTTGCTTAGTCAGGCAGCAGTCTTCAGCATAAAACATTCTTCAGATCACGAACTGTCACGTTTTATTGTTCTCTACTTGGTGGTATGAGATAATATTTCTTTTTTAGTTCTTAAACATGTTCAGTGGCTAACATGTCTTAGAACAAGTTTGAGATATGCAGCTGTATTTGGATAGAATTATAGAAAGAAGGCTGTCGATTCACTAATGCCTGATTCTCTCCCTTCATGAACCCTTGACCCATATCTTCTCACCTAACCCATAACCCACTGTGGAGGAGTGATATGTTATACCCATTTTCAAGATAACAAATCTGAGGCTCAGTGAGGTAAAGTGACTTGTGAAAGAATCACAGCCAATGAGGAGAGAGGTGGCATTCAAACTCAGGCCTGCCCAAGGCAAAGCTTGTAGGCCTAACAAATTTTGTTTGCTGTTTCTAGAGTGTTCACTTTATATTTTTATTTTCTCTTTGTAAAATAATATGTGAAACATACTTTAAAACTGATACTGGTATTGATAAGAAATCCTACCATCCTATACAGACTTAAACTGTTGATTTTCTGATGAATTTACCTTAATATGAATCTTGGATATTTGGTTTTGAAAAGCTTCTAAATTCTTTTACTAATGACCTTTTCATTTAAAAATGATAGAAAGCAATAGTAACATTTGTGAAAGTTACATTTTGGAAGTGACTTATTTTGATTCCACAGGATTGTGTGAAAGAGAAAAGGGTGGTTTTTGTTTGTTTGGGTAAGGTGTTGTTTGAGTGAGTCACATTGATTTGATGCTTCCATTAGCTAGGCAAATTTATAAGTTCCTTATAGAAGAATAAGTAAAAAGTAATCTAGTAGATCATGGATGTTTGATCTAGAGAGAAAGAGAGACAATTAAAATCATTTTCTTGATCATGGTTTATTGTTTTAACAACATGGAGTCTTTAATATGTAACCCAAAGCAAGACGTGGTGGCACATGCCTGTAATCCTGGCACAGGGAGGCTGAGGCAGGAAGATCATGAGTTTAAGGGTAGCATGGGCTACATAAAGTATTCAAGACCAGCCAGGATATATATAGTAAGACTGTCTCAAGAAACAAACAACCTCTAGCAAACAACAACAACAGTAGTAACCTAACTGTCCTTTTAAAGGAATCTTCTGGGTGACAGTAATTTTAAGTCTTAGAGTCTACAGCAGTGGTTCTCTGCCCTGGATGTCCATTTTAATCCCACTTACATATTTGTGACTTTGAGTACATGTTTCTAACTCAATTCTGCTAAGCTGAATAGCATATACAGAAAGTATAATTAATTACAGCAAATCTGTAGAAAATCCATGTTTACTCTACATCCCTGTAAGTCACGTAACTGTGCCAATGTTAAACATCTTCTTCCAGGTGTATATTCTTCAGTGATTGGTTCCGCCCTGCTAAGATCTTGAGAGCGTGGAGTGATGGGTCTCACCTTGTGCCCATAGTTAACACTACTCTTGGGTGGCCCAATGCATTGGCCATTGACTGGGGGTAAGAAGGAATCATCCTCTGTTACTGAATTCCCACTTGCTGGGGACACATATGGGGCATGCTGGGGTGACCTGAGGGAGTAAAGAAGCTGGCACTGCTTGTCCTCAGAAACTCTTCTTTTTTTTTTTTTTTCATTTTTCTTTTATTATTCATATGTGCATACAAGGCTTGGGTCATTTCTTCCCCCTGCCCCCACCCCCTCCCTTACCACCCACTCCGCCCCCTCCCTCTTCCCCCCCCAATACCCAGCAGAAACTATTTTGCCCTTATCTCTAATTTTGTTGAAGAGAGAGTATAAGCAATAATAGGAAGGAACAAGGGTTTTTGCTGGTTGAGATAAGGATAGCTATACAGGGCATTGACTCACATTGATTTCCTGTGCGTGTGTGTTACCTTCTAGGTTAATTCTTTTTGATCTAACCTTTTCTCTAGTTCCTGGTCCCCTTTTCCTATTGGCCTCAGTTGCTTTAAGGTATCTGCTTTAGTTTCTCTGCGTTAAGGGCAACAAATGCTAGCTAGTTTTTTAGGTGTCTTACCTATCCTCACCCCTCCCTTGTGTGCTCTCGCTTTTATCATGTGCTCATAGTCCAATCCCCTTGTTGTGTTTGCCCTTGATCTAATGTCCGCATATGAGGGAGAACATATGATTTTTGGTCTTTTGGCCAGGCTAACCTCACTCAGAATGATGTTCTCCAATTCCATCCATTTACCAGCAAATGATAACATTTCGTTCTTCTTCATGGCTGCATAGAATTCCATTGTGTATAAATACCACATTTTCTTAATCCATTCGTCAGTGGTGGGGCATCTTGGCTGTTTCCATAACTTGGCTATTGTGAATAGTGCCGCAATAAACATGGGTGTGCAGGTGCCTCTGGAGTAACCTGTGTCACAGTCTTTTGGGTATATCCCCAAGAGTGGTATTGCTGGATCAAATGGTAGATGGATGTCCAGCTTTTTAAGTAGCCTCCAAATTTTTTTCCAGAGTGGTTGTACTAGTCTACATTCCCACCAACAGTGTAAGAGGGTTCCTTTTTCCCCGCATCCTCGCCAACACCTGTTGTTGGTGGTGTTGCTGATGGTGGCTATTCTAACAGGGGTGAGGTGGAATCTTAGTGTGGTTTTAATTTGCATTTCCTTTATTGCTAGAGATGGTGAGCATTTTTTCATGTGTTTTCTGGCCATTTGAATTTCTTCTTTTGAGAAAGTTCTGTTTAGTTGACTTGCCCATTTCTTTATTGGTTCATTAGTTTTGGGAGAATTTAGTTTTTTAAGTTCCCTGTATATTCTGGTTATCAGTCCTTTGTCTGATGTATAGTTGGCAAATATTTTCTCCCACTCTGTGGGTGTTCTCTTCAGTTTAGAGACCATTTCTTTTGATGAACGAAGCTTTTTAGTTTTATGAGGTCCCATTTATCTATGCTATCTCTTAGTTGCTGTGCTGCTGGGGTTCCGTTGAGAAAGTTCTTACCTATACCTACTAACTCCAGAGTATTTCCTACTCTTTCCTGTATCAACTTAAGAGTTTGTGGTCTGATATTAAGATCCTTGATCCATTTTGAGTTAATCTTGGTATAGGGTGATATACATGGATCTAGTTTCAGTTTTTTGCAGACTGCTAACCAGTTTTCCCAGCAGTTTTTGTCAAAGAGGCTGCTATTTCTCCATCGTATATTTTTAGCTCCTTTGTCAAAGATAAGTTGGTTATAGTTGTGTGGCTTCATATCTGGGTCCTCTATTCTGTTCCACTGGTCTTCATGTCTGTTTTTGTGCCAGTACCATGCTGTTTTTATTGTTATTGCTTTGTAATATAGTTTGAAGTCAGGTATTGGGATACCTCCTGCATTGTTCTTTTGATCCTAAGAAACTTTTCAATCATTAATTGGTGATGGGAGAAGGATGTTGAATGATAGAAGAACACAAATATAGTTGGCCAGTTACTGGTGGGATGAAAGCCAGTGCAGTCTTAAATATTGTGAGGAAGTTGCTAGAAGCAGCAGAACTACAGGACTTTGTGAAGGGTCAAGATGGAGGAGGCAAGCCCTGAGCTCTATTAGAAGTCCTTAAAGATGTGATGCAGGTCTTGTGTAATTTCTTACAGGGGCCATCTTGAGGACAGGAAATATTTGGAGTCAATCAACAAATGTACATTTGTTCATATGCACTTTGGAAAAAAGTTTAAAATACGAATATATTTCTCAAGAATTGATGATGGATGATTATCTAGGAATATGGGATAAATAAGCTTATAAATATGAAATGTCACAGTAGCTATGGGAGAGAAAAGGGAAGAAATGTTTTCAATGTTTTAAATATAGATTGCGACCAACATTTATCTTAACTTGTTGGTATTTCAGGGTGAAAAATAAAATTCCTAAACCAAAGGTAGCAACATTTGCAGTTTTGTCAATGAATGAAAGCCATTCATTGAAAGTAGATATCTTTCTAGGAGACATAATTCAAGCCTTAAGAACTTTAGTAAATGTGCCCACTGACAATGCTGATTTTGGACGTCAGTGTCAAGGGTGTCCTGCTGGTTTCTGGATAACAGATAACTAAATATTTCATTATTTTAGTGCTTCGCGACTGTACTGGGTAGATGCCTTTTTTGATAAAATTGAGCACAGCACCTTTGATGGTTTAGACAGAAGAAGACTGGGCCACATAGAGCAGATGACACACCCATTCGGACTCACTGTCTTTAAAGGTAGGTTTTGAGGCGGTACAGAGTATGCCATGGTTTGTACTTTGTGAGTTCTACCAGTAAATTCATCTTCATTTGGCATTGTCACAATCCCAGAAAAGCTTGTCACTTTAAAATATAAAAGATTAAAATGGTGCTATTATGTCGAGATTAAAATTCGGCTTTTTGATAAAAATTTCACTTTTAGAGAGTGCTGTTTTGACAGGTTACATGGAGACAGCACTTTGTAGATTTCACTCACTATTCTACTCCTGAGTAAGTATTATACAAGGAAGTAGTAAGTTCTGGCTTCATCATTTTTGAGAATAGCATAGCAAGAACTGTTTACAGTAACCTGCAAGATAATTTCATTTTTTTCAGTGGACAGATGGTTACATGTGTTTAACTGTTACCCACTGAATGATTTAAAAAAAAAACATTTTAATTTTATTTTATTTTTGGATTAGTATACGGTGATAACACAAGGGGATTTCATGTGATAATTCTGTACACGTGTACAGGTGCTTTGAACAAGTTCACCCCTCCATTATTTCCCATTCTACCTCTCCTTTCCCCCCTTTCATTGAGTGACTTAGAATGCTTTTAGCCAGAATACTGGGTAACTGACAACATAATGATACATCTTTTTTCTTCTGTCTTTTTCTTTCTTTTCGTGGTGGTGGGGATCGAACTTGGGTCTCGAGCACCCTACCACTGAACTATATCCGCAGCCTGGGATACGACCTGTGAGGGACACAAAGGGATGATTGTTTCTTTATCCATCTTTCTACATAATTTTCATGGTTCTAGTAAAGGTTGCCAGGAAGTGTGGAATTCTGGGAAATTACAGGCATAATGACGGTGGCCAAAGCCTTGGCCTGCCCTCTCTCAGCTCCCTTATTGAGTGTGGGCATGCTTCTAGGAGTTGGGTTGCTAGGAATAAGATGTAGCCTGACACCACGACACAGGTGGCACATTTAGTCTTGAAACAGGTCCTGAAAACAGAGCTCTGTGACCAGTTGTGTAGCTTGTGCACTGCACAAAAGTGCCAAGCCACATGAGTGTGTGACAAACCATAGTTAGCTTAGTTTGAGGGTGACACTCTGTATAGAACTACCAAAGGCCATATGTATAGCTAAGTGTGTCCCTGGTTGAAACCTCCTGCTGTAAGTAATTAGCATAGTGTTTTAAAAAAGCAGACATGGGCTATAAATGAAGACGTTCTCTCAAACACAGAGTGTGGAATGAAGAGTTATTAAATATGCTGTGTATTCCATCATGCTGTCTCTCTGTGGAGCGCGTGGTATTTAAAAAGATTTTAAAATGCTCTTGTGAGATTTTTCACGATATGAGTCAATTATAAATAGTCTCCCTCCATCATTCCTCCCTAACGATGTCAGACACAGGCCGTTTGCTGCTACATAGGAACATCATAAGAATGTTAAATTTTTCTGTTCTGGGCTGGAATGTTTTTGGATTGAATAAAAATTCAGTTTCAGTACCTTTTGGTTTCATCAGTATGAAAAAAATGAGTGCATATCCACGAGAACAACATTCCAAAGTAGTAATTAGTTTCTGTCAACTGTGGCTTTCATCATGAATTTCTTTTCTTTTCTTTTTGTAGCTCAGGCTGGCTTGAATTTACAACCCTTCTGCCTCAGCCTCCAGAGTGCTGGGATTACAGGCATGTGCTACCATGCCCGGCCTCATTGTGAATTCCTTATGGAAAGTTCTTTTATTGTGTAACACCATGGAAAGGATGCAGTTTTTTACCAAAAGGCTTGATCTTTTTGACTGCACACTGCATGAGGGTGAAAGTTTGATTGAGCTTTTTATCTATTTAAAAACATTAAGGTACCTTCCTGAATGGTAGGACTGAAACTGCCATTCAGTAGAGAGAACATTTAGTGAGTCATTGATTAGACCACAGATATGGAAACTTGATAATGTTAGAGTATGTGACATTGTAAGCATTTTCTAGCTAGTTATACTATTGCCAATGAAAAGATCCACTTTTTTTTTTTTTTTGAGACAGGGTCTTGTGTAGGTAGCTAGACTGGCTTTGAACTCATGATCCTCCTACCTCAGCCTCCCTAGTGCTGGAATTACAGGTGCGTGCCGTCATGCCCAACTAATCTGAACACAGTTGAAATCTATGTTTACTTGCCTGCATTTTTTTAGTGAGAATAAAGTGCACATGGTTAAGTTTTTATTATTTAGAATCTGATGTTGCCTCTCTTTTACCATCCCGAGCACCATGGGATGTTGGTGTGGTTGTAGGCATATGCACACTTGTGTTGATATTTTTTACTGATTCTCAAACATACACTGCAAGTTCTCTTTTGGCCTAGATCTTTACTTTTTTCCCTTTCAGTGTTTTCTTAAAGTTGAGCATATGAAAGTTCCATGTTCTCATGAAGATACAGGATGTGGGGTGTTGGACTTGGAGCTCAACACTTAAGAGATAGTGTGGTCTATTTCCTTCACAAAGCTAAGAATTTGTGTAAGAGCCCTAGGCAGGTTCTTGCTTTAGCTGGGAGAAGAACTTGGTCTCATAGGACCTCATGTAGTGCTCTATAGGACACTGAGGGTTTTTATTTTTATTTACTTATTATTATTGTACTGTGGGTACAAAGTGACACTTACAAGAGTTCTTACAATATATCCTAGTTGAATTTACCCCCTCCATCATTCTCCTTTACCCCTCCCCCCATTTTTACCTATGGAAATTGAAACCCAATTGCTACTAAATGCATCATAAAAGTCCCTATGTGTGTGCCTGAACCTGAATCCTCATATTAATAAAATGTAAGCTTCCAAAGAGCACTTCTAGAGAGCCATGGAAAATGGGTTCAGAAGATTCTCTTCCTTGCAAGTAATGTTTCAAGCCAATTGCGTTTTCCCAAGCAATTTATTCAAGTATGCTATGACTGAAAAGGCTAACTGGGCTTGTTTCTTCTTAGATTCTGTGTATTTTACCGACTGGAGGCTGGGCGCTATTGTCCAAGTCAGGAAATTGGATGGTGGAGACATCAGAGTTATTCGAAGTGGCATCACCAATGTAATGCACTTGAAGTCATACGATATTGACGTCCAGACTGGTGAGTGACATTGCCAAACTTCTTTCTTCATGTGGATGGATTTATTTGACTTGGTGACTCCTTTCTCTTGAAGCACTTATTTCACGGCTTCTGGAAGTGCTGTGTTCCCACCATCCACATATGACTTCAGTCTCTTACTCTGCTAATCCTCAAAGTGTTTTAGGGAAACACCCATTTTAGCACTTTTTTGTATTTGCATAAAATGCTGTATTTGGCAGGTTGATTTCCAGGAGGATGATTGACACTCTTTACTATAGGATTTGCGAAGTGTTTTTTCTTCTTTCTTTTTTTTCACAATCCAAACCTGGAATGACCATAATGGGACTGGCTTGGCATTTGCAGGGTCCAACTCCTGCAATCAGCCCACCCATCCCAACGGCGACTGCAGCCACTTCTGCTTCCCAGTGCCAAATTTCCAGCGTGTGTGTGGGTGCCCCTACGGGATGAAGCTCGGTTCCAATCACCTGACCTGCGAGGGAGACCTGGCCAACGAGCCACCCACGCAGCAGTGTGGCTCCTTTTCCTTCGAGTGTGACAATGGCAGATGTGTGCCCAGCCTCTACCGCTGTGATGGATCTGATGACTGTCACGACAACAGTGACGAGCGTCTCTGCGGTACATTTAGTAAGTAGCTGTGTACTGCAGATAGCTCCTGGGATCAGTAGAGTGGGGGAGTGGGCTTAAAAAATAAAAAAGTTTAGGTTATGTGTATGGGAAAATATCTTTTTGGATATGTTTTTAGAATATCAAGTTCTTAACATGTACTACAAGGGGCTTTAGAAAGCTAAGTAGAAACTAAACATTGTTCATCAGAGATGTTACAGCTGATTTTTTTAGTACCGATTTAGATCATCTTCAAGAAGATTTCTTTTGACGATAGCTGTTTGGACAGATGCAGAGTCATTGCATTTTTATAAGTCCCTCAAAAAACTGAATCAGAGCTGGGGATGTGGCTCAGTGGTACAGTGCTTGCCTAGCATGCAAGAGATCCTGGGTTCGATCCCCAGTACGACAAGAAAAAAGGTTAAATCAAAATGGACACAGTGTTTAGAAGCTGAGAGAATAGTGTCAGAGAATGGATGCATGTGATTATAGCCTTTGTAAATCTCATGGGCTGTTCCCCCCACCCGTGCCTAGATGTGGAGTTCAATGAAGTAGGGGTGATGTGGCGGCCTGTCCTTATATGTTCTTGTGGTGGTAATTCGGTTTATGAAGTTTGAGGTTTTGTAAATGCTGTTGCAGAGGGGTAAGTGCCCCTTTAAGGTTTTTAAAAAAATAAACATGGAGAACGGTTGAAAATTTCAGAAATCTTTATTAATGTGAGACTAATGGTAAGGATAACTTGTGTTTTTGGAGAGAAGGAAAAGTGACAGGAGTAGGGATTTAGGTCTATACACACACACACACGTGTGTAATATACATATGTATATTACTGTCAGGCTTATCATCCCAGCATTCAGGATTTCGAGGGAAGAGGATCAAGGGTTCCAGCCCAGCCTGGGCTACATAGCGAGACCCTGTCTCAAAAAAAAAGCTGTACATAGAGTACTTGGAAAGTGCCTGATAAGTGTTAAATAAAAGCCTGAGGATGGTGGCGATGATGATGTTATTGTTTTGTGCACATTTCTCCTTGTTTTGTGTGATGATCCACTGAACAAGGAGAGCTTGGCTGTCACAGGGAAGAAGTGACATAAAAGGCTGTAAGCCCAATGTCCTCTTGACCGGTTTGTGGCTGTTGTAGATAACTCTGCTCACCTTCGGCCTTCACCTGTGCCCATGGAGGACAGTGCATTCCTGCACAGTGGCGCTGTGACAAGCACAATGACTGTGTGGATGGCAGTGATGAGCAAAACTGCCCTACCCGAGCACCCACTTCCTGCTTCTCGTCCTACTTTACCTGTGATAACAACCTGTGTATCCCGAGGAACTGGGTCTGTGACACCGACAATGATTGTGGCGATGGATCCGATGAAAAGAACTGTGGTAAGTTTTGAACTCCTGTGCTAGGTGGTCAGCCTCGAAGGCACATTTGCACAGTCTGTGGCCTTGCACTTTTCCTCTGAGACCCATGTTTTTTAGGTACTACTGTTTCTCCTGCCAATCTCTGTAATGCCAGGCTGTAAGAACAGGGGCGTGAGCCTGAATGTGGAAAGTTTAGTGTTCTACAAACACTGAGCTTTGTGAAAGCAAGACAAGGATTATCTCTTGATGCCAAACATCTGGACAAAAACTGAAAAGATAGAACCAGGCATAGTGGTGCACACGTATAGTTTCAGCCACTTGGGAGGATGAGGTCAAGGCAGGAGGGTTGCTTGAGCCTAGGCTCAGAAAAAAAAAAATCCCTCAACTAACTATTCATATATTTAAAACAATTTTTAAAATACCATATAAACATATCCAGACATTTGGCTATTGGTTTTTTCTTTTCATCTTTTCATTTGATATAGGCAAAAAGCAACAGAATAAAGAGGCACAGAAAATTGAAATTTCCATTAATTTTGAACTCAGAACCTCTACTACTTGAGCTACACCCCAAGCTCTTCTGTTTTGTATTTTGTTTTTGAGGCAGGGTCTTGATAACTGCTTGGGCTGGTCTTGAACTCATGATCCTCCTGCTTCTGCCTCCCAAGTAACTAGGATTATAGGCATGTGCCAACACACTTGACTAGAAATTTCCAATTATCTTATCCATATGGCTTTTTATCTTTCCAGTTCTCATTCCTTTAGGTTATTATTTATTTCCATGTCTGCAATAATAGTTTAAAGTGGAACAGAGTTCTCTGAACTAAATTGTTGTCCTGGTTCATTACTAGGAAAATCAACCTATTCGAGTAGATAGGCTTTGAAATACCTTCTAATTTTTAAATTCCACAAGTCTGTGTTTATTATTACTTCATTTTGTGGATGGGGCAGTCAGCACATCTGACTCCAAGGTTGTACCTTCATAGCAACGTAGGTCCCTCGGTTTTAGAATCGTTCTGTGTACTTTGGATTGGATGCAGTCACCAGGCTCTGGTTGCACATTGTCGCTGCCAGGCAAGTGCAGCAGGCTGACCACGCTGCCTTGTTGGCCTCCGTTGCTAGTCAGGAATTGAGTCTTCATGAGACCTCGTGCCAGTTTAAGCACACAGTGCTTACTGGCTAAATGTCTTCTGTTTTGCAAGGTGTAATCACAGTTCCAGGTTCTACATTGTAATCTTTTAATTTTTTTTTTTTTTTGGTAGTGCTGGGGTTTGAACTCAGGGTCTCATGCTTATTAGTCAGGTGCTCTGCTGCTTGAACCACTCCTGCAGTCCAAATAATCCTTTAATTTTTTTTTTTCTTTTGGTAGTACTGGGGTTTGAACTCAGGACTTTGTGCTTACAAGGCAGGCTCTATACCACTTGAGCTATACCTCCAGCCCTCCTTTAATTTTTGATTCCCAAAACTGTCCTAATTTTGAGCTCTCTTTCTGGACTGACTTTGATACCATGGCTGATTTGAAGGACTTTTGAACACAGATAGAACTGGGATAACTTACACAGCTACTTAGTGTTTTTAGTCTGACTCAGGTACATATTGAGCAGGAAATAGACTTATTTTGCTTTGTTTTTGGATGACAATAGAAACTTCACAGACATGCGGACCTAGTCAGTTCCATTGTCCTGACCATCGGTGTATTGACCCATCTTATGTCTGTGATGGAGACAAGGACTGTGCTGATGGATCTGATGAGGCTGGTTGTGGTAAGTAGATTGCTTTTTTTTTTTTTTTTTCATTGACATTTACAAAAATCTCAGGGTTTAGTCATTTATCCCTGAGCTAATTTCTAATGCCCTTCTCTTTCATTCTTAGTACTAAACTGCACTACTTCTCAGTTCAAGTGCGCTGGTGGGAACGTGTGTATTAGCAACATATACCGTTGTGATGGCGTTTTTGATTGCTCTGACAACTCTGATGAGGCAGGCTGTCGTAAGTACCACATACTCGGCTTGTTTCAAAGGGATCATCATCTCATCTTGACTGGTATTGATACTGCTGCTTATTTTCTCCAACTCAGACAAAGTGGGACAGTCCTGCATTACAAAGTATTCTTAAAAGAATGCAGTATCAAACAGTAAAATTGCCTAGGAATTGCTAAAAGTTGTTACTAGAAAATCAAATGATTGTATAAATGGGCACTTCAAATAGTCTTGTAGTTAGGTTAAACATTTCTTAGATATTTTTGTCAATCTTTTCAGGTTTTGCTGTATATCAAGGTTTTTGACTAGCTTCTTTTAAATCTCAATTGGGAGACCAAACCATGTTATAGAAATGATACAGAGCGTATATACAGTGTATATAGCACTGACTATTCTTTCAGCTGTTACTTGTTGAGTAACTGATAAGGTGTTCTATATAGCCTTTGTCTTTAGAGTTTGGTAAGGGACATTACAGACAGCAAGAGACAAAACAAGGTAGAGAGTAAGAAAGGCCTAAAAGTTGCATAGATAAATTTCTACAGTGATTTAAGTGATTTTCAGCAATTCCTTCTAATCAGAGGATCCAAGGAAACTCCATACAATATAAATTGGATGCATCCTATAATATTCACAGGCTAGGGACGTAACTATTTGTGTTAAGTAGATTTTAGACTTGTAAAAAATCATTAGTGAGATGGGCACTGGTCACTGACACCTGTAATCCTAGCTACTCAGGAGGCAGAGATCAGGACATTTGAGCCATCCCGGACAAACAGTTTGAGAGACTGGAAAAACCCAACACAAAACAGGGCTGTTGGAGTGGCTCAAGTGGTAGAGTGCCTGCCTACTATGCAGGAGATCCTGAGCCTGAATTCAAATCCCAGTGCTGCAATAAAAAAAAAATCATTAGAGAGTCAGTCAGTTATTTGAACAGTGATGTACTTTATAGTTTACTCAGCAACAGAATCACAGATTTTTCTGTTTCGTGTGGAAAGCGTGGAACTCAATTTCCAGTGACTTGATGTGGCTTTGTGAGGTCCCTGGGAGAGAGCTTGGGACCTCTGTGAAATAGGGAAGTCATTCCTCCATACTTTTCAAGGATTGCTTGATGGATAGTAGAAAGTTTGTAAAGAATCAAGTATTTACTGTCACCTGTAGTTGACTTAATATGCTGGTTTCATTGGATATAGATCATTTGAGGGGAAATGACAACATCCAACATTATGATATTAGACACATGAAGGACAGTGTAACGACAGCTGTTTAAGCTCCATTGAAATGTGATGGTGAAGCCAGGTGTGGTAGTGTATGCCTGTAATCCCAGCACTCAGAAGACAGAGGATCTCTACAGTTTGAGACCAGTCTGGGCTATATAGTAAGACCCTGTCTCAAAAAAAAAAAAAAGTCACAAAGAAAGAAAAGAAATGCATAAATGCTATGATGATTCTTTAATAGAGAGATGGATAAATTCTATTATTGAATCTGGAGTTGAATAAATATTAGAAATACAAGAAATAGATTGTTCTTTTGACTCAGGTACTTACCTCCTAGGCAAGAACAGCGCCTCATTTCTGATTCTTGTATGTAATCCTTGGTTTGCCCAGGTTTCTGTCTTCAGTGACGTCTCATTATGCTAACAAAAAATAAATAAGAGCAGGGCAGCCTGTGTTGTCAGATCCATTAATCTGACACATAAATATTTGTGTGTGCCACAATGTGGGAGAAGACCTTATATTATTTTAGCTTTTAATATTAATTTTGTTGTAGTTATTATTATAAACCTACTATTGATTCATAATAATTTCCTCTGAATCTATTCTATACAAGGGACAATAAAAAATTGCACTCACAGCCCATTTCTTCCATGCTTTTCTCCTAGCAACCAGGCCTCCTGGAATGTGTCACTCAGATGAATTTCAGTGCCAAGGAGATGGTGTCTGCATCCCGAATACCTGGGAGTGTGATGGGCACTCTGACTGCATTGACGGATCTGATGAGCACCATGGCTGTGTTCCCAAGACTTGCTCTCCAGCTTATTTCCGATGTGACAATGGAAACTGCATCTACAAAGAGTGGCTCTGTGATGGGGACAATGATTGCAGAGATATGAGTGATGAGAAGGACTGCCCTACTCAGCCCTTTCGCTGCCCCAGTCGGCAGTGGCAGTGCCCTGGCCATAGCATCTGTGTGAATCTGAGTGCACTGTGTGATGGCGTGTTTGACTGCCCCAATGGGACAGATGAGTCTCCACTTTGCAGTAAGTTTCCCGACTACAGTTTACTAGGCATAACTTTATTCTGAGCAGTAGCCCAGTGTTCTTCACCATTGTCAGTCCCCATGTAGCTTATTAGGAAGGGATTTTAGTTCCTCTGTGTCTTCAACTCTGTGTAGGGGTAAAGATAATTGAATTCAAATAAATCATCACTGGATAACATCTCTCATTAAATCTTTTGTGCTTGGCTTTGTGTTTTTCCTTCCTTTGGGTCATTGTTTAGAAAAATGAGACTAAATAAGGTTGCTAGATTGTCAAATGAAATTGGTTCTGTTGGTAATGAGCTCCTGGGTTTCTCTAACTTTAATATTTGGTAACGTCAATCAGAACTTTGCACAAAACAAATGAAGTCTGGGGATTCATGTTTGCTGTGATTGAAATACTGTGATTGGCATGTGATCCTAATTACTGTCCTTTCTTTCTTTCTTCTTTAATCAATGCTCACTGTCAGATGAACCACAGCCAGGTATGATTGTGAAGTATCTTAGATTCTTACGATTTCATATATATCGTGTTTGTGCTGAAAGTATCCTAATTACTGTAACTCCCCCTCTAGTGCATGTTCTGTGTTATGACTACTAATACAGTTGGGATATTTAGCAATAAAGGGCATTTGCATCCCTAGGCATGTGACCTACCAGTCTTTGGGTGGCTTTAGGCATTGTCACTATGGCCCCAAGAGAAAGGAATGGTGGTGTGTTAGTGGATCTGTGCCCTCTAGTGTTCCAGTTACCATTCTCCTTCCATTTATTCTCTTTCATAGATCTTCCAGCCTGTTCTCTTAAGTATGTAGACCCCATATTACATTTCTATGTAGATAGAAGAGTTTCAGAGGAAGCAAGTTAGGTTTCTTTGCATGCTTTTAACAATGACAGTTTTTTTTTTCTTGATGTCAACAGTATTTCCCCAAGAGTCTCTTACTGTACTAAATGTGTTATTTGGGAGGGTATGATGAAACAAATGATCCAAATCCAATGGGTAATAAATCCCTAGGCACATGAGAGCAGACACTGAACAGCCTGCACTGTCAACCAAATGAACGTTGCTCTTAGCTTTTATCTGGGCAACACATTGAAGGTGAGATGGGACATGACAAATATTACATCAGAGTGAATCAAAGATTCCTGACATTTTCCCTTTGTGATTCTCTTTCTTTCTTCTAGACCAGGAAAGCTGCTCAATTTTCAATGGTGGCTGTACGCATAGGTGTATTCAAGGGCCCTTTGGGGCTACCTGTGTCTGTCCACTGGGATATCAACTGGCCAATGATAGCAAGACCTGTGAGGACATAAATGAATGTGATATCCCAGGCTTTTGTAGCCAGCACTGTTACAACATGAGAGGTTCTTTCCGGTGCTCTTGTGATCAGGGCTACATGTTAGAAGCTGACGGGAGGACTTGCAAAGTTACAGGTAATTGTTGAATCTCAAAGTGAATTAACTCCAGCCAGTTTAATAATCCATCCCAGAGCTTAAGATCAAATGTGTGCATAGACACTTGGTGATGTTAATTAAGGGTCAGAATGACTGAATCATGGACAGGTTATGTAATGTTTTTTAACCTTAAAGTCTTAATTTATTTTGGAAAATAGAAGTTAAAAATATATATCGATAAAAGATGACTTATTACTTAACATGACATCGTATAGTTTTTATATTATTTAAAATTATTTCTATATTAGATTGAAGCATCTTTACATAAGACTGAGTAAATTAAATTCAACCAGTATTAACTCAACTTCTATGATTATGAAAGTGATTATACTATGCATAGGAATATTGACTCAACTGTTTTTATTCATTTTTTTTCCTGTAATACATTTTTTATCATCCACATTATTGTTGTACTGTGACATTTACAAAAGTTTTTACAATATATCATAGTTGAATTCACCCCCTCTATCATTCTTTAGGATTCAGCTGTTTTGTTTTTTTTTTTTTTTGGTTGTGGTGGAATTTATTTATTTATTTATTTTTGCTGATTAAAACTTTTTTTTTTCATTTATTCACATGTGCATACATTGTTTGGGTAATTTCTCCACCCTGCCCCCCCTGCCCAGTTCCAGGCAGGTCCTGACCAAACAGAGGATAAAACAAGATAGGAAGTTTCTTTGTTTTACAAGTACAAGTCTGGATGGTATGTGGTCCAGAGCTGATCTGTTATTCTTATCATGTGGTTTACATCCATGATTCAGTGCCATCCCTCCAATCGTTCCTTCTCTCAGAAAATAGGAAAGGGCAAGAGAAAGTTGAGGGCAAGCAACCTCCTTTTAAGTATGTGACCCGGAACTGGATCCATTATTTCTATTCATATCCTATTGATAAGGACTTAGTCATGTGGTCACCACAAACTGCAAGGGAGGCTGAATGGTGCTGGGCCAGGCCAGAACATGGCATGCCTTGTTACTGAAAAATGAAAGGAGAAAAGGTATATTGGCAGACAATTAGAACACACCTGCAGCTAATCCTGAGAGAAGACAAAAGTGTTTAAGACATGATTCCTGCTATGAAGAAGTCTACACTCTAGTAAAGTAGATAAGCAAAGTACAAAAATAAATACAGTACAGGGAAGAATGTAAGTATAGTTCACTCCAGCCTGGTATTTACTCATTGAAATATAATTTGAGGAGGAAAGACTCTTTTAAATACTAACGAAAATCAGCTAAATATTAAGGTCAAGAATGAGTGATGAAAATAATTCTTATGAAGTTTTTCTCATTAGATTACTTTCTTACTACTTTGTAATCACAAAAGTTACCAAACTGTTACACTAAATGTTTACAAGATTCTTAATTGCATTTTCTCTCAGAGTCATTGACATTTTTGCCCTTTTTTCTTGCACAGCATCTGAAGGTCTGCTGTTACTTGTGGCAAATCAGAACAAAATTGTTGCTGACAATGTCACCTCCCAGGTCCATAATATCTACTCATTGGTCCAGGATGGTTCTTACATCGTAGCTCTTGATTTCGATTCAGTCAGTGGTCGTATCTTTTGGTCTGACTTACGTCAGGGCAAAACCTGGAGTGCATTTCAAAATGGAACTGACAAGAGAGTAGTGAGTACACTGCTATGAACCACTGGCCTCTCCAGATCCCCTGTCCTGGTTCTGTTTCTGTTGCTCTTCAGTGAGGAAGACTCTAGCTTCCTCATCCTTGGCAGCTCTTAGAGTTCTTCCTGAAGCACGTCACACTCAGGAGGCCTGGATGTTTATGACTCCTCATCCTGGTGTTTTAGATCAGAGTTTGGTCTCTGAAGGTCTATTCATGTTTCTGAAATCCATGTCACATGATACAGAGACTTCCTGAGATCTCTGAGGTCCCTTTTGAGTCTTTTGTGGATGAGAGCACAGGAAAGTGCAGGAGAGACAAGGGGTGGCTTTTCTTAGCTTTAATTTAGTGTTGCTTCTCATTCCATTTCTCAGAGTTTCAGTCTCTTGACACTTGACAGTTGAGCTTTCCTCTGCCCCTTAGCACTCTATTCTGTTATTTGGGATACTACTCTTGGCTGAACATTACAGAGTTTCATAAGGTTGCCAGCCTAGCAAGTGGGTAGGGCTCTTGTGTAAGTACCCAAATTTTTGAAATCAAAATAAAACAACCCACTAATTAAATAATAGAGTTACATTAAAATAGTCAACATTATGAAATCTTATATATTTTCCCTGGAAAATCCCACTTTTGATTTATGGGTTAGCCACATGGAAAGATAAACTCTTCTAATGCCAACAGCTATCATAGAACAAGACAGGTGCCTTATTCTAGGTTGTCATACAATTTTTGTGTTGTCATTCACTTATTCTTTAGTATTCACCCTTTATTCACTTTCGTCTCTAGGTACACGACAGTGGTATGTCTGTGACTGAAACTGTTGCTGTAGATTGGATAGGTCGTAATGTTTACTGGACAGACTATATTCTGGAAACAATTGAAGTCTCTAAAATTGATGGAAGCCACAGGACGGTGCTGATTAGTGACAATGTAACAAATCCAAGGGGACTAGCATTAGATCCCAGAATGAAGTAAGACTTCATTAACTTGACAATGCGAGTATTGAAATGATTGCTGTGTGTTTATATAGTGAACTTTCTAGTCAGTGCATGAGGCGATAACCCACAGCGGGTCACTTACCTCTGCCTGTCATGCCTTGTAGTTTCACAACAAAAAGGCCAGGTTATCTTGGGTCAGTTTCATGTTTGCTAGAGCACTGTTTAAAGTTGTATAGGGAAGATTTTTTTCCTGCTGTTCATAAGGGAAGGAAGAAATTCTCCCATGTGTTTAGAAGACTTTGAGTGTCTTCCTTCCTTCAACTGACTTAGATTCTATAACTTAAGATTCTGTTCTTCAGGAGGTGAATTAGGCAATTTTTGTTCAAGATGAGACCGCCTTCCTAGATATTTCATACCAGTGAAATTTATGATGAGTCTTTGAAGAGGAATAAATTGATTCTCTTATCTAAAACTTATCAGGGTAGATTAACAAGGGCAGATGGATTTTCTGGATCAGTTATTTATAGATTGCACACACACATGAATTGGCATTGAGACATTTCAGTGTCATAAAGTGATGCATGTTTTATGAACATCATAAAAACACCCAGATGGCCTGTGACTGCATTATAATTACAGTTTTCCTGTGTGACACTCAGAGGAAATAATAAACCGCGTGCATATATTCTGAACTGGAGATGATTTATGTTAAGCAGAGCATGAACAGGAGGTTGTATCATGTTAAATAATAGTTATTTTTCATATTGAGGTGCGTGCCCTTTCATGGGTAACTAGCTTCTTTTCACAGTGAACATCTGATGTTCTGGTCTGACTGGGGCCACCACCCTCGTATTGAGCGAGCCAGCATGGATGGCACTTTGCGTACGGTCATCGTCCAGGACAAGATCTACTGGCCCTGTGGCTTAACTATCGACTACCCCAATAGACTGCTCTACTTTGTTGATGCCTATCTGGATTACATTGACTTTTGTGATTATAATGGACAGCATCGGAGGCAGGTGGTAGCCAGTGATTTGGTAAGTCAGTAATGAGGAAAAACAAATTAAAATTACCATAGCAGCTAGGTTGAAAAGAGAGCATCAAGGAGAGTAAAACATTCATTTTTGTGTCATAGGCATCACCAGGTCAACAACAGTGGGGGAGCAATCCATCCTCTACTACTAACAGGAAAATAAATATTTTTATTGCAGTTCTTGTTCAGATTGTGCCATGTCCAGGAAGGATTAATAGCTCATGTGACTTAGCTGATCCATAGATGGTGATCTTTTGCTTCTCTACCTTTAAAAATTATATTTAGCAAAAATTTATGATTTATGATTTAATTTTCTCAAATCATAGAATGTTATGTATATATTTTTGGGGGGGGGGAATACTGGAGTTTGAACTCAGGATCTCATACTTGCTAGGTAAGCACTCCACCACTACAGTCATGCCTCCAGCCCTTTTTACTTTGGTTTACTTTTAGATAGGGTCTTATGCTTTTGGCCTCTGACTGCAATCCTCTTACCTTTGAGGGTAATATAGCTGAGATTAAAGGTGTGTACCACTGTGTCTGGCCTGTTTAATATTTTTATTCAAAAAAATTGTTGAATAAATTTAATAGGCTAAATGAACAAATAAAGAAAATATGCATTATACCAAAAAACTGTTATTGACTTTGATTTAAGATTGCATTGTTTATAGTTTTTGTGGCTCAAAGGGGCCATGGGAGGGATTCTACCTTCAGGAAATATGCACCTAAGCCATAACAGATTCCTGTGAATCAGTGAATGGCAGAAATAGCCCTGGAGGGAGAGTGGTGAGAATAGGGTAGGGCTGGTGCTTGGCGTTAGGGAACATGGAACCTCTAACTTGGTTCTCTAGATATATCTAACCTCTAATTAGCTGGTGATCCAGATAGGACGGACACCTTTCTTTCTGTGCTTCAGTTTTATTTTCATTTTTAAAATGAATACTAGAGTATTATGTGAAATTAGTTTGAATGGTGTAGTGGGATTCAGGACAATGGTATTGTTTTTTGCCTAACTCTTACCCAATTACTTCCCGGCGTCTTTATTAAATACTTAAATGTTAAAGAAAGCCATCTTCTGACCAGACATCCTTTTTGAAGTAGTTCGCGTTGGCTTTCATTTCTGGGTGAGGTCTCATTGTCTGGTTCTGCTTCTCAGATTCTGGTCCATCCCCATGCCCTGACTCTCTTTGAAGAGTATGTGTACTGGACTGACCGTGGTACTCACCGGGTGATGCAAGCCAACAAGTGGCATGGGGGGAACCAGTCAGTGGTGATGTACAATCTTCAACAGCCTCTTGGGATTGTTGCTGTTCATCCTGCCAAGCAACCCAATTGTAAGTGATGACACGGGAACACTCTGCCTAGGAACACTTGGAAATCACTCGAAGTGCTAAGTGCACACTGTCCAGCTCATTCGTTTGGGCAATAAAATTTCCTTTCTTTTCACTAACCACCCTACTCCATTCCTCCCCAGTTGTCACATTGCCCTTGCTTTTCTTTACCATGGGAAACTCAAGCACATCCAGATTGTGTCATTTTATTCAGCCTCTGAGTCTGTTTTCTCAGCACTTTAGATCCTCTTATCCTGACCACATGGTGGCTTAAAGATTTGTTGAGATTCAGTTATTATGGCACCATTGCCTTGAAGGTGCACTGCTCTGGCCACCCAGGTCACCCTCATGCATGCATGTGGTGTGGGTGGCTAGGTGAATGATTTAAAGGTTTGGCTTTGGTGATGTCCTTTCTGGTGGGAGGGGAATAAGTTACTTAATCTTCACATAGTTGTCTCTCCTCATAGCCCTTCAGTGGTATCTATCACACTTTAGAATCTGGCCGTGCTCTTCCCTAGCCTCTTCTCTCACCACACTGGAGTACATCATAATCCAGGACTAGGCTAGATTCTACCTCTGGACTTTGACAGTAGCTCTTTGCACTGCCTGGGACTTCTGACTTCCAGGGCTCTGTAGGAGTTGCTTCTGCATGTCATTTAGGACTCTGCTCAAATGTCACTTTCTCAGAGAAGCCCTCCTTAACCACCCTACCTAAAGTAGACATTCCTCTCATAGTTCTTTTGCTCTTTAACATTCTGAAATTACACAGACACCCCCCATCTTCACACACATTCAATTTATGAGTTTAGTTCTATCTCTTTTGCTATAATGTATGCTTCATGGTTATAGCATCTCAGTGCTTAAATGGTGTTTGGTACTAGTGAATTCTTAATATTTTTTAGGGGATGAATGGATTAATAATCTAGCAGGGCATATGTGAGAAGAACAGATAGGATCTAGGAAGCCTTGTGTGAATTTGGGATACCCACAGAGTCTGTTTTTTCACGGAGATGCACAAAGATGTCATCAGTGGAAAAATAAAAGATTATTATCTAATCAAAACTTGGGCAACACTTGGTAAAGTCAAGGTCACATAACAAACACACAACCTGGTTTCATTTAATATGAAAGGATCTCATTAGGCTGGGCAAGGAGAAGTTATTTAGCATCATATTTCATTGGCTGGTCATAATGTGGCTATTGACTGGATTGACTTGTGACCTTGGGTAAGTCATCCCTCCCTTGTGTGCCTCTTAACCGAGATGACTTCAAGTATTTGTGCCTCCAAATACTGGGAGCCTCAGGGAGGACAGTCACAGCATGATGTAAACACCATAGTGTGACAGATTTCCCACTCATGGGTGTGTCCTTTCTTCTTTCTCCCACAGCCCCAAATCCATGTGCCTCTTCCGCCTGCAGCCATCTCTGCCTGCTCTCCACACAGGGGCCCAAGTATTACTCTTGTGCTTGTCCTTCAGGGTGGAACCTCTCCCATGATTCTGTGAATTGCTTAAGAGGTAAAGTATGCCCTTTACATGTGGTCTGAAGATGGAACATGTCATAGTTTATGCCAGGCTGTGGAAACTCTCAATCCACTTGTGAATGAGCATGTGTGTACTCCCTTTAATTCAACAGGTGTCTGTGGAGTGCATGATGTGTGGGGCTTTCAGTTGGTCCCTTCAGTTGAAATATAGTTCCTATATATGAAGTTATGTTACCTGTGCATGTGACTGGACAATCTTTAACCTCCTATTTTCTCATACCTGACTGCTATTAGACTTTGGGAAGTTCCAAATTCCATACTTAAGAAGTAAAAATTATTGGTATTTCTGTACAGCATAAATTTTCAGACCCATCATCTCATTTTTATTTTTATAACAAGTAGTCAGTGATGAGATTTCTGGCCTGGGTATTCTGACTCCAATTTTAGTACCTTTACTCTTAGTTTTTTTTTTTTTTTACATTTACTTCATAAATTTTATTTTTCCTGACTTCATTTCAGTAAATCATGACTATACTTTTACAATCAAAAGTACTCTTATTATCTGATACTTTTTAAAAACTGAGAGCTGTCTCTGTGTGAAGAATCTTAAGTGACTATGTGAGCAACTTCACCTTCATCTTATCCTAGAGATATCTTACACAGTTTATTGAAGAGTATGTGGAGGATTATTCCAAGTACTCTAGGGGATACAAAAGCAAAGCAAAGAAATTTCTTCAGGAGTGTGTACTTGTATATAATCAGCTCTTTAAAGATCCTTCACTGTTGCTTAAAAAAATCCAAAAAGTTACCTTAAGCCTATTTTATTTCTTGGTGAAGAAGAGTGAATATATTTTGATAATGACAAATACTGCTATAGGCAAGGTGAAATTTAATGGTTAATGGTAGCATATTCCTAAATTAAGAGATAATAGAGTCAGTTCCTAGAGAGAAATTCAATTTTCAAGTGGAAAATACATACTGAGTCCAGGAAATTTATAGTGTTTACAGGTTATGCAGAGGTAAGCCATTGAACATCAGATTGCATCAGGATGTAATATTGTGCAGATACTTTCATAATGAAAGATTTTAATTATTGGTAATGGTTGAAAAGGATTGGCATTCCCCATTTTTCTGCAGAGACTTATTATGCACCTAATCCTTGTTGACATTGTTTAATTTGCTGTGTCCTCAGAGTCTTTCAGGAGAAGATTAATCTGGGCTATAATATTTTGGAGACAAAGCATTCCTTCATCACACAAAAACAGTTAACTGTGCATTGGGGATTGGTATATTCAGTATTACTGTCTGATGATAAGTGTTAATTCTAAAGAGTGCCTCTTGTTGTATAAATCATTCTGCGTGGTTTTCCCTTGGGTTAGTTTTACTGAGGTGGAACTTTTTCAGTAGGCTTCTGAGTACCAGTCAGGTAACTTGACTACCAATATATGCAAAAGGCTACACGCTTTTTTTTTTTTCCCAATAAGGATTTTAGAAGATTTGTTACCATATACATATGAAAACATTTTACTTGATTTAGTTGTTTGTTAGCCTTTAAAATAGTGCACATAAAGTATCTGGAATTTCTTCAAAAGGACTCATATGATTCTGTTTTATGAGAATGCAGATACATCAGCCTTGTAAAAACACATATTGAAAATGTCTGGAAGGTACCTGTAGTGCTATGGTTAGTAGGGTAATTATGAGATCTTTCTATTTTTTTCAAATTTCATATTATAAAATTTTAATGTTAGAGCTTTTTGAATTTTAAAATTCTTTTTATGTTTGTTTAGAAATGTGTTTCCCATAATATCAAAGTCAAGTAGGTAAACAGATCCGCAAGTCCCAGATAGGTTTCTGACTCAGTCTGAGGGACACTGGGCACTTGGTTCAGTGATTCTGCACAAAATAAAAAGAAAATCCTTCTTCCACATACACAAGGAAAGACCACAGGGCCCATGAATTTGTGCAGGGGTGACTGAAGGAAGCCCTAGCTTTGGTGTCATAAATGCCACCTTTAATAACACCATTAATTTCCCATTTCTGACAGTAGTCTCTTCACTTCTCTGCTCTGCAAGCACTAACCTTATTGGGATCCTGAGATGAAGAAGAGATGGATAGATGAACTTTAATTTCAAAAGTCTGAGACAAGTCTTAACTATCTCCTCTTCTGAGCTCCTCTCCATCCTCCCTCAGGTGCTTCTGTGCCTCCCCTTCATGCTATTTCACTGTGAACAGTTCAGGTTCCCCTACCTGGTCTTGACCTCTAGGTGCTAAGTTTCTTGAAGGTAAAGGCTGTAGCTGATTTGTGTGTGTATGCTTATTCCAGATGGCACTTTGTGGCATATAGTGACTCTCAGTAAATGTTGAGTGAAGGACAAGTTTCCCATTGTCTTTTTTGCTTTTTTCCTCCAGTCCTGTATTTTCCACCCATTTTCCTCTTAGATAGGTGTGTAGTGTGATAAAAATTACATTTTTTTTCCTTTCCCATAGAGCGTCTCTGCCTTTCTCTTGTGCCATGGTTCTCATGTTTTCAGCTAGGCGAGCACAAAATGGTTCTGCACACTTGGTTTTATTGCCCACAGTTGTTCATTGGTGGTAGGCTTTCTCAAATATTTCAGGATCAATCAGAAAAAGGACCTGGGACATATTCCCAGGAAGAAGTTATGGATGAGGAAGAACCAGCACTGGGTGGTGCCCAAAGGAAAGCAGGAAAGGCCAGGTGTGATGGAGGAGAGCTGTCCTAAACAATGCTTTGGTTAGGAATTACTCAAGTAAGCAAAAGGAAGATTACCCATTAAAAAAACAGTATCATGGTTTCAGTGAGTGAAAATTTAAATTCCCCTATAAAATTGAGAAGTAGTTCTTGTTTTCACTGAACCAATTTTTAACATATAATCAATAAATAATTAAATACTGTGTCATAAATTCAAGGTATGTCTGAAACCTATAGCTTTTATTTTTCATTATTGCAGTGAAACTAAGTGCTTTGTCTTGGTATGTGATATCTCTTAATAACACAAAAACTTTTTTTTTTTTCCTGTCTGTTTGTCTTTTGACTTTTGATGTCTTTATTTTTTTTATTTTTTTTTTCATTTTTCTTTTATTATTCATATGTGCATACAAGGCTTGGTTCATTTCTCCCCCCTGCCCCCACCCCTCCCTTACCACCCACTCCACCCCCCCGCTCCCCCCCTCAATACCCAGCAGAAACTATTTTGCCCTTATCTCTAATTTTGTTGTAGAGAGAGTATAAGCAATAATAGGAAGGAACAAGGGGTTTTGCTGGTTGAGATAAGGATAGCTATACAGGGCATTGACTCACATTGATTTCCTGTGCGTGGGTGTTACCTTCTAGGTTAATTCTTTTTGATCTAACCTTTTCTCTAGTTCCTGGTCCCCTTTTCCTATTGGCCTCAGTTGCTTTAAGGTATCTGCTTTAGTTTCTCTGCATTAAGGGCGACAAATGCTAGCTAGTTTTTTAGGTGTCTTACCTATCCTCACCCCTCCCTTGTGTGCTCTCGCTTTTATCATGTGCTCATAGTCCAATCCCCTTGTTGTGTTTGCCCTTGATCTAATGTCCACATATGAGGGAGAACATACGATTTTTGGTCTTTTGAGCCAGGCTAACCTCACTCAGAATGATGTTCTCCAATTCCATCCATTTACCAGCGAATGATAACATTTCGTTCTTCTTCATGGCTGCATAAAATTCCATTGTGTATAGATACCACATTTTCTTAATCCATTCGTCAGTGCTGGGGCATCTTGGCTGTTTCCATAACTTGGCTATTGTGAATAGTGCCGCAATAAACATGGGTGTGCAGGTGCCTCTGGAGTAACAGTCTTTTGGGTATATCCCCAAGAGTGGTATTGCTGGATCAAATGGTAGATCGATGTCCAGCTTTTTAAGTAGCCTCCAAATTTTTTTCCAGAGTGGTTGTAGTAGTCTACATTCCCACCAACAGTGTAAGAGGGTTCCTTTTTCCCCGCATCCTCGCCAACACCTGTTGTTGGTGGTGTTGCTGATGATGGCTATTCTAACAGGGGTGAGGTGGAATCTTAGTGTGGTTTTAATTTGCATTTCCTTTATTGCTAGAGATGGTGAGCATTTTTTCATGTGTTTTCTGGCCATTTGAATTTCTTCTTTTGAGAAAGTTCTGTTTAGTTCACATGCCCATTTCTTTATTGGTTCATTAGTTTTGGGAGAATTTAGTTTTTTAAGTTCCCTGTATATTCTGGTTATCAGTCCTTTGTCTGATGTATAATTGGATAACACAAAAACTTAACATTCCAAGTTCTCCTTTCCTGAGGAATTTTGAAATAACAATCTCACTCTTGAAATTTATTAATTTTTATTTTTGATGAATGTGATGAGAGCCAGGATAAAGATTAAATTGTTTTTTGAAAAAGAAACTTTTATTATTTATTAAGGATGCTAAGTAATAGTTTGAGGTATTATGGGGAGTTGTTTAAGTTGCAATTAAAGATATTTAAAAGAACTTTTTGAATGCTCTATTTATGTATTCATGTATATATCCATTCATTTTTTTCTGTTATATGGTCAGGAATGACCACAACTATTTATTGCAAGTATTTATTGGGTAATTAATTTACACCAGCCTCTCTATCAGGCTCATGGGGACAAAATAGTGTGAAAAATCAAACACAATCCCTGATTTGGGGGAGTTAGAATCTAGCAAGGAAGACAGATGTTAGTCATATAACAACTGATAGATTATAAATCGGAATTAATTATTAATGAAAGTCTCTAATGTATATACTAGATAACATTTTGTAGTGTCTTATTTTCTGAACATATTTAAAACTGGTAAGCTACCATTCACTAAGAATAGTCTTAAAGTTCTCTTTCACTTTTGTTCCCCCAAAACCCAACTCTCCAGAGTTGTTCAGTGTTAGGTTTGTCTGTGTAGAAATGGAAGAATCTTCTAACTGTGAAGTTTATCAAACACTGATGGTTTATCAGTGTAAGGAATTAGTGGAGAGTAAGGTAAATCCCCATCTGCCTTGGAAAAAGGCAGACAGCATCATAAGTGGACTTGGAAAGCCCGCAACCCATTCAACATGGGGGAAGGCCTGTAATTAGCTGATGACGTATCTACTGTGGACTGTATTTGTTGATGCAAGGCTGTGCTAGCATTTTAGCTCATATGACGGTGATAATCCACTGCCTTGCATCACTGTTAATGTCTGGGAATAGTGTGGTATAATTTTGACTGATATTCTGATATTTCACAGATGATCATCCTTTCTTGATGACTGTAAGAAACCACATAATTTTTGGAATCTCCCTTGATCCTGAGGTGAAGAGCAATGATGCCATGGTTCCCATAGCAGGGATACAGAATGGTTTTGATGTTGAATTCGATGACTCAGAGCAATTCATCTATTGGGTTGAGAATCCAGTAAGTTTTGAATAACCTCAAGGTATAAAAATCTTGAAGAGCCTGAATGCAATGATACCTTCTTAGAGGCAGACTTCTGTTGGGTGGGTCAAAGAAAATGGTGTAGAAATTAATTTATCACCAAGGTTTTATTCAACAAGAGATGTAAATGTGAACTTAACTTGGAGTAAAGACCAAAAAACTGTTTAACTTTAGAATAATAAAGAAATGTAAGTACTGGATCTTATTTATCTATTCAGCAAGTATCTATTAAATGTCTGCAATTTATTAGGTGCTGTACCCGCTTCCACCTGCAGATCCATGCCAGGAAGCAATAGTCACAAAGTTTGCCCTGGAGGAGCTTTAAGCTAGTGGAAGATATCAGAGTAAAGTTAAAAATGCTCATCACTCAAGACAAAAACAGTAGTTCCCTCCAGGAATTCTGGGAAAACATTTGATGGGGCTACTAGGCCCTTCCATCAGAACCTTTGCCTCCTGGGGGAAGATGAGCTCTCATCCACTTCCCCTCTGCTTGGGACCCTGTACTCACCCTTCGCCCTTTGTGGAAGTGACCTGAGAGGGTGGGGAAAGAGATGGGAGAGTAGAAAGGAGGGAAAAAGAAAAGAACTTTTCATTTAATGTTCGTCTCCCTTACGGAAAATATGTTCCTAGTTTCTGACCCACATGTATGACTTGTGTTTTGTGACTCTTGTGCCTGTGGTCATTAGGAAATATCTCTCTAGCCAATACCAGAGGTGATAAGCCTGTATAATCCTGTGCCACAACTTAAAAGTCAGTGTTTTAAAGAAGTTGCTGCAGTAACATTCTCCACAAGGAGCCCATCCCAGAGCACTGGCTCTTAGTTTGCCTTTTTCCCCTGTGTGAGGTGTTAAGGAAACCCAGCAGCCAGCAGTGGCTGCAGTGAAGGCCGGGCTCCTGTGCAGAGCCTGTGGCCAGTCTCAACACAGCTCACTTTCCTTGTCTTTCCTCCCAGGGTGAAATGCACAGAGTGAAGACAGATGGCACCAACAGGACAGTGTTTGCTCCTCTATCTCTGCTGGGGTCTTCTATGAGTTTGGCCTTCGATTGGGTTTCAAGAAACATTTATTATACCACTCCTAGCAGTCAGTCCATTGAGGTAACAACCCACAGTAGTATGTACACAAACACTGGCTTTGGATTCATGTAAAATCTGTTCTGAGGAAATGCTGTCATATGGATTTTGAGATTATTTTTAAATAAGAGGCAAATAGGAAGAGATATTAGCTTTAATCATCAAAAGTTTCTGAAGCTAAGAAGGAAAATCACTGTAAAAATATCTTATTGGAACTTTGCACTGTTTTATTTCCTCCTAATTATCAATGCTACTGTGTTCCTATAAAAGGGTATCAGGGAGCTAGGTGAGGTGGTATCCATCTATAATCCCAGCACTTGGGAGGCTGAAACAGGAGGAGGATCACGAGTTTGGGGTCAGCCTGGGCTACGTGACAAGACTTAGTGTCAAAAACACAAAATAAAATTATATATATTTATATATACATATATAATGAAAATTAAGATAACTATATTTATACAAATAGTATTAAATGTATATTAAAACAAATTAAAATTATGTAAGAAATTTAGCAAAAAAAGGAAGATTATAGTAGGCAAGAAGTTTTCACTGTTTTTCATCATCTAATCTTCAATGCTATTTCAGTTCTCAGCTGAATTTAAGGTTACCTCTTTACTTAGATGGAAATCTCTCTTTGGCTACAATATAGTTTTTCAAGCAGTGAAAGAGAAAGTGGAAACTTGATTTGAATTCCTTTGATATGTTCCTCTTTGAGATAAGTGATCTTTGTACTCTGGTTCCTAGAGGAAATTCTAGATGGGGTGCAGGTTTGAAATCACATGAAGTACCTCCAAAGTAACTTGACTAGTGTTGCTTTTCTCTGCTCTGGGGCAAGGGAGAAATGTGTAGGATTGTTAATGCATGTTGATATTTGAAAGTGAAGTTTCCTAAGACACAGGGAGGGTTTTGTGAGAGGGACAGTCAGCAGGCTCTTGCAGATGGTCAACCCACTGCTCTGGGTAAGCTGGATGCTCTTTGGAGCATTTGGAAAAACAGATGCTGGAGATGAGGAAGGCACACAGCAGCCTGGTGACAAATTACAACAGACCAAGTAGGAGGAGCTCACGCTGGGACAGTTTAATTCCAACTTGAAAATAAAAGAGAAACTTTGGAGAAATTGTTTTCCACTAGGGGTAGCTGTGTGTCTAGTCACTAAAAAAATTTGTAGCTGAAAAGTGAAGCCTACAGTGTGTAGGCTGTGTGTGAAAAAGCTTGATACACACCAGAAAACAACATGGGAACTTCACTTTGAACCAAATAGTTCCTTAAAACTATTTGTAGCCTAGGGAAAGGACAGAGATTATAAAAGAAAGAGGTAAATTAAAAAGAGAAAAATTAACTTAGCTCAAGAGAAATGAAAAAAATAGGAGAGGAAAATGAGGGAGAGTTTGTGTATGTGTGTGTGTGTGTGTATGAGAGAGAGAGAGAGAAACAATTTTATAGAAAAACAATGCAAATCAACATTTACTAATTTCTTAATAGCTTTCTCTCTAATTGTCTTAGTACATATTAAAATGATCTTGTTCTCATAAGAAACTTGCCACTAGTACAATAATACATATTTCTGTCATGTCTGACGAACACTGAGATTCCAACGCTGATAACATGGATAACATTGGGAAGCCACTAAGCCTCTCTAGGTCTCTTTTTCATCTATAATATGAGTACAGCAATGGTTTATGTCACAGAGTTATTTGTGAGGTTTAAATATGACAATACTTAGCTTAATTCCTAGTATGCACTAAGTCACCAATAACCGGTCCAATAAAAACAGGAGAGATTTATTAAGCATACTTGCACTGGGTGCTGTGCTATGTGATTTCCCTGTATTATCTCTTAGTCCTGTGAGCTCTGTGCAAAAGGTATCACTAAACCCCATATTTTACTGGTAAAGACAATGAATTTAGAGGTGAACTTACTTGCCTCAGGTCATATGGCAAGCAGAGATTTGAACTCATGTGTTTTAACTCAGGCTGTTGACTTGGAACAGAATTCACTTAATTGGGAGTGAATTTGGACTGTTTTGACCAACTGTGTGCAAGGATGGGTCACGGGTGCCATGGCCCAGTCGATGGGGTTCAGGAGAGCTGTGGGGCTCCTGTTTGTCTTTTAGCATCTTCTGTCAGCTTTTGTTGGAGGTATTTTTGCAGTTTCTCCAGGAGTAGTTCTATATGCTTGGCCATCGGAATTTTTCTTCCGCCCTTGTAGAGTCCTTCTCCTAGGTGAATTGAAAATAAGAATTTGGGAGGTGATTTTTCTTGGGTGGGTACTCAAAAAGGATTTGAATTCAGGCCTTGAGCCGTGCTTCCATCATATTTTGCTCTGATTATTTTGGAGATAGGGTCTTGCTTTTTGCCCGGGCCAACTTGGATCATGATCTTCCCACGCAGCTGGGATGGCGGGCACGTGCCACCACACCCAGTTTTTCTGTTGAGACAGGGTCTCAGGAACTTTTTGTGTAGTCTGGCCTGGAACCATAATCCTCTGGCATAGCTGAGAAGACAGGCACGAGTCATCGTGCCCGAAGTGCAATTAAAGACTGTCTGCATCTCATGCAGCTCTCACTCCCATTTATCTCTAGCCTGTTTTAGCGTTTCTTGTGCACTTCTTCATCTCAGCTGTCTTTGTTTCCTTCAATGAAACTCAGTTGTAATAAGTGATTTTGTGCCATAGGTGTTGACACTCCGGGGAGATACCAGATACAGAAAAACACTGATTACCAATGACGGCACCACCCTTGGAGTTGGCTTTCCAGTTGGCATAACTGTTGATCCTGCACGTGGGTGAGTGTTTATAAGTGGCATATGTGTTCATGGTCTGATAAGATTTCAAACTTAGGATATTTTCTGATTTTCTTATGTCAACATTTGACCTCAGTGAGGAAGAGAAATTGCTCTGTTATATTTAATATGAAGGATCTGATTTGTATTGGGTTCTATGTTCTTCAGATTAATAATACTGAACTTAATACCACATAAGCAAGAATTTCAGGAATTAAAAAAACAAAATTCTCTCCTTGAATGAACATGGAAAGCCTTATGGGGAGGTAACATTTGCAGCAGACCTTGAAAGAGGAGTAGGTGAAGTGTAGGTCGCATCTGGGGAATGGAAGGTAGTGTGAAGGGTGAGCACACACAGGAGCATGGCAGGATTTAGCATGCCTGTGGGAGGGGCCAAACTCAAGGCGGGGCAATTGACTACATGGGAGATACAGCAGCGATGTCATGATGTAGAGGTGAGTAACGAGGATTAATAAGTAACCAGCAGGGGATTTTGAGGAAGGGAGGGATGGGACGAAATGTGCATTTCTGAAAGCTTGATAAGCATTGCAGTAGAGAGAGGCAGGGCAAGGCAGTCCAGTTAGGAGAAAAAGGTCTTAGCAGATATAAGTTATGGCCTACTTAGCTGTTTAATAATTATTAATTTTATTGCTCTTCTATATCATAAACTGGAATAATAAATTATAAAATATGAGCTTGTTTTTTTACAAAAGAGATGATAATCTCATTCTAAGTGGATTTTGGACTTTCTTTTGAAAATCGTCAGATTCTTAGGCTGGATGGGAACTGAAGAAATAATTTGAATTATGTATTAATAAAGATAGGTTAACCATTGAGGCACATGAGTTCCAAATTATGTAATGATTCAAAAAAAAAGTAGAAATTGATATGGACATTATGTGGGTGTCAGAGTGTGGGCAGAAGATGGGAGGAAGCTACTCTACAGTCATTCAGGGACCCAGGTCAATGAGGGCTCTGCCATCTTCAGGAGGAGGCTTCCAAGGTATCATAGCATCTTTCATGTGGCAATGAAGAGAACATTCAAGAAGGTGCTGGGAGGTTCTTGGGCAGGCTCACAGGTATGGTATACCTCGTCTCACATTCCTTCAACTTGAATTCAGTTCCTTGACCACTACAAAGAAATGTAGTCCAGATTTATACCCAGAAGAAAGAAGACATTAATTTTGGCAAATGGAAGCAGTTTCTGTCATGGGGCCCGAGTTGGGGTTTAAGGAGAAAATACAAAGATGGTTAAAGTCATAATCTGTAACCTTCGTAAACTCAATATTGCTTAGTAAGGAGGAAAAGGACTGTATAAAAATACCAATAACCCAGGTCATTTGGACTGGATAATAAAAAAATATATAGAATTCTATAGGCAGAACTGGCTTTGAAGATGTCCTCCACGATATGAGGAATTAAAGTCAAGACCAAAGGGGCAGAAAAGTGAGAGGTTGTTCAAGTAGTTAAAAGCAGCCCACTCCGGTTAGGAGGCAGTTAGAACTTTTGTCAGAAGAGTTGGGAGAAGAAACAGGACAGAGACGTGTAGTTTTGGATATTCAGTAAAGAGACAGTCTTGTGAAAATTGTGGTCAATGTTACCGAATCAGTTGCTACAGAAAAATCTCTCTGTGGATGATTGCTAAGGGTTGAGGGAGTTATGGAGTCTCTGGTGACATTTGAGAGGGGATGCACAATCAAGATAGGAAGGAGTAAAGAACGAAAGAGTGAAAGGAAGATTAGGGTTAGACTACCCATTTAAGAGTTTTGAATTGAAAAATTAGGGAAAGATAAACTTGTAGGTCAAATATAACAGGAAGTGATTTTTGAGACTGGAAAAACCTGAGCCTATTTTTAGGAGCAGATGAGCACTCAATAATGAAGGAATGATTGATTGAGAGTAGAAGTTATGGGGAAGAGATTAGACATTTATGAAGCATAGGAATGACTTGCAAGAGCCAGTATGAAGAACATGATATAAAGTCAGCTAGGAATGAGAATCCTCAGCAAAGATTAGGTAGCTTACATTTTTAGTGAATTCAGAATTCACAAGAGTTTTGTGCTAGGTCCAGCAAACTTTTGGTATCCAGGAATGGGAGAGAAGAAGGAAAAACATTGCAGGAAGTCAGAGTTAGAAATTAGCAAGGTAGACAGGATGGGAGCCCAAGAGAATAGATAAGAATATTGCTGAAATGGAACTGGGTGTGGTGGCTCATGTCTGTAATCCTAGCTGCTCAGGAGGCTGAGATCTCAGTTTTAGCCCAGCTAGGGCAAATACCAAGACCCCATCTCAACCAATAAAAAGTTGGGTGTGGTGGAATACTCAGGTCCCAGCTATTTAAGAAATGTAAACAGGAGAATTGTGGTCTAGGCCAGCTGGGCATAAAAGCCAGAACCTACTTGAAAAATATCTAAAGCAAAAAAATTGAAAGTGTGGCTCAAGTGGTAGAGCATCTGCCTAATAAGCACGAGGCCTTGAGTTCAAACCCCAGTACTGCCAACAACAACAAAAGAATATTGCTGAAATAGTTACATGTGAAATCCAAGTATAAAGGAACTGAAGGTTTGGGAGCTGAGGCAGGATTTAAGGTCAAAGAACAGGTTAATAGAAAAAAATAATGGAACATGGAAAAGATAGAAGAGTTTGTCCAAAGCAGAGAATTTCAGAGTTTGTGAACCTAAGGACAGAGAGTTTAGAGTTGGAGATAAAGTCGATGGGATGAATGTATTCATTTGGTGGTGGAAGAGGTGTGTGTGTAAAGACATTTCAATTAAAGGTTTTGAGGACTTTTGAAAAAAAAAAGCATAGAGATATTGTCTACTAAAACTAGAGCAGTAGGTGAGGTGAAAGGAATTAAAACTTGGATTCAAATCTAAAAGTTATGTCGTCAGTGAAAATGGCAAGTCCTTCAAATACTTTAATACATTTTCACATATCATGGACTTGAGTTTAATTCATTGTTATCACTACAAAACAGAAGAACTCAAAAGTCATAAATATTCTGATATGGCATGCTAATGGGATACTACTCTTTTATTACTTTTCTTATTTTTATCATTGAATTTCAAAACTTTATTTTTCATCACAAATCAGACTAGGTAAGAAAGTAGCTGGTCTTGTGTTAGATGGTAAATTAGAGATCCAGAAAATGAGCAGGGAGGTACTGGCAACTTCTTACATTGACTTTGACCTCCCTAATGTACTGGGTGGTATGTGATTCTTTGAAGAAAAATTAATGATTGATGTAGGCCTCCCCACATCAACCTACCTGTCTGACCAAGCTAAAGCTTTAGTCACCAGTGGAAGATCCTACCCTGCTGTTTCAGACACCCCCACGTTAACTGGGAAGCATACAGACATTGATGAGTGCTGGGTAAGTACTTTTCCACATTGACCACAACACAATATTGATGTTTAAGACTCTTCCATTGGATTGCGAGCATCTCGAGGATAAATATTCACTAAATTCACTCTAGTGCAATGGCTGTTTTGTTGAATGCTGGTGTTTTTCGTGGTGATTGTAGGAAACTGTATTGGTCAGACCAAGGAACAGACAGTGGGGTTCCTGCCAAGGTTGCAAGTGCTAACATGGATGGCACATCATTGAAGACTCTCTTCACTGGGAATCTTGAACACCTAGAGATCGTCACCCTGGACATCAAGGAGCAGAAGCTGTACTGGGCGGTCACCAGCAGAGGAGTGGTACGGGCACCATGTGGTCTTCATTACTGAGCTTGAGTACTGATCTGGAGTGTTCTGACTTGTCTGGCAGAAAGTCTTGAACAATCTTCTTTGGTAGCTTGCACCAGTGTTTTATTACCTTTTCTCCCAGTAACTTCTTTCCCTTGAACAAATCTTGCCCTTATCTTTTTTTCCTTTTTTATTAGGATATATTGTTTGTAAAGGGGACATTCATTGTGACAACTCTGAGTAGGTTTACATTGTACATTGGTTTCATCACCCCCACCATCACCCCCCAATCCCTTCCCCACATTGTCCTGTTTCATATATGTCTGTGAAACCCATCAACCATATTCCCTCACCTTCATCTCCTCCATTCACCCTCTGGCCTCTTGCCCTCATCTTTTTTTTTTTTCACTTTTTTTTATTATTCATATGTGCATACAATGCTTGAGTCATTTCTCTTGCCCTCATCTTGAGGTCTAGTTCATGGTAGTGTATGTATAGTAATGAATGATATTCATTAGTTTTCCCTTTGTTTTTCTTTAGGTTATTGAGTTATTACTCAGTTTGTCATTTCTTACTTGTACTTTCAGTGACATTTGTTTAATGTCTTAGTGCTTTCAGAACTTTTTTTGTGAAAATACTCTAGATTCTCCAGTGGCAAAGAGTAGATAGATAGAAACGTATATAGATGGACAGACATGGATGCTGAGCTTCTGAGCTCAGAGTTTTCTCAGAGCTACACATTCCTCTCCAGTGTTCAACCATGGTTAACATACATGTGAAATTTCCTTTACTGATAATTTTAAACTCCAGTCTGGGCTCTTTATATTTTGCAATAACAAGCAAAAACTATAAAGGTTCACTGAAAGTGCCATTGAAGTAATCTGTGGCCCTTACTGCTATACTTATGCAGCTGAGCTGGGGGGTGATGCACATAAGAAATGCTCAGCAATAATTATTGATCAATTAAGCATTGCTTTGTATGTTGGATTGAATATGTACTAGACTTCCTTGCTTTTTTTTTATGTATTCAGAGAGCAATTTATTTTTTCCCTTTTTTATTGCCATATATTAATTGTACAAAGGAATTTCATTGTTATATTCCCGTACATGCTTATAATGTACTTTGATCAAATTTACCACCTCTATTACTCTTTGTTATCCCCACTTCCCCTTTTTAAACGTTTTGATGGGTTTTATTATGTTTTCATATACTAGTATGCAGCATTTTGATCATTTTCACCCCCAAAACCCTCAGAGAGCAATTTAAAAAGTTTCTAGACTTCCTTGCTTTTTAAACAGTAGTGATTTCAGATGTTTGAACTGATGCTCTCTGAAATATGAGTTTCACTTCATCATCTGTTTCACAAGTATGAATTTCACTCCTAATATGGACTTACAATGATGATAAGCTTGAGGATTAAAAAGAAGTAGTGAAGCTGGGTACATTGGCTCCCGCCTGTAATCATGGCAACTTGTGAGGCTGAGATGGGGAGGATCGTGGTTTGAAGCCAGCCTGAGAAAATAGTTCATGAAACCCCATTTCAACCAATGGCTGGGCAGAGTGGGGTGCCCGTCATCTCATGTACATGGGGAAGCACAAATAGAAGGATGCTGTCCAGGCCAGCCTGGGCATAAAGTAAGACCCTATCTCAAGACAAATACTCAATGCTGACAGAGTGGCTCAAGTGGTAGAGTACCTGGTTAGCAAGCACAAGGGCCTGAGTTCAAACCCAAATACTACAAAAAAAAAAAGCAAAACAAAAAGTAGTGTGTGGAAAGCATGTTGCAGACTTAGATGCAAGTGTGCAATGACAAGGGAGCTCTTGTCACATGATATGATTTCCACATACAAGTTACCACAGCCCAGACAGGACTCACCAGCTCACCTCCCTACTGTTCCACACCTGCTCTGCACTCCTGAATCTGAGTTGTTAGTGGTGTGGCCCTCCATCCTTTTTTCCCAGGCAAGTACCCTCACAGTTCTCCGTGTTCTTATTCAGTCATCACAAAGTCATGCCATCCATCCTTAAGTCTCTTCCCTTGTGTCCAGCCTTTTCCTGACATCCCACATTCTGAGCAACTTCTTCTGTAATGGCCCCCGTTACTGAACTCTGTTTTCTTGTTGGAGATGTGTCTTTATAAAACCATAATCACCAGCTGGGTGCTGGTGGCTCACTCCTGTAATCCGAACTACTTAGGAGGCAGAGATCAAGAGGATTGCAGTTCAAAGCCATCCTGGGCAAATGTTCACAAGACCCTGTCTCGAAATACCCTTCACAGAAATAGGGCAGGTGGGGCAGCTCAAGGTGAAGGCCCTGAGTTCATGTCCCAGTACTGCAAAACAAAAAACAAAAAACAAAAAAACACATAATCACCAAGTTTGATCACTGCTGGGCTGAGGAGTCACAAGGAGCAGCTCCAACACTCCAACTGAGTTTGCTCAGCTAATCTGGTTTGGTTACCTGCAGCTCTGAGGCTCATACTTCTTGTGCTCTAGCCTTCTGGTCTTCGTTCAGTTTTGGAGGGGGGGCATAACCTTCTTTTGAGACTGCTGGGTTCCCTTTCCCAGTGAGGCAGTGAGCCAAACCTCAGTTGTATCCCTCACCAGTCCCCAGTTCAGATCCTGCTGTAAAGAAAGCACTTGAGACAGATTTTTAGAAGGAGATTAAACCTGCTACATGTACATTTTGTTTTTCTCCCAGAAGCAGACTGCTTGTCATTCACCTTAGGATCTTCATTCTTCTGAGTTCTTTTCCACTGTATGAAAGCCATTTCAATTAAGGCTTGTTACTATTCTCACATGACAGCCCCATCCTTGGCTCCCATCTAGTCTTGCTGTCCTGTGATTTAGGAGGGATTTCCTGTCTCTTGTCACAAAAATCATGAGTGAAGATGTTACAGCCAGGGTCCATCAGCTCCTGCAAGATGGCACACAGTTAGACATTTCAGTACATACTTGAGCAGAATGTCACACGCAGTGGCTAGAGTTTAGCCCTGTTTTCTTCACAATGCCATCATCAATGAAACGCACACAAGGAAGTTTACCTGATCTCCTGCTCAGTCTAGTTATGATGATTCAATCCAACAATAGGTATGAAAAAGCTCTAGAAAAGATAGAGTAGCATACATACGAGGCATTATTTGTAGGAGGATACTGTTTTTAAGATCTGCTCTCATTTCACAGATCGAACGAGGAAATGTGGATGGTACGGAGCGAATGATCCTGGTGCACCACCTCTCCCACCCATGGGGAATTGCCATCTATGAGTCCTTCCTTTATTATACTGATGAAGAGTATGAGGTCATTGAAAGAGTTGACAAGTCCTCTGGGGGCAACAAAGTAGTCTTGAGAGATAATGTTCCAAACCTGAGGGGCCTGCGAGTTTATCACAGACGCAGTAAGTATTTTGTCACTGAAACATTCATGGATGTCTGGTGCATATTCACGTGTCTAATAATCTTAAAGTGTATAATCTTAGTGCTGCCTATTTCAAATGTTTTTCAGAAATAATTTGGCTTCTGAGTTGCTTCTTTAGGTTAACATTATAAGATAGAGATTTAAAAAGTAATTTTGACATTTTATAGCTTTTAGTCTCTAACCAAAGATTACCAAGAAATTTATTTCCTGTCCTATAACCTAGATTTGTCACTTGGTATTTTGTTTTTCTTGTAGATGAAAAAAATCCTTTTCAGTATTCTTGTTTCATAGGTTTATAAGAGTATCCACACATTGTTGATCATGTAATTAAACTAATATAATTTAAGTGCCAATGCACAGGTCAAGAGGGCAAAGAACTGATGTGTACATTGGCTTCTCTAATCCTTGCATCAATTCCCCCATTTTCTAACTATTATGCAATAGTTGGGGTGCTCTTTTAATACTTTTGGGTGTTATGGTATAAGCTCCAGTCTTTCAAAATTGTTTTTAGGCTGTTAAACAGGCTACTATTATGTTTGCTATTAACTTTTATAATGAATTATTTAGTGACCCAGTTTTTTAAAAATTGAGTTGGAGTGGCAAGTAAGGAGAGTCAAAAAGTAACAATGTGATTTTGATTTCATCTAGACATTGCTGAATCCTCAAACGGCTGTAGCAACAACATGAATGCGTGTCAGCAGATTTGCCTGCCTGTACCAGGAGGCTCGTTCTCCTGTGCCTGCGCCACTGGATTTAAACTCAATCCTGATCATCGGACCTGCTCTCCATATAACTCTTTCATTGTTGTTTCCATGCTGTCTGCAATCAGAGGCTTTAGCTTGCAATTGTCAGATCATTCTGAGGCCATGGTGCCAGTGGCTGGCCAAGGTATGTAACTTGGAAATAAGTAAGATTTGACTTCATCTGTTGCCAAGCTGAAGTCCTTGGTGCCATACAGTATTTCTTCATGTTTGGACTCAGCACATAACGAAGATTATCTTTCCCTTCAAATAAACTAGCTCAGCCCAGAGTGGTTTCAAAACTTTAGTGTACATCAGAATCATCTGAAGGACCGTACACACAAAGCTGAGCCCCATCCCCTCATTTTTCTGGTTTTGTAGTCTGAGGTATGGCTAGAGAATTTGCATTCCTAGAAATCCCCAGGAACTAGATGATGTTGCTAATTCATGAGAACCACAGGCTTAGAGCAGTATAGAAGAATGTAGCATGAATTTGCCAGAAGTGTTGCAGAGTTGGTATTCAGAACTGTGCTACCTTTCTGTTTATGGAGATTGTAACATAATGGTCCACAAATAGTTATTAGTATGTATTTGGTGAATTGAAGTAAGAGTTTGCAGAACTAGTCCGCTAATATTTTTGCTGCATGTTATGCTAGCATCTTGTGAATATCTAAAGTGATAACTTGTCTCCTCGAAGGACCAAGGTTTGTAGGTGTACATCACACAAGAGAAGCTAAGAATTTTCCAGCATTACAAGGAACATGCAGGAAGAGAGGCATCAAGGATAGAAGGGAAAGAAAAAGGATGAAGGGAATGAGGGGGAGTACTAGAGCTGTTGCCCAGCATGCACAAGACTCTGGGTTCTATCCCTAGCACCCCTCCAAAAAAATCCCAAACATCCCCAAACAAATAAACAAACAAACAATAAAAGCAAAAAGGTGGTGCTGTGCACTTGACATGGACTCTCATTAGGAAGAGCATAATCTTTGAAAGAACACAATGTCAACCTGTCCTGGTGTTAGGGACGTTTAAGTTTGATCACTTGGTTAAGGTGGTCACCCTAAATCCCTGTATTTTTTTTTGGTGGTGGTAGTGGAGTTTGAACTCAGGGTCTCACCCTTGTTCTGCAGACGCTCTACCACTTGAGCCACTCTGCCAGCCCTAAATCCCTGCTTTTTAAAAGCATATTTCTTCCTTTTAAATGACTATGAAAACTTTGGCCCATTCGTTCTAGTAGCCATTGATGATCCTTGTCTGTGATGATTATTTAGTTGGGGTTTACAAACAGGGATTTTTGTTGTTATCCCTTCACATTTACTGGATAATATTCTTCTACAAAGGTAAGCCCTCCCTCCTCTGCTCCAGTTTATCTTTTAAAAATTATCATTTTGAACTCAGGTTTTAATTTCTTAAATTGAGTGTGTTATAATCAATTACCATAATCACTCATTAGATGCTTCAATCAATACATTTAGGCTAGGGAGAGCCTCTTCAAGTGATTCCCTACATTTCTTCCCTTTTACATGATCCTATTAGTATTTGAGGACTTCCTTACTTCTTGGTACAGTAAGATATTCAAGGCTCACCTCCTGCCTTCCCCACCCAAACCTGCAGTGAGCCATTTCTCTCTGGAGTTGGAGCTCCTTACTGTGGGAAATGGTATTTAGAAACCAAGCTCTTAGTCACAGGCATGCTTGTTGCAATGGGAAACAAGTACTTTTGTCTCAAGGTGGGGGATGTTTAGAGCAGGGAGTTGGAATTGAGGATTTGAGAGGAGGGGCAGGCATTTTAAAGGGCTCGTTCCAGCTAAGGCATTGTTTGATGATCTTTTCTTAAATATTCTAGGACGAAATGTACTGCATGTGGATGTTGATGTGGCCTCTGGCTTTATTTACTGGTGTGATTTTAGCAGCTCTGTGGCATCATATAATGCAATCAGGAGAATCAAGCCAGATGGATCTTCTTTTGCCAACATTGTTACCCACGGCATAGGAGGAAATGGAATTCGGGGTATTGCTGTGGATTGGGTAGCAAGTAAGTAAGCTGCAGAGTGATTTTGCTGAAAAGCCTTTTGTGATTTCACCCCTGTCATCTTATTTATGTGGAAGAGTTTAACTGAACTGCATGTGATATAGGTTAGTTTTTCTAGACAATCATTGAGATACCTTTAAGATAAGTTGAATTATATATTTAAACTAAGTCTTGTATTTATTAAATAAATAATAAGGTGCTTCAGTTGATAGATTTATTATAGATTAATCATCTCATTTTCTTTTATAATTAACATAATCAAAGCATTAGGAAAAAATGACTAGAAATAGTAAATTATGTGCATTTGTATTTTTCACACTTAGATTCATACCTAATTTCTGAATTAGAAATGCCTAAATTTTCAAAGAGAAAAAGGATATTAAAATATAATGTAAATTATGAAATGGCATTAATTTACTTTAAAGCCAAGCAATTTTATCTGCAAATTCTTAATTGTTTCCTCTTGCTAATATGTAAAAGGCCTCTTTTCATTAGATACTTTTCTGTTGGGAGTTGTGTTGATGTGCCTGACTCAGGTATATTATGTTAACTAGCTGTATTGATTCATGCACTTATGTTTGAATTACCATTCGTTTTTAATGGTACTCTGCAAGACAAATGTACTGTAACTTTTTTGAAGTATAATCCAATTCTGATCAAGATGGGTATCATTGTGTGTTATCAAGTAGTCATCACTTGGAAATAATAACATGTATTCTGAAAATCTAGGAACAATAATAAGAGTTTATTACAAATAGTAAATATAGTAGTATAAGTAAATCAGGCTGTAACTGGATTCTTAAATCCCATTCCTGATTATAAATTTACCATTTCTGAGGGAGTAAATAAAGCAGGATCACCAAACTGACCAGTGGGACAAATCTAACCCATTGTCTGTCTTATAAACAAAAGTTTTATTGCAGCATGACTATGTTCATTCATTGCATATGGCTGCTTTCATATTATAATGGTAGGGTTGAGTACTTGGGAAAGGAACCATGTACTCTATAAAGTCTAAAATATTGACTACCTGGCCCTTAACAAAAGAAATTTGGCAATTCTAGATTAAAAGATTGTTGATAAATGTGCGTGTGTGTGTGCACACATACATACTCAATCTCTGAAGTAGAGCTAAGTAATGAAAAAATGTATCAGTAACGTATTTCATATTGGCCTGGTTTCTCTAGAGGCATTTTGAGTCAGATAAGGGAATAAAATATGTGTGCCTCCATAGCTGTTCCAGTGCTTCAACAATAGACTTTCAACTATGTGGAAGCAATAATTTGGGATCACTCTCTATTTGTTACACTATTGTTTTATTCTAGTATTCACACTATGCTTTCAGACCCAAGGGAAGTGGTTGGTGGCTTTTAGAAGGTCCATGGAATGAAAACCCATTAGTAAGAAAGACTAGGAAAAGATCTCATTTTAATCTTAAGTACAAAGAGCATTTGAAAATATTGGTAACAACTTGAGATACTGCTCTGCCTCTATTCTTCTTCTTCTTCTTCTTTTTGCAATGTTTGAGTAGAAGTTACACCATGATAATGTATTTAGAGTCTTGGAAATGAGTGTTAAACATTCAGTGCTTCAGAAGGAAGAGGAAGAACATTCTGGAATGTTCTTGCAATACATAGTGAGCAATGATGTTTGCTATGAATTCTAATCTGCTTTAGAACTTGAAGATGGGCACATTTTCTCTAAATGTAAAGAAGTCTGCACTGACATGTTCATTAATTATTTTGGAAGAGACAACTTCAACCTTATCCATTGTGCTCTGATTTTGAAAGGTATCCCTTTCATTTTCCATTCATTAACATTCTCTTTGATTTTCCTGCAGGAAATCTTTATTTCACCAATGCCTTTGTATATGAAACACTGATTGAAGTTTTGCGAATCAATACCACCTACCGCCGTGTTCTCCTTAAAGCCACAGTGGATATGCCTAGGCATATTGTTGTAGACCCTAAGAACAGATACCTCTTCTGGGCTGACTATGGGCAGAAACCAAAGATTGAACGTTCTTTTCTTGACTGTACTAATCGAACTGTCCTTGTCTCAGAGGGCATTGTCACACCACGGGGCTTGGCAGTGGACCATAGCAATGGCTATATTTATTGGGTTGATGATTCTTTAGATATAATTGCGAGAATCCATCTTGATGGAGGGGAATCTGAAGTAGTTCGTTATGGTAGTCGTTATCCAACTCCTTATGGCATCACTGTTTTTGGAAATTCCATCATATGGGTAGATAGGAATTTGAAGAAAATCTTCCAAGCTAGCAAGGAACCAGGGAACACAGACCAACCAACAGTGATAAGAGACAATATCAACTGGCTAAGAGATGTGACTGTCTTTGACAATCATGTCCAACCCCGGACACCAGCAGAAGTCAACAACAACCCTTGCTTGGAAAATAATGGTGGGTGCTCCCATTTCTGCTTTGCTTTGCCTGAATTGCACACCCCAAAATGTGCCTGTGCCTTTGGAACCCTGGAAAGTAATGGCAAGAGCTGTGCCATTTCAAAGGAAAATTTCCTCATCTTCGTCTTGGATAATTCCTTGAGAAGTTTGCACTTTGACCCTGAAGATCATAGCCTACCTTTCCGAACAATAAGTGTGCAAAGAACTGCCATTGCTCTGGACTATGATAGCATAAGTAATAGAGTCTACTTCACACAACATTTAAACTCTGGACTTGGCCAGATTTCCTATGTCAACCTATATTCAGGGATCCATTCTCCCACCGTCATTGCTTCAGGTAAGTGCACTCCAGGTGGAGTTTACCTTGGAGGTAGATACAATAGGGTCAGTACACATGGGTGACTGAGTGTTCTAAAGCATTCTGAGACTCTGATATCTTTGTGTGTCCAGATATAGGGATTCCGGATGGTATTGCCTTTGACTGGATCAGTAGAAGGATTTATTATAGTGACTACCTCAACCAGACCATTAATTCCATGGCTGAAGATGGATCTCAGCGCACTGTGGTAGCCCGTGTTTCAAAACCAAGAGCCATTGTGTTAGATCCTTGCCGAGGGTATGCGGTGACCTTCTTTATTGTATTTCTGTCTGCTTACTTTAGGAGGGAGTGGGTGGGGCCAGGAATTATTTTATGCGCTTAGAGAACCAACACTTTGTAGGCTATAACGCTATGGCTGTACTACATGGTGAAATAGTATTAAGTGATTCTTACTTAGGAAAGAGAGGGCAGGGCACATCCCTTTGGTGGCAGGAAGGTTGGCAGAATTCTAGGAAATCAATGCGCTAACTCAGTAGAGCCCTTTTCGGCAATTTGTGTGGGTAGGAATGAAATAGGGTGGCGGGGTTGCCATTTTAATTAATGGCAGTTTGCAACTAAAGAATGCTGCCACTTTTTTAAGTAGAAAGGATTATGAATTTCCTTACTAATTATGACTTCTTTTCGATGACTAGGTACATGTACTGGACTGACTGGGGTACTAATGCCAAAATCGAAAGAGCCACACTGGGGGAAACTTTCGGATCCCCATTGTGAATACCAGCCTGGTTTGGCCCAATGGGCTCACTTTGGACTATGAGGCAGATCTTCTCTACTGGGCAGATGCTAGTCTGTATGTATCTTTGATAACTTGTGTTTACTTCCAAAGTAGAGGGATTCGCTTAATGTGATAAAAACACAGTCTGCCAGAAAGGTATTGCCCAAGTGTAGAAGCACAGTTTTAGGAACTACATTATATTCTAGCTTGGTAATATGAGTCTTGAAAATTTATCTGTATCATGAGATTGAATAATCATGAACTAAAAAACATGTAAAGCTGCATCACTAAATGAATGTGTAATTTCAGCTATAATTACAAATGTCATTATGCACTTTATAATCAATAGGCCTTAGGTAACTATCATAAAATATGAATGACTTTTAAATGCATGCCACTATTATTTTCTTTTCTGGGCTTTATCATTCAGTATCTTTTAAAACACGATTTTCTTTAGTCTTTGATTATTGGCCATCTTCTCAAATAAATCCTTTTTCTCTGTCACACTTCTCAGCAAATTTTGTAATGTTTTCCTTATACATCTTTGTCAACTCTAATTTTGCATGTAGCTTCTCCAAGTAAACCCAAAGTGTCTCACATTCCAGTCATCTCAACAGAATAGCTGAAGGGATGAAATGATTTCATTCATTGCAGTTGATGTCTACATGTGCAGAATCTTAACTTGCTTATTTCCTCATGAGTCTGGTCTCATGATACCAGGCACCTGACATCCTGATTATGTCTTCATTTTCTTATTTGAAAAAGTGGTGATATTTTGTGTCTGATTTTGGATCATTCTAGGTAAATACTGCAAAGTAGTCAATCAATGTCAAATTGAGAAAGTCATTGAGGGAGTGGAAAGAACAGAGAATTGGCATTTCATTGGGAGTCTACCATGGGTTCTATCCCGAGTTCCATGCATTACAGGAATTCTTTCATAATATTCTCTTGTTTCTAATGTCAGCCTGGTTCCTTTTGTAGGATCTCTTAATCTCTGGAAGTCAATAATGTATGAGGCCATTATTTGATAAGCAAACAAGACCTGTATCACCAAAAGAAACCTTCCTAGCTACCATATGCCCCACTTGAAAAGACAGTTGGGGGCTGGTGTAAGTGAATGCCTGGACTAACCATTATTCTTCCTTCTGGATTTCAGCAATGCCTTTTCTTTTTAACCTCATTTCAGGCAGAAGATTGAGCGCAGCACTCTCACAGGCATGGACCGTGAAGTCATTGTCAGCACTGCCTTTCATTCTTTTGGCTTGACTCTCTATGGCCAGCACATTTACTGGACTGACTTCTTCACAAAAAAAATTTACCGGGCTAACAAATATGATGGGTCAGATCTGATCGCAATGACCACGACTTTGCCTATGCGGCCTAAGGGTATTTCCACAGTTACAAAAAATGTGCAACAGCAGTGTAGCAATCCTTGTGATCAGTTTAATGGCGGCTGCAGCCATATCTGTGTACCAGGTAAGACATCACCCTTGAAGATGAAAGCTTCTAATACTATTACATCTAATAAGGTAGTTCTGTAGGAATAGTCAACTCTAACAAGAATTTAAAAATAGATTTAGGGTTATGTTTTCAGAGGAAGACTAGCAAATTTCTTGTCTATTCTACATGGAATTCTCTTATGAAGCATTTTAAATGCAAGTTTGATGGAGGAAGAAATAAGATGAGGGCTGTGGCTACTCTACTCCATGATTTCAATAGGAATTCCTCAATGAGCTTTCCTGATTTATAAAAAGTCTTATTTTTCCTGCTTCAGAAGTATTGTTTATAGTTTGAAATATTTCTGGTGATATTTTTGGATGAGATATGTGTTTCATGGGTTTTATGGAAAGCAAATTCATAGGCATATGTGCCTCTTGAGATAGTTACAAGTTTGCTGAGAAGAGAAAATCCTTGTTCTTGAAGATGTGAGGCAGTTGTTTAACATTAAGTGAGCACATTTATTAGGAAGCAGTAGTTGTTCTTGATGGAAGAATGATGCAGAATGTAGTTGAAAGGTTGATGGGCAGTGTGTCTCTGCTTGCGTAGAGGATTTCACAAAGAAGCTGTTTCAGATGCTGCTCTAGAGGAGATGCAATGAATAGTTGCTGCAGTAATCTTGTGCTTCTTCTGGTCCCAGGTCCGAATGGAGCTGAGTGCCAGTGTCCACATGAAGGCAACTGGTACCTGGCCAACGAAAACAAGCACTGTATCGTGGATACTGGTGCCCGGTGTGATGAGACCTACTTTACCTGCCTCAACGGAGACTGCATCCCACGGCAATGGAAATGTGATAATGACAATGACTGCAGTGATGGTAGTGATGAACTGGAAAGTGTCTGTGGTGAGTTGGACTCTTGGGACTTTTGTCAGGAGCTAAGGACATCTTTATTCTAAGTGTTTTTGGTACAGAATTCAGCTGTGTGTGAATCGGTTTGAAATTTGTGCCTTCTGATGATTAGACTGAATTTCTGTCACATCACCTCTGGAGTGGTTATAAGAGCAAAAGTAATGGATTAAAATCTTGGCTGTGCCATTCCCGATCTGTATAGGCCTGGGAAAGTTACTTAGCCTCAGACAACTCATCTGTAAAACTGAGTGGTTGCTAGGTTGGTTGGTTTGTTTTTTTGGCAGTACTGGGGTTTGCATAGCACTTGAGCCATACCTCCATGGAGTGCTAGGTTTCTTTTAAGGAGTAAGAGACAGAACACTTAGTAGAAGGTATGACGCATACTAAGCATGACTTAGTGCTACAGGTTTTGTTTTCCCCAAATAAACCATGTTTGCATGTTTTTCTGCGATGGAGATAAACTTTAAAATTGAGAGTATAGAGAAATAGAATGACTTTTAGTTTTGTTTAAAATGCTTATTTGTTTAAAAAAGATCTGCAGCATATTTTGCTTAATCTAATTTAAAGTCTCATCTTGCTTTGCATGCAGTCTGATTTGCAGCCATGTTTTGCCTTGGAAGGTAAACTCAGTGTTCATTTCATTTAGTTGTATCTTTTTAGAAATTAGGATGGTACTTTGATCAAGGGGGTTTCTTTCAATGTGTTTTCCTTTTTTTAGCATTTCACACCTGCCCGCCGACTGCCTTCACCTGTGGCAATGGGCGATGTGTCCGGTACCACTACCGCTGTGATTACTATAATGACTGTGGTGACAACAGTGACGAGGCAGGGTGCCTATTCAGGAACTGCAACAACACCACGGAATTTACTTGCGGGAATGGAAGGTGCATACCTCTTGACTTTGTCTGCAATGGTATAAACAACTGCCGTGATAATGACACTTCGGATGAGAGAAACTGCCGTAAGTTTATCTTAAATACTTGTCGTATTTAAATACTTGTGCTTTTGGGCATCAAGTCTTCGATGAGGAGAGATGAAATTTTTACTTCAAAAAAAAAGCTTTCTGGGTAAAACCTAAGTATTCATCTGCAACATAAATTTCTTTTTGAGATAGTCTACTAAATGATTTTGAAAACAACTCTACCTAATATTTGAATTATTCACTTAAATTAAAAGGTCCATACAACCATCAAATATTTTAACCTGGAATATTTTGTCCCTGGTTTATAAGATCTGCTAGATTAAATATTCACTTGATACAAATTTTGACTGTTTTTTTTTTTTTTAAAAAGCTTTACTTTTAGTTTCTGACAAAAATTGTCACATAATGCATTGTGGTCAGTGTTTTCTGTGCCAAAAGCTTTATGGTGTGGTGTTGACTAACATGATTTATCTCTTTGGATTTTCTGGTAAGTAGTTTGTTAGTTAATTAATTTCTTCTAAACCTTCTGGGATTTGGACTGAAGTGTGGTGTGAGTGATAGAGTTCCTGCTTTGCAAGCATGTGAGCCTCAAGTTCAAACCCCAGTCCCACCAAAAAAAAAAAGAAACTTTCTGGGATTTGTACTTAGCATCTTGTGGGGAAAAAAGATCAGAGTACAGGTTCAAATTTGATATTTTCTAATTGTTATTATTATTTTCTTTTTCTTGGTGCTGGGGATTGAACTGAGTACCCTCAGTTGCCTCACATGTGGTAGTCAGGTGCTCTACCATTTGAGCCACTCTGCCAGCCCTTTTCTATGTTGGGTATTTTTGAGATAGAGTCTTTAGAACTGTTTGTCTGAGCTAGGATTACAGGTGTGAGCTACTGGTGCCCGGCTGAATCTTGCTTTCTTATTGTTAATATATTCTGCTGATTATACTGTCAGTATTTATCATCATATAGAGATTCTCTATATGTTATATATTCCTCCATTATGAGGATGTGCCGTAGTTAATTTAACTGACAACTGGGCCTTTTGTTTATACTGTTAAATAAATAAAACAGAATAAATTAATCACAAAGCAACCTACCTCTCCTCCTTCTTCTCTCTTCCCCACCACAGGGCCAGCTGGAACTACCTCTTTACTAGAGAATCTACAATACTGTGGTTTGAACTCAGGGCCTTCACCTTCAGTCACTCTACCAGCCCTATTTTTGTGATGGATTTTTGTGAGATAGAGTCTCATGGATTATTTGCCCGGGACTGGCTTTGAACCATGATTCTCTTGATTTCTGCCTCTGAGTAGCTAGGATTACAGGCATGAGCCACCAGGGCCCAGCGTTTTGGGCCTTTCAAGTAGCTTTGAAAATGCCTCCCATCCAGTGGTTTGAGTTCTGCAATGGATCTGTTTGCATGGACATTGTTTATGATATGTACTTGATGGATATGTTTCATATGTTTATCTGCTTCTCTTTTTCAAGCTGATCGCACCTGCCAGTCTGGATACACAAAATGTCAGACCACAAATATTTGTATTCCTCGACTTTACTTGTGTGATGGAGACAATGACTGTGGCGACATGAGTGATGAAAACCCCACTTACTGCAGTGAGTAAGATATAGTCGCCTCTCTTTCTCTGAGTCCAGAAATGCATGTCTTGAGCTTGCACAGACTTTTAGAGTCTGGATGTGCTGTTTTTGATTGTCATCTCAAATTGACTTTGTCAGTAGATGTGGGGGCAGTTGCTTTAGGACATGATTGGAGGGGACATGAGAAACCGAAGACCCAAATACTGCCTCCAGAGACCTGATATCATTGGAGAGCCATTTTTCCCAGTGTTGAAGGGCTTTTGTCTTCAAGAACTCCAAAAAGAATTTGAACATTAAGCTCTTAATATTTACTCTGAATGAGATGGTACTGGCTGTTAGGAGCTACAGGTATTTTTATACCCTTAATGTTTGAATTTCAGAAACCTTTATTTCATATTTAGCAATTTGGTTTATCAAAACAATTTCCTGTGCTTATTGCTGAAATTGCTTTCTTTCTTTTGGTGCTGTGGCTTAAACTCAGGACCTCATAATTGCTAGGCAGACGTTCTATGACAATTGCTAGGCTGACTCTGCCAGCTCTTTTTTGTGTTGGGGTATTTTCAGGGTACAGTCTTGAGAACTATTTGCCCAGGCTGGCTTCAAACTGCCATCCTTCTGATCTCTGCCTTCCAAGTACCTAGGAGTACAGGTGTGGGCAACTGGTGTCTGGCCTTAAAGGTCTTTCTTAAGCATGGTAATTTAGGACTATTAGTACAAATCGATGCATACTTTAAGAACTTAGTCATTGCCTTTCCTGTTATGGGTACGTGTGATCAACTCTGGTTACTGGTCTCCTTCCAAGAAAACCACAGAGCATCACAATAATTTGTCACCAGGCCAGGCTACTGTTTGAGAACACGAAGTAGTAATGGGGCTGGGTAGTTCGGAGCTACTGCTGATCTTTCAGGGACCTCTGCTTACCAAATAATTCCCCCTTCTCTTGCAAATCATCACTTGTCATGGACCAAAGCAAGGGAGGCTTGTAGACCCGAAGAATTACAAGACTTGATTCAGTACCCATATATCAGAAAATACCTCCCACCAGAGTAACTAAGGTTATTTGAGATGCAAATCAGGGTCCCAAGGCAGGCCAGGTCTCCCATTTACTCAAATAAATGTTTTATTTTACAAGGGTGAATAAGAATAGAACTTGGCTCACTCTCAAGAATTATGATTAAAAGATTGTGCGTGGGTGAGCTCAGATGTGGTTACATTGTTTTCAATTTTAATTATTTAAATAGTTTAACTTTATATTATAGCAGAAAAAATTAAATCAAGACCTCTTTTACCTAACTTGTGATTTCATATACTACAAAGGCAGTTCTTTAAAATTTTTTCATTGTTATTATTATTATTATTATTATTAATATATTTGAGGTAGGATCTCATTATGTTCCCCAGGTCTGTCTTGAGCTCCAGGGCTCAGTACCCTGAGTATCTAGGACTTTAGGCAGGTGCCACTTTGTCTGAATCCCTTTGGAATTTCTAAAAATAGAATTTAAATTTGGATTTCTGGAACCTGAAACAAAAATTCTCACAACCTAAGACAGTATTGTCTTTCTCTGTGTCTTATCCTCCTCCTTCCTCAGGGGAATCTTGTGCAAAGGCCCATTTCTCAGGCTCAGCCTTCCATTCCTGTAGCTGTTATCCAGTTCAGGACAGAGGCAGAGCCTCAGTCCAGTGGGCACCGCCTATGTTTGGCTCATGGGTTTTGTCCTCTGTCTTCCTCCAGCTATACACACGTGCAGCAGCAGCGAGTTCCAGTGCACGTCCCCTCCACGCTGCATTCCGCAGCGCTGGTACTGTGACGAAGACGTCGATTGTGCTGATGGTTCTGATGAACCTGCCTCTTGTGGTAAGACAGTCAGTCAGCATGACAAGCACACAACACAAGTAGAGAACCCCACCACTTCAAATGCAGGCTGGCACATCCACTGCCAGCTGGGACACTGAAACCATGGGCAGATGCTAGTGCAGGCCACCGTGTGCCAGCTGATCAGAGCATGGCAGTTGCTGGTTGATGAGATAAAGTGAGATTATGTTGGTAATGCCCTAGTACAGTGCCTGATGAGTAGAATTCAGTTAGTTTTAGTTGACTTGCAATTAGAATTTCTGAATTTTGTGGAGTTGTGTCTCAGAAGACTTTGGGAGGACCCAAAAGTGATTGGAATCATCACATGGATGGGGGAAGGGCACATTGAGGACACAAATACTCTTTCTGGTTTTTTTTCTGCCAGCTATGGAGTGAGGTCTCCTGACCACCGGAGCTTTCCAAGAACTTCCAGGGGCCTTCTTGTATTCCTGGGATCATTTGTGCCTTGTTTGAGTTTGGAGATTTCTATTTACCTTTGCAAATCCCAATCTATATCCATGCATATTTAAAATTTTAAGCATTTATGGATACATCCTCTGCATTGTTTAAATATGTCAGGGATCAGAAAATTGTGGCTGTGGGTCAGTTACCTGTCTTTAAAATTTAAATTTTATTAAACTGATAAGAATAGGTACTACACTTGATCTTAGCCAAAAGGCCGAGAAGTGATAAAGATGAAATTTTATTAGAATGCAGCCACATGCTGTCTATGGTTGCTTTCCTATTAACCGTGGCAGAGTCAGTAAGTGTGACAGAGACCATGTGGCCTGTAAACCTTAAATATTTACTATACAGTTGGGAAAAGTTAACTCACCTTCCTTAAGTAGTTTTCATATTCTCTCTAATGACTTGCAGTATTCCACTGAGTGGTTATATTATTGTGTTAACTGCCTCTGCTCTTAAGCACTTAGATTGATTTTGTTTCTATCTATTAGAAATACTGCTCTGTAAAATGCCATGATATGTAAGCCCTTTTGTTTTGGGAGTATTTTCTTGGGGCCATTAGCAGTTTTACAGCTGAGTTCCTGCTGTTTCCTGTTCTTGTTTTCTCTGAGGCTCAGATTCTGTGGCTTTTGGTTGCAGAGTGGTACTTGGAGCTCTTGATCAGGTTCTTTTTCCTCAACATGGAAAGCTCTGTAGAAAACAAAAGCTCATAGAATTTTGAGGATCTGTAAAGGGAACAATTACTAACTGTTAGGTGAGTAGAATAGTCTTAGAGGTTCATTCAAATGCATGAATTATTGGCTTAAACATACAGAGAATAAGTAAGAGTTTCCAAACTTCACTTTGGGAACCAAAGGCATAGTGATAGTCATTAGTTCCAAGTGCCTGACATATTTATATAAAAATAAACAAAGACTCTATAGACTATAATTCTCATTATAGCAGTTCAAGTAATAATATCCAGAGAATGAAAGAAATGGTAAAATTTATACAAAAAGTAAAATTCTCATTTCTTCAATTTTTCTCACGTCCCAAAGATAGTCACCATTAAAGGTGGATGTGAATTCTCTTTACTTTTACCTGTATATCCTGATATACAGTTTATAAACTATATATCTGATATACAGATACATAGTTTTTAAAAACACAGATAGGATTTGACTGTATTTTCCTGCAATAAGCTTTCCTTTGTAGCTTAACAGCATCAGGCCAGCGTTGCATCAACCATGGATCCACCTCATTCTTTACATGCAACGATCACTCCAAAGTCTGAAAGTTCCATGGGGTCATAGCCCTTCCTCACTAGAGGAAATTTAGGTTTTTTTTCCATTTCTTCACAATGACAGATACTTCCGCATGAGCATCCTTTTAGAAACTGCTTTGTGCATATGTGGGAAGACTCTTAGAAACCAGATTTCTAGAAGTGGTGTTGCCTTGTCAAAGGGGACATACCTATTCAGAACCTCTGATCAGTGCGTGGTCTCTTCAAACCAGCTTTTGAAAGGTCTTATTTCTCTTCACTGTTGTGTTGTGTCTTTAACAGTGAAAATAAATTTTCATTTGCCTGAGGCTAATTTGAATGAGTTCTGGGTTTCTGGGTCTAAAACAACTTGGTTAGTTGAAAAAGAACATGTGGGGTAGGACTAAAGGATTTGAATCAGAGACAGGCAATTTAAAGTGGAAAGGTGACTTAGCACTACCTCAGTATTTTTTGGGCTCCTAGGTTCTAGGCATCTTGAGGCTGCATGAGTAAGACAAAGATCTGTGCTCACATGGAGCTCCCTATCTTCGTGAGAGGAGACAGGCAACAAATGCAGCAAAGAAGTAAATTGACTAGTATTTAGAAAGGTTATCGGCATTCAAGATAAAAGGAAATGAGAAAGGAAAAGGTTGGGGAGTGCTGGGGAATGGTGTACACAAAACAAAAATGATTTTGGATGAAAAGCAGATTTGAAAATATAAACATATACAATAATAATTTCTAGCATCCCCTGGAAAGAACTGCTATTTCACTACCATATCCCTAAGGGAAAATTGATTGTGATCCCAGTCAGCAAAGGTAATCAGGATTTGCGCTGCCCATGGGCTACTTTTCCCTCACACCATTGGTCGCTGGTACACATCACACTGGAGGTCCTCTCTAGCTGTATGTGACCACTCTTCTAGCTGTGTTGCCAAAATGCTACAGCCTGCTTCTGTCAAGAGGCCACTTTTTTCACCGAGACTGCTTCTTATCTCTTTTCAGCATACCCGGAGCACACGTGCTCAGATAATGAGTTCAAGTGTGATTCTGGCAGGTGCATCCCAAGAGACTGGATATGTGATGGTGATAATGACTGTGGGGACATGAGTGATGAGGATGAAAGACACCAATGTGGTAAGTGAAGCCAGGAGAAAAACAGAAGAGTAATTGTTCTGTGCTTGGAAAGTCAAATTGTGAGAAAGATACCCAGTTAGTTGAATGGACACTGATAGAATGTTACTTTTGTTTTCCACTCTAGGGCTCTTTGACATCATCCACTTGCATGGTTTACAAAGATGAAAAATGACTTAATGTTTGCTTTCTCTCTCTTGCATTTTACTAGTGGAAATCATGCTCTACTGTCTAGAGCAGATGAAGAGAACTCAGTTGACCTCTCTTGATAGTAGCTCTAATAGTGTAATGACTAAATGTGCCTCTGTAACTTCTTCTATAACCTTAGAGATGGGAGCCTAGGGTTGTACTTATTCCTGTTCTATTATTTTTATAGCAATGTAATTTGTCTGTTTTCCCCCCATTTCTTTTCATCCCTCAGCGTGTTGAGCACCATAAAGCAAGAGAGAATTGACCACACAGTCAAGACAGAGTCATAGAAAGAGTTCCCATATATAATATTTGTTTGTCTCACATAATATTTAATATGTAATATTCATATATCTACCTTTTTACCAATGTGGACACTTAACCATTTTTTTTTTTGCAATATTGGGGTTTGAATTCAGGGCTTCATGTTTGCTAGGAAGGTGCTCTACCACTATAGCCACGCCTGCAGCCCTTTTTGCTCTGGTTATTTTTGAGACAGACTCTTGTTTTATGCTTGCATCAGCCTGGACCTCAATCTTCCAGCTTGTGTTTGCCCATATAGCTAGGATGACAGGTGCACGACACCATGTCTGGCTTGTTGGTTGAGATAGGCTCTTGTGAAATTTTTGCGTGGACTGTCCTTGAACTGTGATCCTCTTGATCACTGCCTCCCAAGTAGCTAGGATTACAGGTTTGAGTAACCCACCCAGTCTTAACCTAATTTTGATATTTTTGTGTGCTTTCATTTCAGAGAAGCAAAACTGTTCAAGATCTGAGTTTTTCTGCGTGAATAGTAGACCTCCAAGCAGGAGGTGCATTCCCCGGACCTGGATCTGTGATGGTGAAGCTGACTGTGCTGATGCCCTCGACGAGCACCAGAACTGCACCAGGAGATCTTGCTCTGAAGGTGAATTCACCTGCAGTAATGGACTGTGTATCCGACAATCATTCAGGTGAATTGGGGCTTACAACACTTTCTCAGCAAACCCCAACTATCCATGGGGCAGGGCTGATTTACCCATTAGGCATAGTGGTCACACTCTGTAGTCCATGACACTTCTGGTTGTTCAAGAAAATGTTTGGATTTTTTTGAAATCAAAAGGAGAAAAGAAGAACTTTTGGATCAAAAAAGGTGATTTAATATGTAATGTTTCATCTACCTTTATACCAATGCGATCATTTAACCTAATTTTTAAGAGCAACAAGGAGAGAGGTGAGGTGGGTTGAGATGTGTGTTCCAGCCAGCAATGGAGGCAAACATTGTTCCGTGTCAAGCAGGAGGGCTAAACCTTTTAATACTCCTTTCTAAAGGAGAAGTTGGAAATTGGATTTTAATGTGAAATATGTTGATTTTAAGCATTAGAAACAAATATTAAAATTCTGAAAACACCGTGTGAGTCAAACAGATTGAGCTCAGAGCTTTCCAGTTTGGAAGAGGTCTCCTGTAATGTTCTGTGATTGATCTCTGACCACGTTCTCTAAATGGGTCACTTCAAATGAGTATGTTTTCTTAATGCCCCAACCCATTACCACCTGCACTTAGCACATCTTTGGATATAGAGGGAACTACAGAAGACTAAGTTTCAGTTCTTATGAATGAGGAGAATAGTTAAAGCATTAACAAAAACAGGGGATCCTTGAAAGGAGTTTTCTCAAGGGGGAAGGTATGTTTGATGTTATAGGACTTCCTGAGGTAGAAATAGATATTAGGCGTTTGGACCCCTGGAACTGGAGCTAAGAAGAGGCATTGCAAGTGCCAAGGATCATTAAAGGGCACCCAGGTGTGCTGAGAGCAGCAGGAACTGACAGCCTGCAGACTGCTAGGGAAAGAGGTAGCAAGACAAGGAAACAGGCAAGGGATCAGAGCAGCAGAAGCTAGGGAACTATTCATTTCAGTGGCAGGCAGCCCCATCACTAGGTGCCAGGGTAGTGTGGTACAGAATTGCCTGTTTCCAGTGGTGTCCTGATGAAGGAAGAGAAGGTGAAGTCATGTTCTATGAAGGCTGAAAAAGGAGCAGAGGCTCAGCACTCTGACCAAAAAGTGGTCGTGATGAGAAGTGGGTAAATATTCTCTAGAACGTGTATTCGTGGGATGACCCTTCCATCCTCTGAGGAGGCCCAGGCAAACATTACTTAACAGTGGAAGTCTGTGCAGAGACCATCTGAAGACCCTGAGGATGTGGAGCTGTGTTCTTCTGCAGTGAAGCCACTTTCAATATGCTTGGTTTGCGTTTAGCTTATATGGATGTGATCTGTAGATTTTTATTTTTGTAGTGAAAATAAATCATTCTTTATATTTTTTCTCCACCTGCTCAAGTTCCCCTCCTTGGTCCTTCTGAATTCAGTAAGTAGTTAATACTGTCAGTCTTAGACATAAATATCTAGGCATAGGATCCAGGGAGTAGAATTATAGCAGTCTTAAGTTTGATCAGATTTTGTCTCCTTCCTCCCTTTTTGAGCTCTGCCTTCATATTACTGTGATCTCACAGCAGACCCATCCTGCTCTACCAGACTTCCTGATTCCATTCATCTTTTCTTTCTTTTTTCTCTTCCCTTCTTTCATTTCTCCCTCCTTCCTTTCTTGTTTTCCTTCCTTTTTCCTGTCTCTTTCTCTCCCCCTGCTTTTTCCCCCTGCACTTTTTGAATTGCTTTTACCAAGGGCTATGGCAGAACAGAAGAAACCAAAAAAACTCAAAAAACCAAAACTGTTCCAAAATCTGAGCTAACGGGTTTTAAATAACTCCAAATCCTGTGTGTCTGAAGTAACATTAGCCTCTACTAAGTGCTCTGTCAGTGTGTGTCCTCTTGGTTGCTTGGTGAAATGTGTGCTCCCCCATTTGGTCCAGTGGAACAGGATCATTTTTCTATTGATTTTTTTCTCTTGGCTCATTACTGATGCTGCTGAAGAGTCTGGATAAGACTGAGTTGTGAGCAGCTCACTGCAATAACATGCAATTGTACCTAAAAACCTGGGATTTGCTTGCCTAGTTGACTTTTCCCACCTTGAATTGGAAGTAAACTAGAGAAAGGAAAGCATAGTGTCTCAAATCATTTGAAATTGAGTTAAAGGGCTCCCAGGAGACCAAGTGCGAAATGCTTTGACCATAGCTTTCTCACAGTTCCATGCGTACAATTTGATGTAAATCACATTGGGAGAGTGCTTGGTTTGTGGATGGCAACTCTGGTTAGCAGATTTGGTCATTGATCAGTTATAAAATTGACCACATTCACGCATGGTACCTTGCCATCTTGTAATACTGTGCCTCCAGAATGTAGGCCTTCCATGTAAATTGTTGTATGATTTGTCAAACATTAGCTTTGTTCATCTTTAGCCTGAATTCCTTTATACTGAGGATGGGTTGTTTACTGTCAGAGGATCCTTTAGTACGCATGACTTGTATTGGATCTTGGAATAACATACAGAAAAGAAGTCAGTTTGGCTCATAGAATTTCAGGAAACTATACTGACCTGTTGATGCTGGGAATGTTAGGTTTCATAATAGCTTCTAGGACTACAGCATGCCTTCTTCCTTTGCTAATATTCCATGCTAAACTACTAGTTTTACCTGCTTCCACCACCACAAACTCACTTCTTACAATAGGTGGCAGTAGAATTATATATAAGAGAGAAGAAACTGGTCTGCCAATGCAACAATTACTACAATGGGAAGATATGTGTTCCTAATGGACACATGCAGTAGTATACAGCACTCATCCTAAGAGTTTTTCATTTGAATCTGGGTTCCTCTGTCATATGGACCCCTAGGATAGTGTCAGTGTCCATAAGCTGTCTTATCTGATGAATGGATCAGATAAACATCAGAATTACAAATGTTGTATTTGATTAATCTATCAGCTAGGGAAAAGCATGAACACAATTATTTCTAATAGTTTTAGATCTACATATCTCATGGGAGCCACAAGCACCAGGGGAAATTGTGTGGAATGCCAAATAATGGATTCTTTCAGAGTAGGAGATTGGGGGGGTAGGTGAAGATTCTGGAGGAAGGTGTTCAAAGTATTGGTGTTTACTGAACATCTGGTCAGCCTGGCATTTAGGTAGATAAAGGAGGAAGCAAATCCCCAAGTGGGCAAGACTTAAGAATTATTGTCAACCTCTCTTGGGTCTCATGATAGGTGTGACCGACGCAATGACTGTGGTGATTACAGCGATGAGAGGGATTGCTCATACCCAACCTGCCATGAGAATCAGTTTACCTGTCAGAATGGGCGTTGCATCAGTAAGTTGTTTGTCTGTGATAAAGAAAATGACTGTGGAGATGACTCTGATGAACTGGAGCACCTGTGCCATACCCCAGAACCCACATGCCCCCCTCATCAGTTCAAGTGTGACAATGGGAACTGCATCGACACGGGGAAACTCTGCAACCACCTAGACGACTGTTCGGACAACAGTGATGAGAAAGGCTGTGGTGAGTGCAACAGGAGACTTGGGAAGAGGAAAAAGAGGGACCCTATGTAGATTCTGTACCCTTTAAGACTTGTCAGACTTCCAATCTGTCCTTGACATAGGGAACTTACAAAAAATTACTACTTCTCTATCAAAAGCAAAGATTTCTTGGTGTATAAGGCAGGTATGCAAACATTTGGGGACTGATTCTTTAGTAACTAGAGAGAATCAAAGCTGAACAACATTCAGCCCACCGTTGAAGAACATTGCTAAATATAGTAGATCGTGTCTCAAAAAATAAGAGCTGGAGCATGGCTGAAGTGGTAGAGCACTTACATAGTGAGTGTAAGACTCTGAGTTCAAACCCCAGTACTGTCTGAAAATAAAAAATAAATAAAACAATCAGTTAAGAGAAGATTGGAGGCATAGGACTAGAATTCAGCTTAAGCTTATTAGTTATAAAAACTGGTAAGATTTCATAAAAGTCTTATTTTCTATGAAAAGTTGCTTCATAAAAGTCTTATTTTGCTATAGCAACAATGAAGGATTAAGCTGGGGAGGAAGTTGAAAAATTAGTAACTTTTGAATAACCCAGGCCTTTGAAAATCCCTATGGTCTGTTTTCTAGCATGATTCATTAAGAATTGGTGCTGTCCGGTAGAAACGTTGACTTTGGATCATGATGGTGGGTCTATCACTGACATTTTAGATTCTCTAGTAACTAACTGTATTTTACCTGCAGGAATTAATGAGTGCCAGGACCATTCAATCAGTGGCTGTGATCACAACTGCACAGACACTCTAACCAGTTTCTATTGTTCCTGTCATCCTGGCTACAAGCTCATGTCTGACAAGCGCTCTTGTGTGGATATTGATGAATGCAAGGAGACGCCTCATGTCTGTAGCCAGAAGTGTGAGAACGTAGTAGGCTCCTATATCTGTAAGTGTGCCCCGGGCTACATCCGAGAGCCAGATGGGAAGACCTGCCGGCAGAACAGTAACATCGAGCCCTACCTCATCTTCAGCAACCGTTACTATCTGAGAAATTTAACTACCGATGGCTATTCTTACTCCCTCATTTTGCAAGGACTGGACAACGTTGTGGCAATGGATTTTGACAGAGTAGAAAAGAGGTTGTACTGGATTGATAAAGGGAGGCAAATCATTGAGAGAATGTTTCTCAATAAGACAAACAGAGAGACGATCATAAGCCACAGACTACCAGCTGCAGAAAGCCTGGCGGTCGACTGGGTGGCCAGGTAAGAAAACACTGATGAACTCTGTAAAAGATAAAAATTTTAAAAAAGCTAACCACACTTTCATATTGATAGGAAGTGAATCTTTTCAACTTGGGCTAGTATGTAGATACATTTAATACCCTACATGTTTTTTCTGTTTTGTATTTAATATTTGAATGGAATACCACAGAACCTAAAAGCTAGTGACTGTAAGAATTTAAGGTATTATTTTTTATGGAGAGGAGTATCATAAAGGAGGAAAGAACATTCTATTCCTAACCCTTCAGCTAATGGAGATAATATTAAGGGATGATCCACGCATTCATTAGTGCCTTCAGCCTTTTAACGTGATGATCTAGGACCCCCTACCTGCCAGGCCTAGTGGCAGGCCCTAGAGACCTGTTGGTGAGCATAGCAGACAGACCCAGCTTCTGCTGTCTGGGAGCCCACAGACTTACTTACAATTCTACTCATTCCCAACCTGGCTGGACTTGAAGCAGAGAACAGCTAACTTGAAACTCTTGTTTTGAGATAGTCCTTCTTGAGACTGAGGGTTTTTAAGGTAGGCCAGTGATGAGTTAATTAAAACTAGAGATCAACTATATTCTTAACATCTCTATTGAGTATGGAATCTATCAGATTCTTGGCAGTATAAACTAGTGGTGTTGGACAGAAAGCTGTAAGCACTTATGTAAATATTCTTATCGCAGTCAGCCCAGACCTCTGGATGGTTCTTTGCCATGTGACCATTTTAAGGATAGAAGTCCTAAAATTGCAGGGAGTTTGCTCCCCTAGTTCTCCCTGACTGGCTGGTCTGCATAGGTTTCTCGTAAGTGCTTGCTGACAATGAGTGAAACATTGGGTCTGTGAATAAGAAAAAGAAGACTCTATTCCATGTCAAAAGCAGAGAATGGAGCCTAACATGGTATCACTACTCTACCCATCATTTGCTCAGGTGCAGGGAACTCAAAGATACTGTCAGCCTCTCTCCTCCAAACTGGTAGAATTCTATTTCCCACTGGATTTCAGCTATTTACATATTATGTAGATCTCCCTGGAGAAAGATGGAGCAAGAAAGTCTGAGTGAGGGTGGAGTGAAATAGCTCCTGCCTGAGATAATTTCTGGAAAGTTCAGGATGGAGCACAACTGCTAAACTTTCCTTAAAACACAAAGGAAAAGCAGAGGCCAGGCACATTTCATTGTGAGGGAATGTTTCTAAAGACACGAACTACACTGAAATCAGAAACGATTTTCCCCAATATCACTGCAACTGCCCACTGCCAGCACGAGGGTGTTTGATTCCCAAAGCCCATTAACTTGATATACTAATTTTTTAAAGTACCTTTATGCGCACTGGAAGACAGTGCTGGTTCGTGGTCTTCTTACGTTTTCTACTAGTGAGATAAAGAAAATCTTCATGTTCTCTTGAAAAGAGTCTGATCATAGGATCAGTCTTTTGATTATGGAGTGAAGAGAAATTGATGAGAAAGTAGGAAGTCCAACAGGTTAGAATGCCCTGTGGATGGTGCAGTCAGTCTACCAGGACTTGAATTCCTGCCTCCTTCCTAGTAATTACTTAACTCTGGTGCCATGCGGCTTCCTTAAGAAAACAGGAATAATAATAATAGTAACTCCTCCGGGGTCATGGTTATCTTAAATAATATAATGCCATAAAAAGTTCTTAGTCCAGGGTCTAGCATGTAGTGAGTATTCAGTAAATAATGACTAAGATTATTGCTATTCTTAGCCTCTGTGAAGATGGAATCGATAATTGTGGCCATCTCACTCATCAGGACTTACCCAAGTGAATTAACTGGCAAGGCTGGCAGGCCTGAAGGCATGTTACTGTCCTAACAGTTTAATATTCTAGCTCCCCACATTGTTGGATCAGGGCTTACCTCTTGCAAAGAGGCACTTGAGCCTTTTAGAGGGAAATATTCTCTGTTCAGTTGATATTGATCAGATTCTGTAGTCTAATGTAATCTTACATCAGATCCTCCAGTTCTAGGGATACTGAACCTTTTGGAAGGTTATGGATACTTAAGTCTGGCTTATGGATACCAGCATGTGTACATTTATGCCCACACGTAGATCGGTTTTGGAGGGGATGCCCATGCCCAGAGCCCAGGCTTCCCTAATGCTAGGTTAAGGACTTCAAGTTAAGAACACCTGCCCTATAGAAAATAAATTGATTTTATTGAATTTGGGCCTGAAATGTCTCCTAGGCGGGATTTTGTAGCAGATTCTAATGCATTTCTAAGACTCCCTAAGTCTTTGATTAAGTAGAAAACATTACAGGGTAAGAAATTCATTTTGTAGATCTAGTCTACAGGACCAGGCATGGGTGAGGTTTCTCTTACCATAAAGGATGTCGGAATTCAGAGTTCCTTTGTGCAGGTTCAGTCACATATGGAGACAAGTCTGTTTCTTTGACTCCACCATTTAGACTACAGTTCATGGCACTCAATTCTGCTTGCTTGTTCCTCTAAGCCTTTGTGTTGCCTGGGAAAGAGGCTTTAGTCTACACGAAGACAATAAAACTAGACTCCTGGTATGAGGTGTGGACCCAGGACTTCTATGTGACATCACCTGAAATGGGAATCATAGGCACACGCTCTCACAGCTTCCAGTGCTCCATTGCAGCAAGGCCAACCTCCTGGTTTCCCTGCCCACCTCTGACTGGGGAAAGTTGCCTTCTAATAGCTATATGTGTGATTATCAGGTTGCTTGGATAGGAAATTGGGTGTCTGAACAAAGTGACTGTATTGATAACTCCTAGCTTTCCATTTCAGAAAGCTGTATTGGCTGGATGCCCACCTGGATTGCCTCTTTGTCTCTGACCTTGAAGGTCGACACCGCTATACTCTAGCCCAGCACTGTGTGGATGCCAACAACACATTCTGCTTCAGCAATCCCAGAGGAATTGTTCTTCACCCTCAAAATGGGTATTGTCTCCTGTAATCTTGGGCTCTTCCCTCATGCCCTGTTCTGCCTCTGTTACCACAAAAGGCTGTTCACATAACTATCTCAAGGCCATTGTCTTGCTGGGATTTGTCTTCTGCTTTTCTTACCTGGTAAATGGTTTAGTATAATGGGTCGAAGCATGGCTTGTCCAAATGATGTTTATCAGTCAGTCTCTTGTCCTTACCACGAAACACCTTTTCACTCGTTGAGTCACATATTTTGGCTGCATGCAAAGAAAATTGTGGTAAAAGAAACACTTCTTTTAGTGGACTCTCCATGTCCACTGAAATGCACCACTAATCATATTCGTTCTTGTACGTTACCTATGTACCACCCCCTTTTTCTCCTCTAAATATTTCCTGTTAGCTCTCTTTTCTTTCTGAGAACTCTGCAGGATGTAAGAACCTTTTGGCTCCTGACTTGCTTTGGCTTTAGGGTCTGACCCTCTGTGTTTGCTCCCACAGGCATCTCTACTGGGCAGACTGGGGTCACCGTGCGTACATTGGAAGAATAGGCATGGATGGAACCAATAAGTCTGTGATTATTTCTACCAAGTTAGAATGGCCCAATGCCATCACCATTGATTACACCAATGACCTTCTGTACTGGGCGGATGCTCATCTGGGTTACATTGAGTATGTACAACCCGGCAACTGTTTATTGCAACACCAGGGCTTGCTCTTCCTCTCATGTATCTTCTAACTGGTCTGTGTATTAAAAGTCACTCCGAGGTCACGTTTAACTAAAACTGCAGACAGGCAGTCCACTGAGCTCTGTGGTACAGTGCAATCGAAAGAGAGCGAACTTTGAATTCATGCTGATCAGGGATTGTGGTCTGGTGCTTTTGTTATTTCTTTTCCATCTAGAGAATGACTACTCCTCTGCGGTAGTCAGCTCAGGGTTCAACCATCTTAATCTTCCTATCTTTTTGCTTTGTTCTCTCCTCCTAAAATGTATGATCAATAAATTTCAGTATGGTCAATGCAAAAAGGGAAAGAACCAAAGCGTTGGAAAGATTTTCCCTAAAATATTTTGGTGCATTTGTTGATAAGTATAATGAATTGTCTCATGTAGCAATAGAGTCTGATAAGAGTTACTCAATTTGATGATGCATTGAAATCTTTCTCATCATGGGATCTTTATTTTTTGGTGCTGGAGATTGAACCCAGGGCCTCACATACCCCAAGCAAACTCTCTACCACTGAGCTACACCTCCAGCCCCAGGATAATTTTTTAAAAGTTTACTGACTATAAAGTATATTGACTATTCAATGAAAAATTCTCATTAGATAGATAACGCATATTATTAACCAGCTGTATCTGTTTATTTTGGATGCTGCGACTTTTGGCCTAACTGGAAATCAGAAATGTCGTCATGCATAGCTTGTTGCATTCCAGAGTTTGGAAGTGCCATTAACTCAGTAGAGCTAGTTCCTAGACCTTTAGAAGTTCTGTCACCAGGTGATGAAGTTCTGATCACTTAGCTATATTCTTCTCAACAGAGGCCAGGCAGGCCGTCTAACTTTCCTATGGCATCTGTAAATTATGGTATTTGGAGAGGTATTTTTAACACTGCATAGCTACCGTTATCAGGTTTCTTAGTTGCTAGCTCATTCTGTTTTCCTGATTGAACTTTAGGATTTGTTTCAAAATTTTTGAATATTAAAATATCAGTCTTTTAGAAATGACTTCTGACATAGACTCACAATGATGCATGAAACACTGGACAGTGGGACTTGGAGAAGTCAGAGAGCTACCTCTGGAGGTTTATTCATCTGGAATAAAACTGAGGCATGATTAACAATAACTGTTCCGCCAGTGTATGCAAAATTAACCCCTTAGGCCTCTAAGTACATCCCTTCAGGTGGTACTTACCCCTAGTACAGCTTCTGTTCCCACAGAGTTCAGGAGAAGATGGAATGCCAGCTGTAGTTTGCTTTCCTCTGATTTCTTCCAATGACTTAAGAGCAAGAATGGTGTTCACTCCTGGAACTCAAAAGGGTGTTTAATGGAAACATCAGCTTAAGAAGTTACAAACCTGCAACTGCTTTTCCAGCTGCATCTGCAGAACAGTAGCTGTGTTTAGGAATTAGTTACTGTTTCAAAGCATGGATTTTTCAACTTTTGAATCTTTTGTTCAGCCAGAAAATGTTCTCAGGGCCTTGTGCTTGCTAGGCAAATGCTTTAGCATTTGAGCCACACCCTGCCCTTTTTGCTTTTTAGTTATTCTTTTGAATAGAATCTTGCTTTTTTTTGCCTAGGGTGGCCTGGCCTGTGATTCTGTTTATACTTTCCATATAGCTGGGATGACAAGCATATACTCCCATACCCAACTTTTATTGGTTGAGAAGGGGTCTCTCCAGCTTTTTGCCTGGGCTGGCTTCAGACCATGAGCCTCCCAATCTCTGCCTTCTGAATAGCTAGGATTACAGGTGTCAGCTTCCACCCCCAGCCTCAAAATGCAATCTTTAAGTTTAGATTTTGTTTTTAGTAAAGAGAAGGAGGGTAGAGTCTTATTAAGTGATATGTTAATTCATTTATCCTGAAAGGCATTAGAGGGCAGGGGTCATCTTCTTCACTGACGTTCCTCCTGCTGTCACAGGTACTCTGATTTGGAGGGCCACCATCGACACACAGTATATGATGGGACTCTCCCTCACCCCTATGCTATCACCATTTTTGAAGACACTATTTACTGGACAGATTGGAATACAAGGACGGTTGAAAAGGGAAATAAATATGATGGGTCAAACAGAGTGGTGCTGGTGAACACAACACACAGACCCTTTGACATCCATGTGTACCATCCGTACAGGCAGCCAATTGGTGAGTCAGTGATGGAGGAGTTGGGCACCACTGCTTTAGGTTCTGTGAATGTCATTGTTCTCTTTTTAAGCATGGGTATCATGGTTTCTTCAAAACGTATGCTGAGAAATATCTTTAGAATGTATTCCTTTTCTCCTGGGAAAGGCTACTTTTAAATTTTATTATTTTGCAGTGCTGAGGGTTGAACCCAGGGCCTTATGCATGATAGGCAAGTACCCTAGCACTGAGCTACATCCCTAGCCCTTGGTTTATTGAGACAAAGTCTCATTACACTAACCTTGAACTTGTGATCTTCCTGCTTCTGCCTCCTGAGTGCTGGGATGACAGGCCTGAACCACCACATCCGGCAAAATTTGCCCTATTCTTTAAAGAACAACTTGGACATGTTTGTGATAGGATTTAACAACTGTTACGTTGCCATAGTTACTTCATCTATTTTGATGGGAGGACTGAAATATTTTAAAGTGAATTAAAAATATGACATTTCTACTGGGTGCTGGTGGCTTATGCCTGTAATTCTAGCTACTTAAGAGGCAGAAGCAGGAAGAGAACAAGATCAGGAAGATCATGGTTTGATGCCAGCTGGGGCAAATTATTCGGGAGACTCTATCTCAAAAAAAATGTCTAACACAAAAAGAGCTGGTGGAGTGGTTTAAGTGAGAGGGAGAGCACTTGTGTAGCATGTGTGAGGTCTTGAGTTCAAACCCCAGTATCACCAAAAAAAAAAAAAAAAAAAAGACACATTTAAGCCCTAAATACCCAAGAAAGCACCTTTAGAAAATAAGGGCATTTCTTTATCTAGCCATAATGTAATTACAACACCTAAGAAATCAACAGCCATCTTAATTCTGAGTTATGTTTTCTTTAAAAGAAATGCTTAGAATCAAATTATAATCATTATAAAACATATATTAAATGTCTATTTCCATGTGATATTGTATTATTTATCAAATAAATGTTAATCCTGTCTTTTAGAAGATAGCAACGGCAAGAGCACAGCATACTTTACGTTCTCATGAGTTAGGGAATCTATTTTCTTTGCTTGTGAGCTTGTATTTTTCTCCCTGCAATGAAAGCCATTTGATGTACAGTCTAGTGAAAGTGTAGGGTATACTGTAGGGTAGATTAGCCTTTCTGCATCTGTTTTGTGATGTCTTGCTAAAACATATGATAAATATAGAAGTAAGGAAGAATACAAATTAGCAAAATAAAGGTATTCGGTAATTCTTTTTGGAAGTTAATATTACTCATATTATCTTATTGGAAGTTGAAATTAATTTTCACTCTCAAATAACTTAGTAAACTTAGTAAAGACACTGCTCAGCGTATCCATCCATTAGGGTCCAAACTTCTATTGCTTGTATTCTTAGGATGAGGGGACAGGATAGTGTCTTGTGGAAATTAAAACTCTCACTCATGAATGTGACCTTACTTGCTTTCCCAGATCTTTGAGAAATATGTCTTTTCTAGTCATCAAAAACACCAGGGAGTGGGCCCTACTTCAGGTAGCACATACATGACTTTCCTCAAGCACAAGGTAGTTGCTTGTATAACTCTATCATCTGTGGTGTTTAGGAACTTTGGGAAAAGGATAAAACTAGGATAATGATTTTTCTTTGTCTCTAAGATATAATTAGTTCAATGTCAAGGGGCAGGTATAAACTAGGTAACTGTGCTTGACACTCTAAGCAAAAATAAACATGTTTTCTTCTTTTTTTCCTAGTGAACAATCCCTGTAGAACCAACAATGGTGGCTGTTCTCATCTCTGTCTCATCAAAGCTGGGGGAAATGGGTTCACTTGTGCATGTCCTGATGACTTCCAGACCATTCATCTGAGTGACAGAACCCTGTGCCTGCCCAAGTGCTCCAGCACCCAGTTCCTGTGTGCTAACAATGAAAAGTATGGCACCCCTGTCCTCTTCCCACTGTCTCTCCATCCCTTAGACACACACTGAACTCTGAGGCTCCCAGACATAGAGCTTCTTTAATGAACGAGGACGGTGGTTAATTGATTTGGCTCATGTGGCACACACCAAGAACCCTAGTTTCCAACTTCAGATAATTCTTCCCTTGACTAGAAGGAATTCATTAACCAAACAAATAATGGCTGTGTATGTAAGTTTTTATAGAGAGGAAGGAAAGTTTTTCTTTTTTCTAATAAATTGTCCTGAGTATGAGGGCCTGAGTACATATGCAAGTTCTGAAAAATAGCCATTAAGGGGGTAAGAAGCTTACTGTCTTTTTCACACCTGCACTGCACTACCTCCTTAGTTACCAGGATTACACATTCAAATCCACTTTTGATCATTTGTGTTTGCTGTGAAACGTGGCTATGGATTATTTCCCTAACAATGGTCACAGGCCATTGATGGCCAGGGGAACTGAGTCAGCCATGTGGCACTAATGCAAATCCTAGCATTTGAGATGCAATGGCAGATTATTTTGGTGATTAAATAAGATGTCTGAGATCAAGAATCTAGCATACACCTTTCATAACATAGACTCTCAACAGATTTCCAACCAACAGCCAAATGCTTATCACCTTGCCAGATAATCATTTGCTTCTAGAACCATAGCTCAAAACACCCATTCCATTTTTTGTAGTGTAGGTAATTTCATCATCCTACATGAAGCACCGTTTCAGTGTGTATTTAGGTCTTTAAAACTCTATTCTATCTCACTAAGTGATCTTTTTTCTGAAAATGTACCACAGAAACTGGGATTTAATTGATCCTGTTCTAGGCTCCTGGGAGAACTCATGCATGGTATTACTTGGGATTTGGTGGTAATTTCTTCTCTCCAGATAGCCATTACCCACTCCTCTGCCCCCCTACTAGTGCTTTTCTAGAGAGGTGTTGTACTGTCTCTGTGCAGGTGCATCCCCATCTGGTGGAAATGTGATGGACAGAAAGACTGCTCTGATGGCTCAGATGAACCAGCCCTGTGTCCGCATCGCTTCTGCCGCCTGGGACAGTTCCAGTGCAGGGATGGCAACTGTACCAGCCCCCAGTTGGTGTGCAATGCTTACCAGAACTGCGCTGATGGCTCTGATGAAGACCCTGCTCTCTGCCGTGTGTTGAATTGCTTTACACCCCATTTGCATGCTTCTATGTGTTAACTTGTACAGTGATGATTCTGTAGGCATTTCTTGAATACCATAAATGAAAAGCCCTAGGAGAAAACTGAGGTCCCAGCTTATATCTGTTTTTATATATTTTAAAAAACAGAACTTGTAAGGTCTTTCCAAACCAGATGGTTAGAAACATCGTTGTCTACGTTGGTGTGCTTCACTGTGTGAGGCATGAAATCCTTCTTGAGCTAACATTGAGGATGAAATGAGGAATTTCCCACCTCCATTTTAAGCAAGGACTCTTGATTGTACTATTTATTTTAAAAGGCAAAGAAAGACTCTTCCAACTGAAAATAACACATCCATGATGGTTGGAGGACCATTGTCCAATAGGGGAATGGAGACAGGAGAGGGTGTGTTTAGCAGCTGAGGGGATTCTGCATGCAAGAAAGAGATATTTAAGAACTTGGGAGACTGTAACAGTCAAAGGTACAACTATCCAGGTAGTGGTAATGGTTGATAATGAGTGCATTCGGATATAAGTCCTATGAAAAGAAATTGAGATCAAGGTCTCCAGGATCCAGCAGTGTAACTTTGGAGCTTTCATTCTGATACCTCCTAAGCTGATAACTAAATTTCCTGCTTGCAGAGAATCATCGGTGTGAGTCCAATGAATGGCAGTGTGCCAACAAGCGTTGCATCCCAGAGGCCTGGCAGTGTGACACAGTGAACGACTGCCAGGATAACTCAGATGAAGACAGCTCCCACTGTGCCAGTAGGACCTGCAGGCCAGGCCAGTTTAGGTGTGACAATGGCCGCTGCATCCCTCAGAGCTGGAAGTGTGATATAGACAATGATTGTGGCGACTATTCAGATGAGCCCATCCATGAGTGCAGTAAGTTCCTTGGGGAAGAAGGGGCAGTATGACCACAACAGGTGACAGGAGGATCTTCCAACAATGGAGCGAGGACACTGAACCCTCTGGTTCCATCCCATGGATGCTCCCTCTTAGTTTTTCCTGCAAACTCCAGCACTGCGAGGCAAGGCAGAACTAAAATGCTTATAGTTGGGCCAGATGGTTTCTGAAGGGGCTGACCCCTCCTCTTGATATACTGAATGTCTAACCTTGCAGAACATGGCACAAGAACTCACATTTTGTGTATCTAGAACTTTCTCATTTGAGAAACCCTGTGAGGTAGAGAAGGTGGGGGTTAGCCAATTCCCATTTTATAGATGAAGAAAGTGAGACTTACATCAAGTGAATGGTTGTATTACCATTTAGTGGCAGAATTAACACTTCAACTCAGGTGTTTTGCTCAAACCCAGACCTCCCCTACCCACACATCACAAATTACATTGCAAACCAAATGCATGATACTGAAACAGTGAGAAGACTAAGACTATTTTTCTGCTCATTGTACACAGATGATAACTACAACAGATGCATGTCGCCAGAGTCCATTTAGTTGGTAACATGGTAGTTGTTTCTGGTCCTCAAAGTAATAATGAGAAGGTACCTTCTGGTAACATTTGCCAGCAGGACTGAAACCTCAATTCTGACTTTGTTGTCTCCTCCCTTTTCAGTGAGTACTGCCCATAAGTGTGACAACCACACAGAATTCAGCTGCACAACAAACTACCGCTGCATCCCACAGTGGGCCGTGTGCAATGGTGTCGACGACTGCAGGGACAACAGTGATGAGCAAGGCTGTGGTAGGAAGGGCTGCAGGGGAGTGGGGGAAGGCAGGAAGACTGCAGTATCAAGTGCTCTTCTTAGGTGACAGATGAGAATGGATTTTCCATGACGTTGTTCCTTTTTTTTAACCTCTGAAAAAGGATCATTCATTGATTCTTCAGTAACATGAAACATTTTTGTGGCAATTCATAGGGTTATGGGGGGAATTTAATTTATATTATCTGAAATGATATCTGATCACACAGGATGCTATAGTTGAGGAAGATATTAAGATGTTAAGAACTTGTGTGACTTCTCCCAAATGTAGAACCCTTATTCATACTGAAAAAATTTAAATGCCTTATCTAATCTTATGGATGGATTAAAGTTGGTGGGAGTAGAGAAAAGACTTGGTATGTATCTCCAAAGAGACATTTCCAAATCAGAATATCTTACTTGATGACCGTCATATTCTGAATGTATTTCTGATTTTTCTCATCATCCAGTGGGCAGCAGTAGTTTCTCTGGCAATGTGGGAAGAATTTGTAGACATAAAACCAGATAAACAAGTGGAAGTTGTCGTGATTAGGTCGATACTCTTACTTGAAACTCTAACTTGAAAAGGTGTCTATGAGTGTGTGTGGTTCAGTTGGAATATAAAAGGCTATTTTAATAACACTGAGTCTAAGTCACTAAAGGCAATGTGACAGAAATATCCTATTGACTGGTAGCATCCTTGTTGCCTTTCTTATCAGGCCTTTTTCGCAAATTACAAACCAGACACCATGGTTAGCTCAGAGAAGGCCATCGACTAGGAATGTTGCTGGCACTCCTGTGTCTGGGAGCTTTAAGAATATGCTAACACAGTTCTCAGGCTGCCTCGCAGGGAAGTAAGTACTGCTTGGTGCATTTCTTGGCTATTGGTTTACGAAGTCTTGGCAATGACTATGCTCCGCAGAGGCCATTGCATGCAGTCCCTCAGGGGACTTCCGCTGTAGAAATCACCAGTGCATCCCTCTTCGCTGGAAGTGTGATGGATATGACGACTGCGGAGATAACTCAGATGAGGAAAGCTGTGGTAAGTGATCCCAAATGCCACCAGGGCTGGGATGACTCACCTGTCTGTGCCATTCAGCTGATGGGTATTGGTTGGTACTTTTCTGCTTTCTTTGTAACTAAGGACATACCTATCTCCTTCTGAGATGCTTGATTAATCTTTGGGAGGATGAGATCTGACTTTAGTCTCTCAGATTATTTATTCAACTTTTTTTTTTCCCCAAAAAGAACTTGAGGGGACTTTTGTTAAAGAACAAACATAATATGATAAATGGAATTGAAATAGAAAGTCAGGACCAAGAGAAGTAGGGGAAAGTAAGGCACTAACCCCAAGACCCTTCTTCATAAGCTTTTTCCCTAAAATGACCCTAGGAGCAGAAAAGCGAAAGCTTGTGTTTGGATTATTGTCCTTCCTGGAGTAACTGACTCTTCTAGGAGGGTTAATGGTTAAATATTAGATTGGTGTTTAGTTCCTTTCTCCCAGTTGAAGGTCTGACTACAAGAAATTGGGCAGGGAGGCTGGGGAAAGGAAGCCAAGAGCTGGATCACACCAAACGAGATGGTCAGTCCTGAAAACCAGATATATTTTGAACACATCTTCAGTGAAGTCCCAATCTGAGCATTTGTCTCTGACTCATGATATATTTTCAGTTTTAGATTTTCTAATATGAAATACATTTTAACTTCAGTCACCTTTTGAAAGTAAGTCATAATCTCTACTTATCATAGGCAATTGAAAATTATGTTGGTGATTACACCTGCAAATATCAACTAGCCAAAAACTTATTATACAGAGGGTAATTTGACTTTATTGTTTATTAAAATAGTTCCTGTTGAATCTTATAAGAGGTTATCTAGAGCTTTATGAAATAAAAAATGATCTTACAGTCAAATCACCTTTGGATAAATCTCTTTTATAACTTTCATTTATTTATTTATTTATTTATTTATTTTTGGTGCTACTGGAGGTTGAACTCAGGGCCTCGCACTTGAGCCACACCGCCAGCCCCCTGGCTAAACCTCTTAAAGACTACTCTTTACAGCCTTGAAATTAAGGTATGAGGTGTAGTTTCAGAAGATGGATGATCTGTCCAAGCAGACCTCTGGGACTGGGACATGGAAGGGTGTTTTTGCATAAGGTGCCTTGTCCAGTTCCCAAGCCTGTCCTGTGTGTGTGATTCCCGATGCACACTAATGGCCACATGGCTTTCTTTTTCAGTTCCCCGGGAGTGCACAGAAAGTGAGTTTCGATGTGTTGATCAGCAATGCATACCCTCTAGATGGGTCTGTGACCAAGAAAATGACTGTGGGGACAACTCCGATGAGCGGGATTGTGGTAACTATCAGAGGCATACTGCGACAGAGTAGGGATTTCAAATTGGTGTTGACAAGGTTCTTTAGAAGAGTGAAATGTCTTAGGATATAATATAGAAACCTGGGCCTGGCACAGTGGTTTCCATTCTGTATTTTCAATGCTTTATTTTTAACTTATAGCAGTCTAGGTTGATCATAATAGGAGAAAATAGCCAGGAATTTTTTTTAAAGTCTCATGTTAATTTAGACTTTCCTTAGGAGCAGATTTTCATCTACATTGGCCTTGGAAACAAACACATTGGTCTTCCTAGTTTTCCTTAGAAGTTTGCCTTGGGACAGAAATCCTAAACCCTAAATAATTTTTATAGCTCTTTATTGATTTAATGTTGAGTCTGAAGAAAATCAGGAGACATTCAAAATTAGGGAATTCTTATTTCTGAGAAAAAGCTTAAGAGCTGGAGATTATTTAATAGAGGGGAGATAGAGATGTCCATCCCCATCTATTATTTGGAGACAAGTGAGTTTTGAGAATTTATTCACATGTTAACCACAGTTGTGGTTTTGCTGTGAGCCAGGCTCAAGGTGTGGACAAGAATGTGTTGACGTCTTCATTACACTCTCTGTACCTAATAATTGTCTGAAAATGACAAGGCCTTCCAGGAATGACGAGCTTTTCTTTTCAGAGATGAGGAGCTGCCATCCCGAACATTTTCAGTGTACAAGTGGACACTGTGTGCCTAATGAATTGAAATGTGATGGAAGAGCCGACTGCTTGGATGCTTCTGATGAATCCACTTGCCGTAAGTCCTGGGACACCTATGCTCTTGTGTTCCTGAGGGTGTGGATATGGTAGTTTAGATGCCTCATCCACCACTTCTTAGATGAAAAGACCATAGGAATTTTCTATTCAGTGTCCACTGATGACCCCAGTCCACCTGGGCTCTGAGTAATTATATCCACCTATTTTCATGGTGGTCATTCAAACTCATTTCAATAATAATATTTTATGTAGAGAATGTGTCTTGTAGTCTGTGCTAGCAAACAATATATTATTAGTTACTATGCAAATCATTAATTGAATAAAAACATTTCAGGTAAAGAAAATCTGTTGATGAATAAATGTATAAATGACTTGACTGTTAATACAGCATATGGAATGTACAGCATTAAAATTTTTCAGAATTGCATGATGATGGTGTATAAAATTATTAAAAACGTAAGACTAGCATGACTACTACCTTTTAGTCTTTATGAATCACTGAATAAATATTTGACTGTTGATAATTATTCTTGATGGATATTGTTGATGATATGGTTGTCACATTTTAAAGCCTGGTTGTAAAGAAACTTTTTAAATGCATGATGGGTAAAGCCTGTCCTAATGTAGCTGGAGAGTGCTGCCAAGTCTTATGCTATCCTGGAATGATTCATGTCACTGAAAACAGGGCTCAGATAACTGTCCTTAACCTATACCCCTTCAGAATCTCAGACAGGCGAAGGCCACAGTTCATGGGGATGAATAAGGAAGAGCAGGTTACAACAGCAGGAGCTAGGGGAGAAAGAGTGAGAAAGCTTTCCCAAATGAGTGAATTTGTCTCATGCTTTGTGTGTCTCCTTCCCATCAACAGCCACTCGATTTCCCAATGGCACATACTGCCCAGCTGCTCTGTTCGAATGTAAAAACCATGTTTGTATCCCGTCATTTTGGATATGTGATGGGGATAACGACTGTGGCGATGGCTCTGATGAAGAACTTCATCTGTGCTGTAAGAGGGAGAGAAATGGACCGAATGGAAGTGGCATTGTCTGGAAAAACCTTGCTGTTTCTAACATGTACTGTGCTTGCTATCTTGGAGGGCACTTGTACAATTTTGGAGGACAAGACATGTGATCAGTATTAGTGTGATTTCACTTGGTCTTCCCACTTCATATGAAACCTGAGAAAGCTGGGCCAACGTCCATGGTTTTAAACCTCTTACGTATGGCCTTAGGAAACAATTTCTTCACTAGAAATCTTACTTGGAAATGCCATGTGTTTAAATAGAGGCAGATCCTCTGTGGCTGAAGGCCTTGGACAGGTAGGGGGTAGATAGACTGCCACTGTCCTGCTCCGGGCGCACCCTCTGTGGTGCTCCTTGAAGTACCCTCTCCATATCCCTAGAGCTTCCAGGAGCGCATTGAGGAAATAGTAAGACCTAATCCTTCAGTCACTTTCCTTTAATACCATAATTCAAGGCTATCTAATTCCTTTTTGTTGTGTAATGCACATTTATTTTTGAAGCAAGTGAACTTGAGTTTGGGTACAGGGAGGAATCATGGGGAATGGGTGTTTCTAGATCATACCTCCTGACCTCACCCTTGGTTTAGGCCTAAGGAGGCAGAATCTCCAAGGATGGAGCCTACACAGGTGTATTTTTAAAAGCACTTTACTTTTTTTAGTTTGGTCTCCTGATTGAGAACTACCGATTTTTAATGAAGTGAAAGAAAATAGAGATTGTTTCAGTCATTTTGCTACATCCTTTGAGTCACTGGAGAAAAGCTACGGCAGTAGAGTTCTCAGATGTCTTCCCTGGGCTAGGCTAGGGGATGTTGGTATCACTTGGAAATATGTTAGAAATGCAAATTCATGGGCACCCCAGGATTCAGGGGGCCCAGAAGTCTATGCATGAACAAACCTTCTAGGTGATTCTTATACAAGCTAAAGTTTGAGGACTTTGTGTAGTAAGCTCTCAGCACAGGAGAAGGGACCCCTGGAAATATTTCTGTTGGAACTCTTTCAGACTTAGCTGCAATTTGCTTCTGAAGTTCACAATGCCTCTTCCATTCTCTTAACTGTATTTATCACGGCTCATTTTTAGCCCAGAGATTTGACTTTTAAAAATGATATGTCAGAGTCTCTCCTTCCCTCCCAGAGAACTTTAATGAGTGTATTTTGTATTCTCCCAATGGCATTCCAACACTTCTCTTGCCATCTTTTAAGCTGTTAGAAATTACCCATATTTCTCATTGTGTTTTCAACTTAATGGATCTTGAAAAATACCTAAAACATATGAAATCTTCAAAGAAGTATTTAGGAAGTTGCTTTTCTCCATAAGATAAGATGCTACAGATAGTAAAAATTAAGTTTTGAAAGGTAAGAACACACAAACAAAGAACAACACTGTTTTCTAATGTTGCATTTGCTCTTGACCGCAAATAATTCTTGCAATAGTTCTATTAACAATAATTCTGAGAACCAGCCCTGAGATCTGACTTTTTTCCCCCAGCTAGCCTCATTATAAGTCTGTCCTCTTGATATCTGTGTATGGTATAAAGAAGGAGAACCAAATAGCCTAAGTCCTTTATGTGAAAGAAAAACACACAAGTATGTGGAGTTCTCTGAACTCCTGGTACCCTCATAGAGGACCATGTCCCCTGAACTAAACAAACAAGGGATTTGAGTACTACCCCAAGTTCTTCTCAGAAGCAGCAGTTGGAGGTCTTATTCTGGAAACAAAATGAGTTGTGAGGTATCAACTATAAGTGTAAGAGGTGAGGGAGTTCAGCAAGGAAAATCCATCTCAGGGTAAAAATTCAATGAAGACTTCATGCTGTAGAGATTCAGTGACAACTGCAGTTGGAAGGACCAAGCAGGCTGGTGGAGAAGAGCCTGTGTTGTGCTTGCCTTCTCAGGATCATCAGTGTCCTTGCTCTGTTGGCTGCAGCCACAGGACCTTTATAAATGTCCCAAACCCACCATGCTCCTCGATGGTTCAGCCTTCCTCTATGGAGCCTCTTCTGACCCTTCCTCCCTGTGTATGAGATCTCCCAGTAGGAGCTCATCAGTGTAAACAGGCAGTCAATGTGTAAAATTGTTCCTGCTAGAATGAAGTGCTGTGAGAACAAGGACTGTGTCTTTCTAGCTCATCATTATATCTAGTGCCTAGCACCATGCTTTGGTGCATACTAGGGACTCAAGATGTGTTTGTTGATTGGTTAATCGTGTGAGTAAATGAATGAAGTAAGCCTGGTACTGGATTGGCATGGAGGTTAGAGATATCGCACTTACATTCTACTCTTAATTTGCAGTTTCATCTTTCCATCTTTCCTTTCAGTCAGTGTTCCCTGTGAGTCACCACACCGTTTCCGGTGTGACAACAACCGCTGCATTTATGCTCACCAGCTGTGCAACAGTGTAGATGACTGTGGAGATGGAACTGACGAGAAAGAAGAGCACTGTAAGCAAAAGGCGAAAGGGAGAAGGAAAAGCAAAGGGCTCCGATGGTCTGCAGTTTGCAAAATGTACCTCTGGGATTTCAGTTTGTTGGGTGGAGGCTCAAACTCTACCTAGAATAGTGTTATCTCTGCTGATGTAATTGCTTATGATATCATAAACACATGCATAACTCAGATTCAGCCCTGCCCACTTCTTCCTATCTCATTTGAGCAAGATGTTGGCAAATCCTTTTATATTTTAGTCTTTGTCTAAACATTTAATAAGCTGTTTTCTTGTCTTTTCTCATATGAACATGAGAGGAAACGCTAAATACTGGCCGAGTCACATTTAACACATGAATGGGTTGTTTGTTTTCAAAGTCAAGGTTGGGACACTCTTCCAGGTGCTAAGGCACATGAGTGAGTGTTCCTCCTCATGCTCAGCTGAGAAGATATTGCAAAGTTAGGCAGCACTGGTGTTACAGAGCTTATCTATTAAACTTCCTGAAAATGGAAATTAATTTCTCATAACACAAAAATGACAGATTAGTTTAAGATAGAAGTTTCATTCTGGCTGTATCTAATAGTTTCGGTATTGGAAATATCTCTGCTTTTCTTGCATTTTGACAATGTTTGAAAAATCTATCCATTGAAAAAAAGAGTTGATTAATTTTCTGGACAATTTAATTTGCCTAGAAAAAAGTCGGTGAGGGAAATGATTTCCCCTGACTCCAATTGCTTTCTTTCCTTTTTCCTAAAGAGACATTATCTGGAAAAAGTTAGACAAACACCTCTAAGTTTTCCATTCTATTACTGATGGGGCTTTAGCATGCTCTGCCTTAAAAAGCACTTTGCCATCTTTCATCCCAGCAAGGCCCATGTGTTAAAGAGGATGACACACAGTGTCATGGGTGACACTGAAGTTTTTACCTTTATTATTTTTTGGCACACATAAATCTGCATTTGAGGTACTGCACAAAAGAATAAGACAGAAATAAATCATTTTTGAAGAACTTGAGCAGGTTTCTCCTGTCCCCTTTTTTCTTTCCATGTCCCCTGTAACAATGTCATTGTTCTAGGGGAGCAAGGCATTGAAAGCACATGATCAAGTGCCAGAGTGACAAAAAAGGAGACTAACTTCTGTTCTTTTTAGCAGAGGAAGCACATCTGCCCATCACAGTAAGGAAAGTGCAACATTCCAATGGCTTAAAAGCAGAAAAGGTTCTCACTCATGCAAAGTTTGATAGAGGTTAACCATTTGTCCTCCATCCTAACCCTTTGCCGCCAGCTACAAATTATTTTCACTGTTGCCAAGGCAGGGGAAGAGAAAAGTGGTGGAGGCATACAGGTTTTCAACTCCCCAGATATGGAAGTGACCAGACATCATTTGAGGGCAATTCATTGATCTGAACTACTCATATGACCCCCCAAGGGCATTGGGAAATGCCTAGAGTTTTAGTAAGCACCATTTTTTTTTCTCTGCAATTTACTCTTGTGACACTAGATATCTCTTTATGCTTTTTCTTCTCAACTGTAGAACACCTTTAACCCCTCCCCTAAGGACTAGAACTCAGTCAAATTCAGTAACTGAAACCCAGGAGCTCTGAGTAGTGGATGTAGTCATTCTACCAATTCCAGATTCCTCTTGGTGTGGAGACCCATAAACTAGTAGCCTAGTTTTAGCTGTGCCACGTTCCCCAGCAGAGAGTAGTAGAAAAGGGGAAACACTTCCATTTGGAATGAAAGAATTAGAGACTCCTTGCAACCACCAGTGTGTAACAATTCTGAAATACCACTGGGCTAGGATGACATGTTAGTGTAGGATAGTCCTGATTTATGTCTGTTGTCTTGGTGGAATTCTTGATAGCACCGCTTTCTCTCTCTAGAGTGTACTGGCTCAGAGAGTAAGCTACATGGAGATATTGTGAAGGAGAGTGAGGAATTTGATTAAGTCAAGGCACTGCTCTGGGAGGAGCTCCTATATTCCTTCCTCCTCCTGGTCTCTGACTCCACCCTTTGGAAGTTTTCCCTTGTCCATCTTCTTCATCAAATGAAGAGGGACTAGGGGAATAAGCCCTTTGTAGGGGATGTGCTGCTTTCTAGCCCACTTGCTTGTAGCAGGTTGGCAGCCCAAGTGATTCTTAAACAGTCACGGTATTTTGGCTTATTTGGTCACATATAAGCAAGCATTTGACCTATTTGCCTCCAGTTTATTCTAAAGTTAATCACCTCACTCAGTGTTCCTGTTGAGACAGCTTAAATTCTGCCTTATTTGTTTGCTCGCTTTCGTGTACCTCCATATTAACTGATTGCTACTTAAATTCAGGCCATTTAGAAAAATAGATGGACAGTCATTTTGTCCATCTAAGAGGCTTTACTGGGCCTTTTAAACTTCAGACTCTTCCTATTTTGGATTTTAAATGTAGTCAACTTTTCCCACACTGTAAATTTCTGGCCTTTATTCTTTCATTTCTACTATAAACCAAGTTCTTCCCTTAGCTCCTTTCTTTCTTAAATGACCTTGCCACAGCCAGGTAACAGCAGCCAGTGCACATTGCTAACATCTGTTTTCTAACCTCTTAGATCGTCAAGTTCAATAAGCACATGACCTACCTCCTGATTTTTCTGGGGTGACAGCCTTATCAAATGCTTTGCCATGGTGCTCCATCTTTTTGCCTCAAATATCAGTTTCTTCATTGTCTCCTGAGTGTTCATTCAATACCAAATATTTTAGGTTTTTGATTTAGAAGTTCCCAACTTCTCTCATCACTCTGTATGATTCAGAGTAATTAATACTAGCTACTGCAACCAACAAATCCCACAGTCTCAGTGATGTAACATAACAAAGACTTCTTTCTCATTCATACGAAGGCCAGTGACTTGCACATTCCTCCTCCTTCTTGTAACTATGCCACCTGGCATATCTGGAAAGTGGGTTGTGGCAGCAGTATAAGAGAAACGTGGAATTTTAATTGCTTCAGCCCAGAGGTAAAAACTCACATCCCATAGGCTAGAACTGGTCACAAGGACCCAACTTAAATGCATAATGTAGGAAATTATGCATTTATCAGGCAAGTCATAATTGTATCTGCCATAGAGGAAAGCATCTTGTTTCACAGAAGAAAATTTTCTCCTTTTTGTGGGTCTGAGTTTTGAACTTAGGGTGTTGCACTTGCAAAGCAGGCACTCTACAACTTGAGCCATACCTTCAGTCCATTTTTGCTCTGGGTTATTTTGGAGATGGGGTCTTGCAAACTATTTTCCTGGACTGGCTTCGAATCATGAGCCTCCCAATCTCAGTTTCCCAAATACCTAGGACTAAAGGCATAAGCCCCTGGTGTCCAGCTAGGAAAAAGTTTGACTCTAACTTATTCTTAAATTACAGGTAGAAAACCAACCCCTAAACCGTGTATGGAAAATGAATTTAAGTGTAGCAATGGAGCTTGCATTCCACATCAGTATGTATGTGACAACGTTGATGACTGTGGTGACCATACTGATGAAACGGGTTGCAGTAAGTAAACACTTATTTTTTTTTTACTTCTATATAGTAGCAACTCAGGTTTTACCTAAGTGAAGCATGCAACAGTATAAAGTAGATGATAACCACATCTTACTCTTTAATTTACTTTGTGCTCTGAACTGTACTCAACTCCCCAGCTACATGTTATTGAGCACTTCCTCTGTACCACAGACATTGTGCTACTCTACACTGGTCATCTCACTTCATCCTTATAACAATCTTATGAGTTAGGTATTATTTTTCTTTTAAAATAGTATATAAATAAGGAAACTGTAAATTCATTGGCCAGGTCTTACTGTCACTATGAAGTTGAATCAAGATTTGAACTCTGATCAACCTGACTGCAGAGGATATCCTCTTCACAGTTCACCTCTCAGCACCTTAAAGCTACATATTTATTCATTAGTCTGCATACTTTATCTTAAGCTAAATGCAGTATCCTTGGCACTTAGAAGAAAAGTGTCTGAGGGTGGTTGATAGAGATGGAATTCCACAGAGGCTCTTGGAAGGAACTGGAATTTTTGTTATTAAAGTAGAAGGAGGACTTTGGATTGGGAAAAGATGATGTACACAACCAACAGGTGTTCTAGGTCAATATTTTGATGGAAATTTTGGACAGTATCATTCATACCCCTGTGGTCCATTCATAGCTCATGAAAATTTTCACATACATCATCTAATTGTTACCAGGCTGGCTGCACTGGGTTGCTGCTACTGTGAAGCTCTATAGTGGTGCTTCCCTTTGTGAATAATCAGACATACTAAGTTGGTTTGCTACTTATCCTACAAGCCTTCCCAGTGGGACTTGGAGTTCTTGATCAAACAAAGTGACTTGATTAATTATTTGAAAATTAAGAATATGACAATTTGCAAAGCTGGTTGGCAGATTTGGGTTTTGACACTCCAAAGACAGATAGGTGAAGAGTTGTGGGAGTTAAGTCAAACACTGGTTTCTCTTTTAGCTGCCTATGCCAGTTAAAAGGGTTAAAATCATCTATCATATTTTCTATTGAAATGACATTTAATTGAAAGCAGGGAAAACAGGGTCATTTATATAAACCCTACAAAAATAAACATTGATTGATTTTCATTTTCTATCAAAGTGATAAAATCTAGAAAATACATTGCTAATCAAAAGTAGGGTCTGGGGGTGTGCATGCTTATCGTGTGTTCAATGCCCAGTATTTGGGGGAAAAAGGAGAAATCATTTGAATCCCATAAACTAAAAAATATTAATCTCTATTTTGTGCACATATGTACAATTTTTTGGTGGTACTGGGGCTTGAACTTGGGTCCTCATCCTTCGTAGGCAAGTGTGCTACCACTTGAGCCACACCTTCAGACCAAAAATATTTTAAATACTTAAAAAATTTAAATATTCTGCATTGAATAGTTTTATAATCTTTTCCTCCACTTAGTTATAGATATTTCCCATATCCAAGTATCATTTGAGGCCTTGAATCTTAGTGATTGTATAATAATCCATCATGTAAATAATCAAGACTCATTGCTTTCAAGATGCATGCTTATTTTTACATTTTAACATCTTTGAAATCAAAGTGCATTTTACAATTGATAACATGACATAGTATAAGTTCCAGGCTTTTCTGTTTCATTGTTACATAAAATAATAGTATATCAGAGGTGTCTTAGATGTGATAAAATACAGTGCAAAATAATTTAGTTCCTTCTTTTCAATATATTCAGTAGTATTCAACATTTCTTACTATAAATAATCCTATAATCCTTAAACACAAATAATAATGCATATTTTTATTTATTCCTATGGAAAAAATCATTAATATGAAATAACTGTATAAAAGAGTATGGATATTTTTATTTTTTATTTATTATTTTTTGCAGTTCTGGGGATTGAATCTAGGGCCATGCTAAGTGAGAGCTCTGTTGCTGAGCTATATCCCAGCCTAGTGTGAATACATTTAGAGCACTGGATCTATACATACATACTATCAAATTTCTTTCATGTATACCAATTTGTGGTTCTAATAGTAGTTGTATAACATGATTATGCATTTGACTGCACCCTGGCCATACTTGATCTATGTAATTACTTGATCAAGGTTTGACACATTACAGTCTTATTATTACAAGTTTATGATTGTGTTCATAGTTTTGTGCTAACCTGCATTCATGTATTTTATCTATCTATCATCTATCTATCCATTTATCCATCTCCCTACCTACTGATCTATTTTTCTAGAAAGGGATGAAAGATAGAAGAGTAGGTGATGATACTTGTGGGAGTCCCTGACTCCATGATTCTGGAGTACAGAACTGGATGCTCTGAGGGTGAGCCTGGCAGTGCTGTGTTTTACGGGAAATGGCCTCAAGGATCTAACATGTTATACATTTGTTAGATGGCATTTAAGCCATCTCTAGAACTCAGAATGCAGATGCCCCTATCTTCTCAAATGCTTCTGGAAAGAGGACATCTCAAGATACAATTGGTTATGGTCAGGTGCTCCTTCTGACACAACACTCATCTGTTCATTTGTGGCTGATCTGGCCCATACATTTCATTTGCAATGCTGGAATTTTGTTTTTCAGACATGGGAAAAGACAGAACATGTGCTGAAAATCTTTGTGAACACAATTGTACCCAGTTAAATGATGGAGGATTTATTTGCTCCTGTAGAACTGGATTCAAAGCTGGTACTTTGGACAGGAACTCCTGTCAAGGTAAGATATATTTTCTCTAATTCTTGTTAAGAGAACATTATACTTTATAACTCCTCTACCTGTTTACTTTTATTAAAGCTGTCACATAATTCCCTTAATGGTGCCAACATTGTAGTTCTCAGTCATTAAAATATTGAAGAATGCAAATTGGTTTTTCCCCTGCATACATTCCCTCTTACCAGTGCTGGGATAAATGTGTAGCAGAAAGTACACACTCAGTGATGTCTGGGTAATTAATATGAATGATGAAGGATTTGTTAATGATGGGTGCTTATTGTATCAGTGAATGAAATCAAATTTTAAAAATCCAACATGGGGCTGGCGGAATGGCTCAAGTGGTAGAGCACTTGCCTAACAAAGCTATAAGGCCCTGAGTTCAAACCCCAGTACTGCCAAAAAAGAAAAAAAAAAAAACCTAACACAAGGCTTATTGTCTTTACCTTAAGTCAAACAACACATTTATTGCACACCTACTTAACTAAGGCAGAAGTGAGTTCTGGAGCTGGAAGATAACTCATCAGGATTGTGACTAATGATATGATTTTAGGTGTCTTTTATTATGTGAACTTCCAATGTGTAATTCATCTGTAATACTCAGATTATCTAAAGAGTTTTTTGGGGTGCTGAAGCTTAAGAACTCAATTGAAATACCAAATTAATGACTCTTGTTCCTGAAGCTAGTTAGTAGAAGGGAAGTAATACCAAATATCAACTGTACAGATGCTTTCTGGAAAGCAAAAATTTGTTCTGCTATTGTACAGAGTTACTCTGCTTCCATTAAAACTGTTTCCATTGCTGGCCAGCTTTGGGACTTTGGCTTAGTGATAGTCCATACTTCCTAGAATTTTGTTTTTAAAGTTTAAATGAGGAAAAAAACATTAAAAGTATGTGAAACACTCTGAAACTTACTAACTGTTCCAAGAATGTTGACATCATTGCTTATTTTCATTTGCACTCTTCTTGATTCTCATTGCTTGTGAATATGGATTTAAGAAAAAACAAGGTCTTTAAGGAATGGATTGGAACAGATGTTGAACATTTGGTTTTATTTTGCCTGCAGACATCAATGAATGTGAGCAATTTGGGGTTTGTCCCCAGAACTGTCAGAATACCAAAGGAAGTTATGAGTGTTTCTGTGCTGATGGTTTTCGGTCTATGAGTACCCGTCATGGAGAACGCTGTGCAGCTGATGGTATGATGCGCTCATGTTGGGATCAAGTGTCTTTTGCGGGGGAAATAAATGCTGATGAATATGATGTACTAGGAAATAAACTTTTGACTTGAAGAATCTTATTTTTAACTTGCCAGTTACTTCTCTTCCAATACCTCCTCAGTTGTTCTTCTCTCTCCTTCTCTGCCAACTTAAAACATTATTTAGTCTCCCAATGAATATGTAGGGATTAAAACAAGAGTCAGCTCTTCTTTGTTATTCTGGATTTAGCCTCTTGTCCACCTTGATAAAAACTTCAAAAGTGGGCAACATGTTGCCCTTAAGAAGACTCAGTCAACAACAAAAGTTTGAAGTAGGATAGTGACCAATAGAAAGAAATGAACAAGGCCTTCTAGTTCCCACTCCACTGAGGTCAGGGGCTGAGGCCATGAGATCCAAGATGGGCACAAAACAACATTGAATTGGGGCAAATAAAGGGTGCTGCTGAGATATCTCTTTGTTTTTGTTCATGGACTACTGATCACAGACAGAGAAGAGACTGGTGCATTCAGAACTTCAATCATTAGTTTCATATTTTAAACTAATGCCAGTATCTGAGAATCAGGCCAGTTAAAAAGTGGTAATAAATATGAGAAGAAATGACAAAAAAAAAAAAAGGAATGTAAGTCAGAGACCTGATCTAAATCAGCACATCGTTGAAATTTTTACTAGTGTTTAAGAAAATAGCCTTTTCTTCTCTAAATTAAGGCCAAAATGGCTGTTCAATAAATTCATATAAGTTGGGCATGCAAAGCATACGTTTGACAAGCATACTTAAGTATTTTATCCTCCAAACATTTTTTATAGTGATTGGAAACTAGAGTAGAAGGCATTTGAACAGTTGGTCTGGTATTAAGCAGAAAAAATTTAAATGTTTAAATCTTTTAACTAAGGAGATTACTGAAATAAATTAGAATATTCATATAAAACATAATGTCAAGATTGAGCAAATATGTAAAATGAACTTTTAAAAGTTATTTAAATTGCATTTGATTGACATTCTGTAAGTAAATTAAAATTTAAAAATTGTAGACAAGCATCTTGGGATGAGTCACTGTTGAAAGAGATGCTTTAGGTAAAAAAAATTTTAAATCAAGAACATATTGGATTTTTTTTTCTCACTAGCTAGAAGCTATGCTGGGTTGTGGACATAATTACCTGCTAAAAGAATCATAAAATCTGTCAGAAAAGAGTTAGGAATGAGATCTCCCTGGTAAACTTTTAGTGAGGCTGAGAACATTGTAGTTCTTCTGCAAGACTAAATATCTACCATCTTGTCTGTTTTAATGTCAGTGGGTCAGGAAAAAAATTTTCAGTGAAAATGAGGCCCCTCTGTAGGCATCTCAGTCTTGTCTAAACTGCCACTGAGGACAAAGAATACAAAACTGATACTGTCCCTGACAGAATTGTTACCTTTACACCTCAGATAGGGACAGGAATGTCCACAGTCATGGGTTTTGTAATTCAGCAGGATAGTCAAGTTTTATTGGTTAACAGAGATGGTCAGATTCCTGTATCATGGTTATTTAAAGGAAGGGGAGTACTTACTATGTATTTTATAACCTACTTTATGTTTTAAAGTTCATGTAGAATTCAACCAGATAAAATTGGCCTTGGCTTGTTTACAGGAAACCCACCTTTATTGCTACTGCCTGAGAATGTTCGTATTCGGAAATACAATGTCTCATCTGAGAAGTTCTCAGAGTACCTGGAAGAGGAGGAACACATCCAAAGCCTTGACTACGATTGGGATCCTGAGGGCATAGGCCTCAGTGAGTTTAAACATTGGCTCTGTCACTGACATTATTGACTTTTTGAATTTTTAGATGTTGAATTTTGGAGAATTTACTTTGTAATGGGTAGACCTTGTTGCATGAGTGGAAGAGCAAAGTCCTATCCAGCATGCTCCAGGTGTTTATGGTGGCCTTGGGTTCCTGCCAACCTTTCCTGACTTCTCTCTAAACCTTTTCCCTTCAGCTTGTGTTTCATTATCTCCCTATCCTTGCTCATTTAGCTCCCATTCTTCTATTTCTATTTGGACCTCAAAGACCCAGTTCTAGTGTCACCTCCTCTGTGACATCTGTCATTCCTCCTGGCAGAGTTCCTCAAACACTCACCCATGAGCCTGTGGCATTTTAAACATGCTTCTATTAAAGCATGGTACATGGAGGAAGACAATTTTCACATATTTTCTCCCCATCCCGTACCCATGTGCTCTTTGGAAACAGATTGAATATGATTCAACATGTAGCACAGCGTGCGTAGTGAAGGAAAAAGTGAACAGTGCTACTGTTGAGCCTTGTCTTCTATCCTTGTCTCTCTCATCTACTAGACTAAGCAATTATGATAATTCTCTGGATCTTATTTTTTTCCGTAAAATGATATTGGTAATCTTGTTCTTCCCACCTTCCTCTGAGAGCTGCTCTGAAGAGTGAATGAGGTAATACATATGAAATGCTTTCAAATAGAATTGTAAACTATTAGTACCTATGCCAATCTAAGAGATTTTGTTGTTGTATTTTCACACTTACTTATGTAATACAATAAGATTTACTTTTTCTTTTCTTTTTTTTATTTTAACAATAAGTGTTTCAAGAATGGGGCATTCCTAGGAAATCTGTGCTTTAAAACTCACAGTCTTAAGATGGGTGTGGTGATCCCAGCACTTGGGAGGCTGAGGCTGGAGGGTTTTGAGATCAAGGTCAGCCCAGGCTACATAATGACACCTTGGATTTTTGCTTTTTTATTTTTTAAGTTACAGTTTTCCTATAGTTTAAAAATAACTGTTTTATACTATCCTATAATCTGCATATAAAAAAGGACTTCTCATCTACATGGCTTTTTAAAATTGGTATCGAGCGTGACTTCTGGTTCCCAACAGCCTGGTCTGGTTTCTCTGTGCCTTCTGTTTGGAACTAGACCTTGATTGTGATGACAGTAAGTGGCTATCTGCCCCTCTTGGAAGATAATGTATCACCTTCAAATAGAGATAGCTAAGAAAACACTAGCAAGTTATCAGTTGAAGCGTTTGTAGCTAATAGCAAAGTATGATGGGTCTGAGGCTTGATCTTACTGATGTTATTGAATTATTAGTATTATAAAAGCAATGAAGAGGTAGAGATGTCAAATGAACACTCGATTAGTTCCTTTCTTACCTGATGTTCTTAACATGCAACTGGAGATGTGTGTTCCTCTGCAGGTGTTGTATATTATACGGTGCTAGCCCAGGGCTCTGAGTTTGGTGCTATCAAACGTGCCTACATCCCCAACTTTGAATCCGGCAGCAATAATCCCATTCATGAAGTGGACCTGGGCCTGAAATATATCATGCAGCCTGATGGATTAGCAGTGGATTGGGTCGGAAGGTAAATTTGCTGCACATCTCCCTCTTGCTGAGCCTGTCTTCCTGGCAAGAGCTCTGCACTACTCATCATGGCACACGAGTTCACTTGGATCTGGGTATGGGCACACTCAGCTGCTAATGCAGGGGCTCTCCCTGGTCCCAGAAACCACCTTTGCTTATCCCAATGTGCCATGTGCATGTTACATTTCCTGTATTCTATGTATGCCATGAACAAAGCTTTAGGAAGCACCCCCCATCAAAACTCTGTATTACATTGAGTTGCCAACAGAGCTCTGGATTCCAGATTAATTTTCATTATATGGCAACTCTGTTCTTTTTGTGGAGAAATTGGACAGCCTCACAATTCTACAAGCAAGGCAGTGGAGAGTAAACATTTTTCTCTATGGTAGCTATTTGGGGGAAAGAACAATCCACAACTGTGTTTTTAGCAGGCTAGCTAACTAAAACCAACTGGAAATTCGACCTCCCTATTTAATCTTTAGGCTTGAGTTCATAGAGGTATCAGCTCCGTTCTGTTCTTTCAGGCCATCTGACTCCAGTACCTCTTTTAGGGACCAGAGTTTGGTTGATCCCTGAGTCAGAACCTCAGGTGGGGTCATCCTTGGTCATAGTGAGATGCACACTGATATACAAAGTTGTGAATAAGCCCGATCTTCCAGGAGGAAGCTCGCACTGGAGTGGCAGGGGCGGGAAAGTGATTACATGCAAAGGAGCTCAAGCGTGCAGTGTCCTGTGTCCCTGAAAATGAACTAATGATGGAAAAACATTTGAGCGGGAAGCTTCTGCGGCTCGCTGTCTTTGTGGAGAATGGAGAGTCATTCGCAGTATAAATTCATTTTCGCCTTTTAACAAACTTGTCTGCTGTTCTTGGGAGACTTGAGCTCCTCTGAAGAAGATAATTGGGTCCCTACTGTGCCTGCAGGCTAACAGGGGATTCACATCAGTGTTTTCTGTCAGGAAACAGGGCCTTAGAGAACTGTTACTGCAACTCTAGACGTTAGCACGTCCTTCTGAAAGGGAGTGACATTGGCAGATCTGTCTTCCTGTTTGAAGTTTTATCTCTTTCTCAGCCCATTTTAATGAGTGAGGGAATTGAGAAACTGCCAGAGCTCTTTCTGCTTGTAGGAGACTGACACCTGCAGACATAGAAGTGGAAATAAGGGCAGGTGAAATGCTATTTTCCTCATCTTTGGAACCGAAGCCAGATTTCTGTTGATTCTAATGATTCCAACAGAGCCCTTGCTAAGGACGAAATAGACTCATGGGCAGATTAAAGGGTCAGCCCACTAATTCCGAGGACTTCTACCTGGAAACCCTTGTCTTACACTAATAAAGATGCGAAGCCAGTCTAACTGCCGTGTCCTCCACCATTACTGATCCTGGCTGAGCCAGCTGCTTTGGTTGATCAGGCAGGAATCTCCTCCATCCCTCACCCTTCCACATGTAACCTTCCAAAGATGTCCCCTTGGCTGAAGAGATTAGGTCGTTGGTTACAAGTATCCGAGTAGCTATCTTGCTGGCCAGAGCTTCCAAAATAAGTTATCACATCTTCAAACCTCTTCCCCTGAAGTGATCAGTCTAGAGTTTTTCATTGTTAATTCTACTCTCCTGAATTCAGGCATATTTACTGGTCAGATGCCAAGAATCAACGGATTGAGGTGGCTAGACTTGACGGGAGGTATAGAAAGTGGCTGATTACTACCCACCTGGATCAACCAGCTGCCATTGTTGTGAATCCCAACCTAGGGTGAGTACTGGAAGGAATATCCCCACTGAATTACCTTAAAATTACATATAGTGATTTCTTTTTCCTAGTTGCACTGAAATTGCCCTTTGGTTTTATTTTAAAGTAGAATCTATGACTGTATAGAGAATTATAACATGCCCTGGGATCATATAGGACCAACAATTTCTGATGGAGAAATTCCTTTGAGAATATAACTGAGAATCTTTCTGGTTACCTGAATTCCTTATCTGAACTATGAAATTCTTTGTGGATTTAACCACTTTAAGTAAAGGTTTCACCAGGATTATTTTCCTTTTATTTGGATGCTTTAAAAATAACCTATTCTCTGAAATACAACTATGGAGTTGGTCCTATTTCAGTGGACACAAATTTATTTCCAAAATATGAAAATACATAAAATAACACATCTATACATACATCTTACTGATTGTAGTTTATCTATAAATCATCTCAGCATCACAACTGGTTTGGTTATTTTTCTCTTCATTTAAGGTATTTATTTGGATAATAAATAAATTGATATCCACATATTTAATTTAGCCTCAGAGTAGTGAATTTTTTCATGTAGCCTAGAATACCTTCTCTATTTGAACAGGACCAGTACACCAATATTTGCATATATAACACTGTGAGCTATTATTACTTTGATTCTGTTATCTTACATATGTTAAATTATGCCCTTAGAAATCCAGCAATAACACTTGAAAGAAGCTTGTCTGAGAAGATTAACTTTTAATGTGGGCTTGACCTCAACATCGTCATTGCTTCTTTATTTTACACTATAATATCTCACATATTATATTTAATAATATCAAGAGACTCTCCTTGTCTTCATTAAAGTATAAAAAGTGTCACTTGGCCAGGCACAGTGGCTCACACCTGTAATCCTGACTCCTTGAGAATTGAAATTGAGATGATTGTGGTTCAAGATTAACTCAGGCAAAACGTTCCCAAGACCCCAACCAATAAAAGCTGGGGCATGGTGGTGTGCTCCTGTCACCCCAGCTACATGGAAAGTGTAAATAGGAGGATGGTGGTCTGGGCCAGCCTGGGCACCAACAAGAGACCCTAGCCGAATAAAGCAAAAAGGGCTGGGAGTGTGGCTCAAGTGATAGAGCACCTGCCTAGCCAGCACAAGGCCCTGAGTTCAAAACCCCAGTATTGAAAAAAAAAGTGTTGCCAAGTCTTAGGTCTCTGTAAAAATCTGTTGATTACCCTGTAATGTTCCAGTTTCTGTGGTAGAAGGGAGCTTCACTTGATGAGATGCCACAATGAAGAAAACTTGTGTTTCAGGCTTATGTTCTGGACTGACCAGGGAAAGAACCCCAAAATCGAGTCTGCCTGGATGAATGGGGAGCATCGCACCGTCCTGGTGGCCGAGGACCTCGGCTGGCCAAGTGGCCTTTCAGTCGATTATTTGAACAATAACCGGATCTACTGGAGTGACTCCAAGGAGGACGTCATTGAAACTATAAAATACGATGGCACGGATAGGAGAACCATTGTACACGGAGGTTAGAAATGAGCTACAATTTAATGTATTAAGTAATTGACCAACATATCTGGAGTCTTTTTGCCCATTTCTCAAGAATGAATCCTGATTTTAGGAAATAGTTTATAGAATTGCTCAGGTAATGTGTCCAGCTACTAATGAAGTGCAAATGAATCCATCAGTAATAATTAAACCACTTTCACCATTTTACGTAACTTTTTAAAATGCTTCTCAGGAGCAGAGACTGAAATAACTGAGATTTCTGTTAGGTTGCCCTGAGGTGGTGCTTGTGGATACCGATGTTAATCCATGTCTAACTGCTTCTAGACACATTAATTTTCAACGTGCTAGGTTGCTCATTAATGCACACAAGGAAACATCAAGAAGAAAAGGAGAATTTTTTTTTCTTATCCAGACTGCAGAACTTAGTGATCTGGTACATATCACATTGTTTCCCTATCTAACCAGTAGTGTCTTACATTGAAAGGAAAAAAATAAAATCTCTGCTCTACAAATTGTTTTCCAAAAATAGAATAGAATTAGCCACTTGAAAGTGAGCTAGTGCCCTATAATTGGTGTCACAGTATGCATTAATATTGTTTAATTTCTGTCATCCTGACCTCTCACTGCAGCATTTTCATGGTCATGTGTACAGAAAGTCTGCCTGAATATCCTGGAGTTTCAAGACATTGCGTTAGTAGTTAATTGAAGCAGAAAGACATCAGACCTAGAAGTCTGAGCACTGTGTTTTGGTAACTTTGTTTTGTTTTGTTTTTTCCACTGTGGATGAGTAGCAATGAAGCCGTACAGTCTGGACATCTTCGAAGACCAGTTATACTGGGTAGCAAAAGAGAAGGGAGAAGTGTGGAAGCAAAATAAATTTGGGCAAGGAAGGAAAGAGAAAATGGTGGTAGTGAACCCTTGGCTCACTCAAGTTCGAATCTTTCATCAACTCAGATACAATCAGTCAGGTAATCACCAACCCTGGAATAAAATTCCCTTGTTATCATTTCAAAATAATGGACATAGTGTTGGAAAAGGGTAGGGGATGATAACAGGCTACTCTTGGTGCATGGAAAGGGTATGTGTGTGTACGTTTGTGTGGGTGTGGGTATGGGTGGGTGGTTTAACCATTTGGACCAAAGAAAGATAACATTGGAGTCGAATGAAATTATACAAATCATGATCAGTAAAAATAAGATAAAACCAGTTCACTCCTCATTGTTTGGAGCCACACAGTCCAACAGGCATCAGACCCCTGCTAAGTTAGGTTAACAAGTCACGAAAGTGGCATTCATGGACATCAGAAGTCTTATCGATATTAAAATGGCAAGACCAGGCCATTCAGATTATTCTGAGATGTGTGCACCTTACTTTAAAGTTGTCAGTCATAGCATTTTTACCTCCTTTCTCTTTTCTCATTTTCTTAGCTCTTGGTCCTGTGTCTTCAGGTTACCTGTATTCTAGTTCATGTTTCAGCATTGTGTGCAGCAAGATGATAGGGAAAGGATAGCTTTGAAATGAGGATTCTCTCTTCAGTATTAACACAGACATCAGTCACTTCAATTAATCTCTTTGTAATGAAGTTTTATTGTCATCTCAAGTAAGGAGCCTGAGGCTAAAAAAAGATTTCGTAACTTGTGTGCTTAAGTCACACAACTAATGTATGAGTTTTAAGCTCAGAAATTACTTTTAAGTTAAAAATTCTATCCAACCCAAAGCTCAGTGTCTTTCTTGTCTGGTCCAGAGGTCAGCATGTTTCAGGTTGAATTCTACAGCTGTGCAGCCTTGATAAGTCTCTCCCTTCTATCCATATAGTGAGTCAAGGGTAGAGTCCACTGCCATTCTGAGAGCCAGAATTGGCCTCGGTCAATTGTAGCTCAGAGCTGAGAATCCCAAGATCACTCCAGTGGCAAGTGCCTTTTCTAGGGAGTGGCTCCCTTGGGTTGCTGGTAGTAATTAGCTCTCTTCAGCCCCCTCTCAGACCCTCTAAGCCCTACCAATATGACGGTACTGCATCCCAGTTGCCCTGTGGCTCTCCTGACCTGGGGAGGCCTCCTCTAGCCCCTGTGGAGAAAGCAGGGAAAGTCTGGAGACTCAGTGGATGCTCTGGGCCCCCTTGGGAAAGTGCTGATTGCAGTGGAGGTCTGAGGCTTCCCCCGACCCCACAGGTGCTAGGCTAGCATTTGCTGTGGACAAGCAGTTCTCAGATTTTAGCACATGCTGGCATGGTCTGGAGAGTTTGTTCAGCGTGCTTTGCTGAGTCCCCAAATCCCAGTGCTACGGGGTTTCTGACTCAGTATACTTGAGGTGGCTGGAGAACTTACTTTTCTAAGTTCTCGATCAATGTGGCTGCTGGTGGTTCTGGGACGTGTTTTGAGAACCACTGCTCCAGTCCCTTGCTACCCTGTGTGAGCTGAGGACCAATAACATTGGTATCCTGTTGGAGCTGGATAGAAATGCAGAGGCTCAGGCTGTAGCCGGACCTTCAGAATCAGAATCCGAACTTTAAAAGATTCCCCAGGTGACTTGAGTCAAGTTAAAGTTTGAAAAGCTGTGCTCTTAAAGAGCTGGCGGATTGGTCATGGGACAGGTTTTGAGTGAGGCTATGGGTGTCTTACTATTCTATAGCCATGGCCCATTTTAGTTGATGGAGTTCCGTGGTTACATTTTAGTTAATGGAGAATCAGGATCACAGCCTGAGAAAGAACTTAAAGATCATATCATCCAGTATAATTCTTGGATAAACCATAATATATGCTAAGGTAGAATTCAGAAGATTCTAGAATTATATGAGGAGTTTTAATGGTAATACTTGAGCTCTATTTCAGACCAATTTAAATCTGAGTTTCTCTGAATGAGCTCCTCGGTGGTTCTGATGAATCACAACTGTCAATGTCCTTTTGCTGTAAATAAGGAAACAAAAGCCTAGAAGAACATTCCCCTTGGAGGGCTGCTGTGGGAATCTTGTCCAGTATATGCTTTGGATAAGCTATCTATTGTGGTCTTACTGGTCCTTTGAACCATCTCAAGTTGCTTAGCACTGATTAGTCGTTGAGGTTAGGCAGTGAACCAGATGGATACCCACATTCCAAGCCTGGCAGAGTAATAGAGGAGCTAAGTGATCTAGTAGAAAACATGAGCAGCATAGAAATGAGATGGAGGGCCAGTGGGGAGAGGTGCCACTCTGGATGGGGGGCAAGGATGGTAGTGAAAATGGGGGTGAGAATCCAGGTAACACATGGCCTAAAGGTGTTGGGATGCTACTAGGCTCTACCACCACCTGGCAGAACCATACCCACTTGGTTCAGTCTCTTGTCAGGACCTAACTGCTCTTATCATATGCTTTGCAGTGTCCAACCCTTGTAAACAGATCTGCAGCCACCTCTGTCTACTGAGACCTGGAGGATACAGCTGTGCCTGTCCCCAAGGCTCCAACTTCATAGGGGGAAGCACTGTCGAGTGTGATGCAGGTATGGGGCACTGCTTGGACAGCCCTGGGATCTTCAGGAGCCTGAAGAATTCCACGTGCTGGGTCCTTTGCAGAACAGAGTCAGGGCAGCCAGGAAGGAAATGTGAATAGCCCCAAGTGGGACCCCAGGAATCAAACAGAACTTGTGTTCCAATGATTTCTGGGAATTATTTGCTAAGATCTGCAGAGATACAGATCCAGAGTTCCCAAGTATACAGTTGCATTGTTTTGTAAAGACATTTTGAAGAGGGAGTTTTCTGTAAGATAGATCTCTTTGTCTTTCCTTCACCCTAACTGGATCCCTGTCCCAGAATTCACTCAGATTAACTGGGTTCCCCAAGGTGGAGAAATGCTTCTGAGGGGGAGGAGCTTATAAGTGTGGGATGGGGTGTGGAGGATGTTCACTGCTTTTCTCATACACTCATTTCAAAGCTTTCACACTGAAAAAAAGGCCTTGTTTTGAAATACACCTTATGTTGTTGGGAAATAAGGAAGCAGTAGTTTAATTCTCATTCTAAATGTTGTGATTGGTGTCTTCTTGGCAAGATCTTATTTTAGTGACTCTTTTGAATGAAGGAATTAATAGGGTCATGGGGAATAACTAGTGTCTCTAGCTAGTGTTCTATGCTAAACAAGCACATTAAAAAGTCATCCTGCAGCCCATTTTGTGGTTAATATCATTGGGGGCCTTCTTAACAGTTTTAGCAGGTGGGGAAATGAAGAGGCTTAGCCATCTTCTCCCACTAGGGGGCGTAAGTGGTCAAACAAGGAACCAGAGGGAAAAGTTGATTTGGAGGGTGAACTCAGAGGGAAAAAACAGCTTCCCTTCTCTTCCCCTACTCTCATGGTCATCCCAACACTCCTAGGGGAATATTGGTAGAATTCTAATACTTTGGCCAGTATTTTGAACAAAAAAGCCTTTTATTTGTCCTGTGCTGAGTAGGAATTATTGTGATGTTTATTGTATAAGAGGTATTGTGTAAATTGTGTAAGCTGTCACCTTGTGGCCTACTATGTCTCTGAAATTTTTTGCCAAGTGGGTTATATTAAGATTCTCATTTAATAGAACTTTAACCAAAGTCAGTACATTAATGATGGCGTTGTTCCCTATAGGGCCTTGGTTTGGTATATTAACTAACTAATCAGTTAATTCAGTAAGTATTCATTAAGTAAATACTATGTGCTAGTCCCTTTCTAAGTGCTGAAGAGAACAGAAGTGAACAAAACAGACCAGTCCTCTGCCCTCATTGAGGTTTTTTTTTTTTTTTTTTTGCCAATAGGACAATAAACAGAGAAACTCATAAATAGATAATATATTGGTCAGGTGGTGAAAGGACCATGGAGACAAGTGGAGTAGAGTGAAAAGGACGGAGATGGAATGGTGGGATTGTTTTTTTGGAGAGAATATTCAGGGATAGGCTGTCTGTAAAGGGAACTTTGACTAGAGACCCAAATCAAAGGACTGAGCCTGGAGGGTAGCCAGGCTCCTAAGAAAACACACATCATAAACACTTACCAAGCATCTTCGAGTTGAAGACCTTGAAGCACTGAGACTCCGTTGGGCAGATCCAGGGAGTATGTGGGCGCTGAGCCTAGCGTAGTGACCCAGGGGGAGGTCAGTTTGGGAGGACTTCAAAATGAGGCTATCTCTTGCTAACTGGGCATCAGGTACCTGTGTATCTATATCCCTGTGTCTGCCTGTTGAGTGGTCCACTGATGACATGGTGGAGCCTTTAGCTGCAGTTCTGAGGAATGCCTAAATCAAATTTGATTTTCATGGTTCACAGAGGAAGATTTGGAGAACTTGAAATGAGGATGTAAATGTCTTAAGAGATTCTCTTAACATAAGTTCCTCTTAATTATTAATATATGCTCTTGAATTTAGCATTTCTCCACTGGCTTTTTTTTTTTTAGGGGGAGTTCTATTAACTGCCTCTTTCTACAAAATATATATTACACTCCAAGATCTTATTACTGATAAGGAAATTCATATGATTTAGGAGGCAGGTGACAGCTTGGCAGAGAGAATAATTAGCTGGGCCACCACTCCCTAGCCCCAGCCCCAGCTCTAGGCAGGTCTGAATGGGGTGGGGGCTCGCCTGAGTGTGGCTGACTAACACATGCGTGGCTCTCCCTTTCTGCAGCCATCGAACTTCCTGTCACCATGCCCCCCCCATGCAGGTGTATGCATGGAGGAAATTGCTATTTTGATGAGAATGACCTTCCCAAATGCAAGTAAGTCTGAGTGCTGAGGTCCTGGCTGCAGGCCTCATTTCTTCTGGGGAAGTGAGACCTTAAAGTAGCTGGGAGAACAAGTGCAGGAACATTGCCAGTTCACTAATTTTCACATTTTTAACCATCTTGTCCTCCTTTGGGGGAGTCTACAGAGATTAAGGCAGTGCTTCTCAAACTATAAAGGGCCTAAAAATCACTTAGTCACCAGTTAAAATGCCCACACTCACTCACAGGAGTTCTGCATTTCTACCAAGCTCCTGGGGATGCCACAGTTGGGACCACAATTTGAAGAGCAAGGAGTTAGAGAAATGGCAATGGTACTTCCTGCTCACCTGGGACGATGATTTGTAGTAGGGTTGAGGGTGAATAGCTATTGGCAGAGCTGACAAGCAGAAAGGCTGGGCCAAAGGTTTGGAAAGAAGGCTGTTGAGAAAGCTCAAACATGTAGCCAGAGAAATAGTTACATTTCATGAAAGCATGTCAAAAGAAAGAACACACCATGGTGTCTGTTTTTACTCTCCAAAAAAGAATTCCATGGCAGAGAGAAGACACTGGTAGGTTCATTTGATGAGAATGACCCTGTAGGTGTCATAGCTACTCCATCAAAAGTGCATTTCTAGAATGAGAACGCCATTCTTACTGCTCTCTTGGCAGAAGCAGCAGCACTTATCTCACGCATGCTACATTGTCTGTCCAACACGTAATTTACTTGATCAGCACTCTCTATCTCTGAATGCACTTGTAAAATTGCATTGGGACCTAAGAAGCAACTGGACTAGTGAATGTTTCTCTTTTACTTTCAGGTGTTCCAGTGGCTACACCGGAGCCTATTGTGAAATTGGGTTTTCAAAAGGCCTCCCTCCAGGGACAAGTAAGTTTAAATATATGACCAACTAGGCAGCCAGGTGTGGTGGCTAAAGCCTGTAACACAAGACACTTGGGAGTCAGAGATTGGGAGGATTGTGGTTTAAGGTCAATCCAGGCCAAAAAAAAAAAAAATAGTTCATGATACCTTGTCTCAACCAATGACTGCACATGCTGGCATGTGCCTGTCATCCCAGCTATGTAGGAAGCACAAATAGGAGGATCAAGGTCCAAGCCAGGCCAGGCATAAAGCCAGATCCTGTCTTAAAAATAACCGACACCAAAAGGGCTGGCCAAGCAGCTCAAGTGGTAGAGCGCCTGCTTCACAAATGAGAGGGCCTGAGTTCAAACTCTAGTGCCACAAAGGAAAACAACAACAACAACAAAGCGAGCAACTGGGAAATAGTCATGGTCCCTAAGTTGGATGAATGCTGTCATATATTCATTTTAACCCAGTATTTGAAGAATGAATGGTTCTAGTCCGTGGCTTCAGCTGCTAAATCGTGTTGGCTTTTCTTTGTCCTCATGCTGACGGTTCTCTGCTTCTTTCCTCTTTGATGGCAGCAATGGCTGTGCTGTTGACAATCCTTCTGGTCATCATTATTGGAGCTCTGGCACTTGTAGGATTTTTCCACTATAGGAAAACTGGCTCCCTTTTGCCTGCTCTGCCCAAGCTGCCAAGGTCAGTTTTATTGTGTGGAATATTGGTTTTAGAAGCCTGTGTGAACGTGACCCTGTGAATAAGTAAGTTTTAAAAAGCACAATGTGTCAATTCTGCAGAAACAAAACGTAGTGAGGGCTGAAAGCAGTCACTTCAAATCACAGATTCTTCACCGACTTCTTGAAGTTTGAGTGGCAGATCACGTTTTATAGTCTAAACGGCTGTGCCTTCTGGTGGGCCAGGTCAGGCCGGAGCAGAGCTGCTGTGTGTCGGCTAGACTTTGTTCCTGCAAGCATTCCACTGGACTTCAGCTCTCAAGTGTTTGGCAATGTGTTTTAATTTGTCCAGGCAGACAAGGGGACTTACCCCATATTTGACGTGTGCATTCTTTGGGGTGGGAATTGTGTGTTTCTTTTAAGAAAGATTTAGCAATGTGGATGAAAAGGAACTATGGCAACTTTTTTCTTTGAATAATAAGACATTGTCTTGGTTACTTTCAGCTTAAGCAGTCTTGTCAAACCCTCTGAAAATGGAAATGGGGTGACCTTTAGATCGGGGGCAGATGTTAACATGGATATCGGAGTAACTGGTTTTGGCCCTGAATCTGCTATTGACAGATCCATGGTGATGGTGAGTTGGCTTCCAAGGGACGATTCGAAAGGTTGTCATTTTTACTACTTTATATAAAGAATAAAATTAATCTTGAGACCATTGAAATAAAGAATAAAGTTTACCCTATAAAGACCAAGTTAGAAAACAGGTTTTTTTTTTTGCAGAAATGTGTCTAACAATATCGTAGCGGTAATGAAATTGAAATTTACTCCACTCTAAGCCACACTGTTGTACTGGAACCAGAAACAGTCTTAAATTTAATTAGATTCTTTATGAAATTCATGAACTTTTTTTGGGAAAGAATGGTATTTTGTTTTTATTTGATGACATTTTGTATTTATAAAGGAGTAGAGAATTCTATTTTTCCAAGCATCATATATTTTTCAATCAATGTATAGTGAGGAAATAAACTGACTTTAGAGATGATTGAAACCATGGCTCTACCATCTTCAAAATATATTTAATAGGCATAGAGTTTGATATCTCTGATCCTCAGTGTTCCCATCTGTAGAATGGGTACAAGCATATCTCCTGTGAGGACCAGATGTTGTACTTTATGAGGAGACTAGCACAGTCTTGGCCCAGATGGGGCTCTTCATAATCAGTGTTGGGAACTTTGCAATATTTTGTCTCTCCCTCAACTCTCACTTTTTATCCTGCCTGAAAGTATGGTGTCCTCCATGTCTCTCCTTTTTCCTCCTCTCCTTATTTTCCTTTTTCTTCTTCTACCCCCACTGTCTTCTCTATTGTTTAGACCCATTCCCAAGTGAGTTGTTTACATTAATGGGCTATAGAGAATTCAGTTATAGAAGGACTGTTTCCATTTTCTACAGCAGATGACTTAGTGCATTTATGTCACTTCAGAAAATGATTTGCCACTCAGAGTCCCTAGGCCTCTCCTGCTTCCCTCCTCTAAGCCCTCATATTTTGGGTACCTTTGGTAAAGCACCTACCACACAGCCTGGTGTGAGGAAGGCACCTTCCTGCTGGTATGGTGTGACCTTTCTCTTCTCCTCCTCCGTCAGAGTGAACACTTCGTCATGGAGATGGGAAAGCAGCCTGTGGTATTTGAAAACCCAATGTATACAACCAGAGACAGCAGTGGCAAAGTGGTTCTGCCAGCCCAGGTGAGACAGATGTCACACAGTCCTTTTTTTGAGCTGCTACTGTTGCTGGATCTTACTCTGTTGGGTAATGTCCCACAAGTCATCTCCTGCCCTTCCTCCAAATAAGAAGCCCAATGTGCCATGCCTTACCTTTGCTCTCTGCAGTAGTGGGGCTGCCCCATGGACACAAGCCCTGCCAAACAGTCCTGGGTCACTGAACAGCTGTGAGGCTTGGCAGCCTTGCTGGGGACACTCACCATTCTCAATCATTCTGAGTCATTCGTTCCAAGAGGTGTCAGAGCAAGATGTAGGATTCCATTCAGAGGCCTGGGAAACTGCACCTGACACACCACAGGCTCTCTCTAAATATTTAGGAAATGACTGAGTAGATGACTGGTGTCACTAGGGTGTGATCTGAGGTGGGCTACAGGGACAGGGCTCTCCTATGCTTGTCCAAAGTTGACAGGCAGACACATAAATTTCCTTTTGTTCAGCCCTACTGCTCAATATCTTCATAAGGAGTTGGGAGAAGAGAGGAGTCTGGACAAATGGACAAACTTTTCTTTAGATATGGATCAATAACCCCAGCACCATTTCAGGACCTGCCAAGTGTTCACCTGAACCTCCTTTGTCCAAACAACTGTTGCCTCAGTGGCAATGAGTAACTTTCACTTTTAATACCTACACTTCTTTCAGACTCAACAAATGGCATATTTTCATACAAGATTTCAAAAACAGCTTTCTGAAAAGCAGAACTATTTGAATCATGAAAGTATTTTGCCTGATCTTTTGATACCCAGATAGCAAACTTTAAAACATGATGACATAGATATGACATTTCACCTGGCATTTTCATTTAAAAATATGAGATATATATTCAAGTGTGAGAAGAAAAAAGTGGTGAAGGCAAAATATAGAAAAGGAAGCAAATTATTTTCCCCAAAATTGATATATTCATGTCAATTTGGGGTTAAGAGGGAACCTTGGAATTGCATGAATGTTATAAAATGAACAGAGGAGTATTAACTTTTTAAATATCTCTTGCTTCAAAAATTCAACTGCTTTTAAGCAGTCCTCTGAAATCAATTTTATTATTAATATTCAGAGATAGGATTCTCAGGTCACCAGTGAGTTTGGGCAGTTACTCATATTGTTCTTCTAGGATTTGGCCGTCTGTCAACAACCAGAGTATCTTTTTTCCAAAAATATGGCCAATAATGAGAGTAAAGAGTCATAGAAAATGCCATAAGAATTGCCATTAATAAGTAAAAGTGTGACCAGTGAGGAATGTATGTGCCTCCCAGGATTAGTGGATAAGGTGACTCAGTGGTTGGTGCTCTTGATTTGGGGGAGGTGGGACTGGTATTTAGTTCTGGACTGCCAGGTCCACTCATTCAAGAAAAATAATGCCTGACATGTCTATGGAAGAACAAGGTGGAGACAGAACCAGAGTTGATAAACCTTATGGCACGTTTACTTACTACTGAATTCTTTAAAAATTGGATAAGGACCTTCAATATGTTCACAGGTGACTGTATCTGAAAATGTGGAGAACAAAAATTATGGAAGTTCAATAGAGCCTTCTGAGATAGTTCCAGAACCAAAGCCAACTTCCCTGGGTGCTGATGGAACTCAGGTAACTGGGGCTGACTCCTGAAGTAGAAGTTGCAAAAAAAAATTGGAATTCTGGGTTGGTATTAATTCAATGGAGACCATGTCACAAAGAAGAGCAAACAGATTCTGTATCCGTTATCTTCAGGATAGGGTCTTCAAATTAGAGATGAGTAAAGATTTCACTGTGTCAGGGATACATATAAAAGACCTTCCCAATGTCATACGCCAGTCCCTTAAAGGTAGGTTGTTCTTAGCTCTGCTGCCATTACCAGTATCTACCACCAGATGGCACTAGTTTATCCCTGCTACATTTGTCTCTTCCTCTATCTAATTGTTCAATCAATCATCCAACTAACATTATTGTTCTCAGTGTGCCAGGCACAATGTTTAATACTGAATATTAAAAAAGAAGAGTGTTTGATGGAGTTCATGCCTTCTAAGACCTTTGCAATTTGTAGACTATTTGAAATGCAGAGTGAAATTCAATGAATGCATTTGATATAAAACTCTATGTGAATGAATAATATATAACTAATTTTAAGGATACATATGCAGCTATCCCACATATAGATGTTTGGTTCTGGACAAACCATTTCCCCTCAGAGCAAATGTTCCTTTAAGGGACACTGTCAACATCCGGGGTAGTAAGGTAGGAGGTTTTTGTGCTAAAACTCTGCCCTGTGCATCATGGGGTATTTCAATATTCCTGATCCCTGTCCAGTAAGTTCCAGTAGTGCCTCTCCTAATCCAGTGTGATTCCAAAAGTCACCCCTTACACACACACGCCCTCACACACTCCCCACACACACTCGATGAGAACGATAAGATCTGGATTGCTTCAGCTATGCAGTTCTACGACTACTTTGTGAAGTAATAATAGAAAAAAAATTCAGGTAGTATTGTTTTATTCAACCTTTATTTCTCAAGTTGTGTAATCTATATACATAATTGGTATCTGTAGTTAACTTGGAAATCACATTGTATTTCTAGCTATGAACCACCTCAGACATTGATTCTTTTTCTTGTTTGGGTCAAAATAAAAGTTTATTAGCAGTCTAGGGGTGTAGCTCAGTGGTAGAGCACTTGCCCAGCATGTGTGAAGCCCTGGGCTCATACTGCCTGCCAGAAAAGAAGAGATTTGTCAAAGGGGGTCTCTGACTACCTTTTCATATTCTATTACTTTTTACTTCTACTTCCCGCCCCTCTCCACACACAGTGGATGATGCCATTGAAAAGGATTTTTAGTTTTGTATTTTTTCAGGGACTGAGCTTTTTTCCTTTAAGACATATTTGAAAATGGATGTTGAAAATCAGGTCTGACCCAACCAGATTTATTTTATAATCTTGACATTTTTTTTCTCAGTCAATTTTAAGTGTAGTGACCTTCCTTAGACAAAAATACCTCATTGCTTGAACAGGAAGGGAAATGAGGTGGGGGTTATAAACTCAGACCTGCACTGCAGTCCTCAGAGACAGAATGCACATGGAGAGACTGTTTGAAATGAAAACTGACTGTCACCAACTGTCGTCCCTTCTGCTCTCTCAGTTCCAACTTTGCAATACATCAGTTCTTCCTCTGACTTTTTTAGATCAATTGAGGCTGAAACCCTCTAAGGTTTGTCCTTCATGATATGTCCAGGGATCTTCCCATCTCTGTTGTCCCAGTGTGGCTGAAAAGCAGTAGAGGCACTTGGTTAAGGTCACCTGAGGTTGACACAAATGTGCCAAAGTGTCTCACAGATTTATCTTTCATCAGTAAGTATACTGAAAGGATTCCACTTTAAGGCCTCGGACTCCTATGCATGTCAGTTCTATCATTTTCCAAAAGTTGCAATAACATGCATGGTCCTTCCAAGGAGACTAGAGTAAAACCACCATGTCATTCTTCTTGTGAGTAGTTGCTTAACTGTGAGGCTATTCCATACTGAAGCAGTGCTAGGCATTCGGGCCTTCTCCACTTAACTACACTTCCAGAGGCAGGGCTCTGCCCTGACTGTCTTCATCTTCCCCTTCCTGATGTGTATGGAGCAGGTCCTCCTTTAGAAATGAGTTAGGTGAACAGTCTCTTCCGCTTCTCCAGTCACGTGCTCCCTACTTCACATGTTGGTTCAACTTTCACAGAGTGAGACACCCATAAGGCTACCTGAGCTGCCTATTGGAGCAGGCTGCCCTTCCCTTGTCTCCTGCCAGGTTTCTATCTGGCAGCCAGAGCTATGGCCCACATGACAGTAAAGTGGGGCCACCCATTGTCGATGGAGATTTCTCTTTGGGTTCTTCAGTTTATGATCCTCTGAGTCCCTTGAGAACAGGATTCATTGCCTGTTTTACCACAATTTAGCTCTTTAAACTTGCTATGACTTAACATCTGTCATACAGGGATAATAAGAGAACTTGTCTCAAAGAATGGTTGAGATTAAATCAGAAATTTGTAAAACTCTTGGAATAATCCCTGACACAGAGTAAGCACTCCATACATGCTAGCTGTTGTTACTGTTGTCATAAGTTGATTACAGGAGGAAATGAAGTGAAAGGAGATACTCTTAAATCGACCAACAACTCAGACACTGTTTTAGGAAATGAGAGTTATGATTTGCATGTTTCCTCTAGTTTCCAGGCAGCTCCGAAACCTTTTTCTCCAGAAAACCTGTGTATGTCTTAGTTTCATTTGTCCTCTCTGTACCGAAATAGCCAGAGCAATCTGGGTGGCAAAGCTTCTAGAAGCTATGGACACAGAGTCGTAAACTGAACATTTCAAATCACAGAAGTATTGTGAAATTATTAGATGAAAACAGCCTAGAAACTTTAGGTGACTGTTCAGAAACCAGAGGAAAAACTGAATATTTTGTCACATGAGTCATGTCCCAAATTGCTTTGTCTTTAGTGGGAAGAAATTTTAAGACTTAGATAAAAGGAAGAGAAACCTATGAAGTAAAGACTTCATTACTGAAAGTTTTCATTTTGTTTTCTCCCTTTTCCTTTAGGCCTCAAAATGGAATATCTTCAAACGAAAACCAAAACAAACTGCCAACTTTGAAAATCCAATCTATGCAGAGGTAATTTTTAACAGTTATTCTTAGTACAGACGCTCATTTTCACAAATGATTTGCTTGGCTGAGTTGAACAGATGCTCAAATTATTCTAAGCAAACTGGCAAAGATCAAACTTCACACAAAACTGTGACTGGGAATAAGTGGTCAATTCCTGTCTTCTTGTGCTTGTAGATGGACAACGAGCAAAAGGAAAGTGTGGCTGTGGACTCCCCTCCGTCTCCTCTCCCGACCAAAACTTCTCCGAAAAGAGACCTGACTGTGGGCTACACTGCAACAGAAGACACTTTTAAAGACACCGCCAATCTTGTTAAAGAAGATTCTGAGGCATAGCTGTGCCAGCTATTTAGGGAGTAATTAGAAACACACTTTTGCACGTATATTTTTTACAAACAAATGAAAAAAGTTAACATTCAGTACTTTATGAAAAATATATTTTTCTCTGTTTGCCTATAGTTGGAAGTATATTGTGTGTCTTTTTTTTACTTATGCTGTTTCATATTATTGCAAATAATTATCACAATGTACTATATGTATATCTTTGCACTGAAGTTGTCTGAAGGTAATGCTATAAATATATTGTACATTTGTAAATTTTGGAAAGATTATCACATCACTGACTTCTCTAATAAAAGTATCTGATGACTTGGTTGGTAATCAGTAGGATAAATGATCCAATGAGGAAAGGGACCACTTGGGGCCGTTAGTCATGTCTAAAGAAAGGCTTCCACTCACATTTCCTTTACATTATCCAGGAAAGGATCCAGGTACCACTCTTGGGTCCATTTTTGTGCATCAGAATTTAATTAATGTTCAGTCTTACATGTCAACTTGATTAATAGGTGTATTGATAAGTCCACTATTTGTCATATAGACATCTGCATTTGACTGTAAGTGGCTCAGATAGTACAGAAGGTAGAACAAGAGATTCAGTTATACCTTTCTGTGTGTCTGTTGTCTAAGCAGAACACCATTTCACATGTGTTCTACTAGTTATAAGTCAACATGTTTATTTGTAATATCTGTGAGGAAATCCTATGCTCTTACGCACAAGTGTCCTACACTGAGTTTGCATTTAATTGAATGCAGTCTTTCACTTGACAGACCCTATAGCAACTTATGTCCTTGCCTGGCATCTCAGGTGGTCACCTACTCTAGTGACAAGCTCAGTAGCTAAGTTACTAAAACCAAATCTGTGTCTTCATACAGTAAGGTGCAAAACAAATACCAGTTAAGTGAAGCCTCAACTGGGTTTTTGTTTCTGTGTGTGAAAAATATCATTATGTTGACTATTTATTTCTTAAGTAAACATGAATAGAAAGGGAAACCATTTTTACTGAGCCTTTTTCAGGTCCTTTGTCTAAATCTGTACATTTGTGTCAGAATGTACTGTACAGCCCAGCTCTTGTCTTGAATAGTTGGTTATAGTCTCCACAACAGGAACCATGGTAGAAATATACAATTTCCATAGTAAATAGCATTCCTGGTTCTCTGTGCTAAAATTGCACATTTGTTAAACAATGAATGAATGGTTGGATGAATGAATGAAATATACTACTGATTATTTTATTCCTGAGTTCTCAAAATATTTGTTGCTCATATTTTGAGTGCTGATTGTAATTACTTTGAAATGTACTTTGATTAGAAAAGCAACTGGAAATGATGCTGCTCAATTTTTTCTAATAAATGTGTATTTTATCAGACATCTGTGTGCTTCTTAGTCTCCATCATGAATTACTTGTATTTGGCTGTGCTGAAAGTTTGGTTGCTTTTGGTCACACTGATTCCTTGCAACTTCTTCTGGTCAGGAATCCACAGCATTTTGTTTGAAAATTAACAAACGTCTGCATTCATTTTTTGTGTGTCCACGATATTCTGGAATAAATTATGGGAAACAAAGCGAACAGGACTCTAGAAACTAGCAGAAGTCAGAGTCCTTCTTAGCAGCCATGTTGCCTGTTGCTTACTGAGAGGATGGGCACGTATTTCTAGCCTAGCTAGTGTTCCCCTGATGACAGAAGAAGGACTAGCCATCTTCCTGCTGCTGGTCTCACTGAACCTCAGCTGCTGCTCCTGCAACACTGGTTACAGGAGTCTAATGCAAAAATGTACACAAGGAATGTAGCCCAATGCCTAGTGTAAAGTGAGCTCTTGACAAGTAGCCATGATGGTTCTGATTGGTAAGGTAGAGGAAAAGGGGAAGAGGTTTCTGAGTCAGTTGAAAACCTCAGGGGACTATAGTGAGCAGCCAGGGTTGAGAACTACTATTTTAAATAGAAATAACAGCTTTTTCTTAATGCTTTTAGTTGTTCTTTTTGTTTCTGTTAGTTGAGACAGAGTCTCTCTATGTAGCCCAGAATGAACTTGAACTTGTGATCCTGAGTGTCCCAAGTGCTGGGATTATAGCCTGGCTCTTTTCATATATTTTCAAATGGACAATGTTGTGGAGATGACCAAGATTTTAGGAAGGGTGCATGTACCTTGTTTGTACAGAAGCTGAAATGGAGATGATAAAAAGCTTTATTATGTTTGATTGTCTTTTGAGGGTAATTGGAAAGGCAATGAATACCCCTGTATGTGAAAGCCAGGAAAGCTGAGGCTGAGAAAGCTGGTGGTTATATTCAGATCGCAGCGTGGAGGACAGAATCAGGGCTGACATAGGCCTTTTACTGGGTTCTTCCAGGACTCTTCTTACACCAACATTTCTTATTCCAATGCAGGAGTTCCCAGTGCCTAGCACCTGGCACTGAACAGTAGTGTGCAGATTGATTCTTCCATTCCTTTCCATGTTTCAGACCCAATTACAAGGGGTTTTTCTTTAGTCATGGTTTTTTTGACTAAGTTCCCCAAGTGCCATTATGGCTGCAATTGTCTTGGAAGAACTTTTAGACCATGGGTGTAGGAGACGTTGGAAAGTCCTGAACCTTCCCTGACAGACTTTTACCACAAGAAAAGACAGGAAGTGTCTGTTTCCGACAGTACACTGTATGTTTATTGCTTCTAAATTGTTGTTCGTTGTGGTTTTGGTTTTTCTGGCAACTTCTGAGAATAAAGCATTTGGAAAGGACACTTTGGGTTTGAAGAGAAGCACCTCGAGCTACTCTTGGCACCATTTGCCCAAATCTTAAAGGAACCAGATTCATTCCATGAAGGACAATGGAGACTTTACTGGCAGCACACATGCACACGCACACACATGCACACACACGTGTGCACACCACGCACACATGGTTGTGTGTATTATGGAGGTAGTACATAGGCCTTGGGTAGGGGAGCCCATTTGTCTGCCTTTCACCTTACCCAGGAGCCTTCCTTAAATCTTCGGGTTCTGACTCCAGTCACAGTGGCAAATGGTATTTTTCCCAAAGCATGTGACCTCTGACTAACTGGCCTGGTGGCCTGGTTTCATCCCAGGGAATGAGTGGCTTTATAGGGAGAGGGAAGGAGTTGGATAAGCTTATGTCTAAGTTCTCTACCTTTCAAGTACAATGGCTTAATAATTTATCTGTACTGCAGTCTTCATTTGGAATTCAGTGGATTTCAAACACATTGCAACTGTTTTGGTAACTTCTAAGCTTGTTATGGCAACTTCAAAGAAAGCAGGTTCAATATCAGCGTCTCAATCTTTATCATCAAATGCTGTCCCTCTTTAGGTGAACTGTCAGAGAGATACACTTCAGAAAAAAACATTTAAGTTTCTGAAGGCTTGCCTGTCAATTTCAGGGCTGTAAATTGCCATGCGGGTTTCCTTTTATAAGAGACTCCTGCAAAAGCCCTTTACAGATCCAAGACTCCAGGGGGCTTTGATGGTGTCCCAGGCCCACACTGAGTCCCTTCAGAGCCCTAGTCAGGCAGTGAGGCTGACTGGAGGAGCTCACTGTCACCTGTGAAGAGCCAATGGCCTCCTGCTGACTGTCTTCTGATGGGATGAGAGATCCATGAATGGGCTTTGGATTAAAGAACAAAGACACTCAGAAATAAAATAAACTTATCATTTTTCATTCTTCTGAAAGTTAAACTTGATTTGTTTTTAATTGTTGTAAAATATACATGACACGAAATTTTAAAATTGAATTTTTGATCATCAATCTGATATCTGGAGTATATTTTTGCTTTTCAAGATGGCCTTGAAAGCTTGCTTATAATAGCTTTGAAAATCACTGAGTCACAGTATCTCCTTCTGAAAGTGTGACTGTATCAGAGGTCATGAAAAAATAGCAGGAAACATCTCAGCCTAGGCCAGCCCAGCCCAGCAGAAATGTGTTAGTCAGCCATGATGTCCACATGACTTACTATTTAGAAGGGTTCATTGCTGTGGTGTTCCCAGTAACTCATACATATTGATGACTCAAGTAAATGACCGAGGCTTAGTGTATTTTGGTATCTTGGAACATGACATAGAGTTAGAACCCCCCAATAGAACACAAGTCACTGAAGGCTTCCTCTGAACAGAAGATTTGATAGGACTTGGGGAAGGTTTTAAGACCGGTAAGCTGCTGGGCATTTAGGGCAGAGTTGAATAGGGGTGGAGTGCAAGTTAGGTGGATGTGGGCTGGTGGAATATGCTAGAACTCAGTGAACCATTATGGTGCAGAGTGCAGACCCAAGGACGCAGTGCAAATTGCCTGAGTTCGGGTCCTAGGTCTAACAATTACTAGCTGTAAGACCAAGTTATTTAACTACTCTTTCCTGAGTTTCCTATGAAATGGGGGTGATAATAATGCTGTGCCTCACAGGGCAGGTAATTCTGACCCACTTGTGTCACTATCTTGTCTTCAGTTAGCACTTGTGCAATTTAACGAGAGCCCTTGGAAGAGAAGGCTTCTGTTATGGGAGGGACCTCCTGGTGGTGGTTCCTTCCTTTCATGCTCCTTCCTCAGTTAGGTTCTGACTTCTTGCTCATACGAAAAGCCAAGCCAGCCCCAACTAGTTATGCCAACTAGCAGTAACCTTTTCTTCACTCAAGTCATTAACACCTATGTAAGGAACCAATGCCTGATTTAGTCTATAGAGAAAGAAATCTGCCAGGACAGGCTGAATATTAGGGATGTACCTGCTGTTATGTCATCACCATATGTCTGACTCATTCCCAGAAAATGAAGAAAGCAGGAAAATGTGAAAGAAAGTTCTAGTAATTTTTCTATGCTTTGCTCCAAAGTAGATGGTAGCATCAAATAGCTCAGACTTCTAGCCTTACCCTCATTGCTATTTGCCACTTCCTAGTGAGTCTTTTTTTTTTGTAGTGGTGCTGGGGCTTGAACTCAGAACCTTCACTTTGAGCCACTCCACCAGGATCTGGAAAGGGCATCAACTGTCTTCAACTTCCATATGCT